AAGTGTTCTTCAGCCTGCAGGACACGCTCTGCCAACCTTTGACCCTGTTGACTCTTAGATAAGTTGGGTGAGTTACTGGGGGAGACAAAGTGCCACTAAGAGTCATAAATCAGAGGGGAATTCCCATAATGTAGTCAGAACGTCAGCCCGATGCGTTTAAATGAACTGAATTGCTTCTGCGGAGATTGAGGAAATATAAAGGAGTAGGAGGAGGAGGAAGTTGCAACATGATTTCCACTGCTTCACTCACATGGGAGCTTCAGCTGATCGTTTTCTTCAAGTTTCACACTAATAGATGAGTTGTTTTGTGACATAAACACACCCAATCCTGCACCCAGAATGTGTTCAGCGTTCTCCAAAAAAAAATCAATAATATAATAATATGCACTCACAGACGAGCTGTTTCTTTGTGTGATTTATTTTTATTATTATTATTGTTATGCTTTTTTTTGTTTGGTTTTATTTATCATTTTAAATGCTGGTAGGTTTGTTTTTGTTTCCACGGCTTCATCCTTTTGTTTTAAAAAAGTATAACCTCTGTTTTTATGTTAACCACTTGTATGCTCATACTCTGCCTTTTGATATTTTATAGGACATGTTAAGGCTCCCAGTATCGATTTCACGTATTGTTGATATTTTCTCATTAAAAGCAAAACTTGTACATGTTTGGAATCTGAGTGGTTTGTGTGTGGTTTTTATTTGAGGGGAAATAGGAATATAACTTTTAAATTTCATTTTACATTATCATAAAGTAAGCCATGACTGAACAAAATAAAGAAAATAGAAACTGCACTGTTTGACTGTGCAAACATTTCTGGTCGTGTGTGGATGGCCACTGGTTCCAGATTAGATGTGTTTGTTCTTAGCAGTTTGTATGGAAAGTAGGTTGTGGTTGGCAAGTAATGAGCCTGTGGTGCTTTTGCTTGTTTTTGCTCTGCTTTCACATTTGACCAAAAAGGAGTTTTTACCACACCAGATTTACATCATGTTTTAAATCACTATTAAGTGAATGTCATTTAAAAAAACATCAAGATTTGAAACACATACAATTAGCATTTAAAATAATTGTGTTTTTAGACAAATGCATTTGGTGCAACAATAATAATCAGTTGAAGGTATACAGAACAGTTGCATTCATCCATCCATCGATTCTGCTTCTCCAAGGTTGGATAGTGGGGATGTCCACTGTGCCTCGCAGGGACACCAAGGTGTTCCCAGGCCACAGGGGACATATATCCTGGTGGTCGCCTTGTGGGACATACCTGTCTAACCGTCAGAAGGAGGCAGCCAGGAAGAATCGTAATCAGACGCCCAAATCACCATGTGACTCCTTTTGATCCCCTTAGACCCAATAATCTGTTGTATTTGCAGACCAACATGTTGCCATAAATCCTTAAAGATGTGATTAACGTGTTTAATAAATACATTTGCAGCGGTCTCTAGTAGAAATGAACACCTTGTAAGTCGTACTCTGTGGAAACAAAGCTCTGGTGCACCAGGTTCAGGAACTAGAAGGGAGCCAGATCAGAGTTGAGCTTCAGACAACAGGATTTGGAGCCTTACTTCCTGATATGTGGGTATCTTGCCTCTGACTGGCTAAGAGCAACGCGACTCTACCACTGACTCTGTTTGCTCTGCAACCTGGAAGTTTCATCTCCACAAACAACAAGCCTGGAGGAATGTCTGCCTTGAGGTGAAGTTGCTAATAATATAGGGTGACAGTGGGACAGGAGTTAAGGGCTTCTATCAGAAGCTACTGCAGGAGATCGAGGAGGCCATTGTCTTTTCAGGCTGCATGAAAAACTCATAATGAACTATTATAATCAGAAATAATCATTTTTGAGTGGACCACGCCAACAAACATTTATCAAGTAATAATAAAGATGTTGATGCATTGAACACTATTCCTTCCTTGATCTATTATGATGATGATGATGATGATGATGATGATGATGTTTTAATTTTCTTTTCGTTGTAGCTTTTCTAAGATGACTAAAGTTAACAGAAAGTTTTGTTTCCTTTAAGTCAAGTCAGGTATGAAGTTATGGAGCGTTTGTGCATATCTGAAAGTGATCATGTGGATTCGGTTCCTTAAAATTACCGGAAAAGCCGCCCGAGCCAGTGCGACTCGCATAGAGGAGGAAGTGGGCGTGGTCCGCCCTGACAACCTTCATCTGTTTATTTACCGGAATCAGAAAAGGCAACAGCTGGTCAAAGCATGAGCTGAGAAGGTGCAGCAAGCTGAAGTCATGGCGCTGAAGGACTTGTGCCTCTCAGCCCTTGCGGTGCTGCGGCTGCGGCAGGTTGAGCCGGTCATCGTGCTGGAGCAGCTGGGCAGCACTCTCTTCGACACCGCCTTCGAGATGGTGGTCAGAGACCGGTGCGCCAACGCCTCCGAGCCGGGTCGCTCCAAAGAGGACAGCCAGCAGAAAGCCATGACGGACTTCTTCATGGTTTACAACCTCATCATGAAGTTCACCCCCATCATCCCTGCGCTGCTGCTGGCCCGGATGGGCGATCGTGGCAGGAGGAAGGCGCCCATCGTGACTCCCCTCATCGGGTACCTGCTGTCCAGGCTCGCCCTGCTGCTGGTGGTAGTTCTGGAGCTCCCGCTCCAGGTGATGTTCGGGGCGGTGGCGGTGTTCGGGCTCTGCGGCGGCTTCGGCGCCTACTGGCCCGGCGTCATCACTCTGGCGTCGCTGGGCTCCACCGAGACTGAGCGCTCCAAGGTCAGCTTTTGATTTTAAAAATCTGATTCTGGTACTAGAAAATCAAAAGTATACCTGGCGCTAAAATTATAAAGCAAAGCATTAGTAGCTCCAATCCCAGGTTAAAGTTGGGTCCAGGGTCCCGATGTGGGTCTTGAACCATGAAGAAGGTTCTGTGATATTTGATGTTAAAACACAAAGTGCAAGATCCACTGCATTCAATTCATTTCAAGTTTATTTATATAGCGCCAAATCACGACAGTCGTCTCAAGGCATTTCACATAATAAACATTCCAATTCACAGTTCATTAAGCCAATCAGAAATAATGTGTCCTATATAAGGAACCCAGCAAATTGCATCAAGTCACTGAGTGTCAGTGACTATACAGCAATCCTCATACTAAGCAAGCATGCAGCGACAGTGGAGAGCAGGGCTGGACTGGGACAAAAATTCAGCCCGGGCATTTTGACTGGAGACCGGCCCATCACCTGTTTTTTTTGGAAAAGACATTAAGCCTTATGCTGTTTCTGACACACACCAACGTACACTTTCTTATTGGTAGTATTTATGTATCAATCTAATAAACGTAAACCTACACCATCCTTCCTATCCTGGTATTCTAAAAAGTAGGGTTGGGGGTAACTGATTATTTTTAAAATGATTATTCTGACGATTATTTTATCGAATAGTCGACTATTCTAATGACTATTTAGATGATTAATCTAGCGATTACTTTTCTATTGCACAATTAATAAAAACCAAAAAATTCTCAAATAAATTCCTCCAAAAAATTGATAAGTTGTTACTGTAAGAGAATAAACACTACAGGCCTTCCATTTTGTATAACACTGCTTTTATTGTGTTGCGGTTGTTTATGTTCTGGTGACGTGTAGAACTTGGGAGTGCAGGCCGCTGCCTGAGAGGTGGTTGGAGACGGAGTGTCTCCATGCTGCTTTGTTTTGGTCACTTATGTGCATGAGGCAAGTGGTGTTACGACCCTTCCTGGGGAGTCACGTGTTTCTCCTATTTTAACTGTAAATCCTTCTAGCTGTTATATTTATAACAAGAAACAGATATTCGGACAGAATATTTTCACGTTTATTCGAATATGATTGTGGAACACACCCAGCATCATAATACATGAAGTAATATTTATGCCAATTTAAGCCTTTATGGGTGACCAGGACTCTGTGTTTATGAATGTGGAAGACACCCAGCATCCTGTGATGGCACTAATAACATCAAGAGATAATAAATAAGGTAATATTTAGGTCAATTTAACCCTTTACACGTGACCAGGACACTGTAATCAATTTTTGGCAAGGGAAATGATCATTTGTTGCCATTTTTGAGGTGTTTATGAATGTGAAAGACACCGGCATCCTGTGATGGCACTAATAACATCAAGAGATAATAAATAAAGTAATATTTAGGTAAATGTAACCCTTTACAGGTGACCAGCAGGGCTGGACTGGGACAAAAATTCAGCCCGGGCATTTTGATTGGAGACCGGCCCATCACCTGGTTTTTTTGGAAAAGACATTAAGCCTTACGCTGTTTCTGACACACACCAACGTACACTTTCTTATTGGTAATATTTATGTATCAATCTAATAAACGTAAACCTACACCATCCTTCCTATCCTGGTATTCTAAAAAAGTAGGGTTGGGGGTAAATGATTATTTTTAAAATGATTATTCTGACGATTATTTTATCGAATAGTCAACTATTCTAATGACTATTTAGATGATTAATCTAGCGATTATTTTTCTATTGCACAATTAATAAAAACCAAAAAATCTTAAATTCCTCCAAAAAATTGATAAGTTGTTACTGTAAGAGAATAAACACTACAGGCCTTCCATTTTGTATAATACTGCTTTTATTGTGTTGCGGTTGTTTATGTTCTGGTGACGTGTAGAACTTGGGAGTGCAGGCTGCTGCCTGAGAGGTGGTTGGAGACGGAGTGTCTCCATGCTGCTTTGTTTTGTTCACTTATGTGCATGAGGCAAGTGGTGTTACGACCCTTCCTGGGGAGTCAAGTGTAAAGGGTTAAATTTACCTAAATATTGCCTTATTTATTATCTCTTGATGTTATTAGTCCCTATTTCTGTGGTTAATTGACAATAGTTTCCTGAAATGTTTCTCCTATTTTAACTGTAAATCCTTCATGCTGTTATATTTATAACAAGAAACAGATATTCGGACGGAATATTTTCATGTTTATTCGAATATGATTGTGGAACACACCCAGCATCATAATAAATGAAGTAATATTTATGCCAATTTAAGCCTTTATGGGTGACCAGGACACTGATCAATTTTTGGCAAGGGAAATGATCATTTGTTGCCATTTTTGAGGTGTTTATGAATGTGGAAGACACCCAGCATCCTGTGATGGCACTAATAACATCAAGAGATAATAAATAAGGTAATATTTAGGTAAATTTAACCCTTTACAGGTGACCAGGACTCTGTGATCAATTTTTGGCAAGGGAAATGATCATTTGTTGCCATTTTTGAGGTGTTTATGAATGTGGAAGACACCCAGCATCCTGTGATGGCACTAATAACATCAAGAGATAATAAAGTAATATTTAGGTAAATTTAACCCTTTACAGGTGACCAGGACACTGTAATGAATTTTTGGCAAGGGAAATGATCATTTGTTGCCATTTTTGAGGTGTTTATGAAGAGACCCAGCAACCTGTGATGGCACTAATAACATCAAGAGATAATAAATAAGGTAATATTTAGGTAAATGTAACCCTTTACACGTGACCAGGACACTGTAATCAATTTTTGGCAAGGGAAATTATCTTTTTTTTTTTTTTTTTGCCATTTTTGGGGTGTTTATGATGACACAGTAGGCAGTATGAGTACAGTAACATCAACAGATAATACATAAAACCCTTATTTGGTCAATTTTAGCCTCCATGAAAATCTGAGCGATTCAATCACTTTTTGGCAAGTAAAATGCCATTTTAGTTGTCTACAATTAAATCATCAATAAAGAATTTAAAGATATTTTGAGGCGTTTCTTATAGGTAAACGGGAGGGTGTAGTCTATTTGGCAAGTGACAATCTTAATTGTATGTGCTGAAGAGCTTTTATCTTGTTACTTTTAAATAGAGCAACGTATTGTTTAGCATCTTACACAGTGTCATTGTAAAGCCAAAGCTTGATCAGTTTAAATACTATTTTTCCAAGTAAAAATGTGCCCCAAACTAGTTAGCTGTGGCTCCATGTCAAGTGGACTAAAGAAAGGAAGGGGAAAAAATTAAATCGCTGGAGAATTGTTTATTTACATTTATACAACGTTTACATTCAATACAGGGTGCCATTTTACATTATTTATTTTTTTAGTATCAAGGCTGTAACATAAAGAAAGCCAGTTCTTACCACAAACCATCTTTCAATCGCAAATATTGCAAAAAGGATTAATATATCCTCATTGTGAACGTTTAAGACAATTAGCAACACTTAAAACAACTTCCGAACTGGAAAAACTAATGTGGCAAGGTGGATAAACGACGGCCCGGATTGTATTCGATCCCTAGACTTTCGGGGTGAGAGTCATACGCTCTAACCAGTCAGCCAAAGGAACATCCCCTTGACCAACTATACAGGGTGCAAGATCAATCAAGACATTGTGACAGGATGCTCACTGCCACATCTTCCTCCCTCTTTCCACAAGCACGTCCTCGTGCTCCCGCGCAGGGTGCCACAAACACTGCTACACTAATATCCGCGATAAACATCTGTTTAAGTCCCGGAAGAGGTTATCTTTGCTTTCTGAATGTCCATATTGCTAGATATGCTGAGTTTTAGGGCGAAATTCTGGGGAATTTTGTCTAGAAATGCAATTACCTAACCGCGATCCCGCGGTGGCTAATCATTTTTTGGCAGCGAGTCAATTTATGGCACAACACCGGCTCGGGTTTCTCCTCCTCCTCCCTCTTTTCTTCTCCAACCTGTCGCTGGGCTGAGGCTCCATCACTTCCTAAATTGATTTTACTTGAACCTTCACTACCAAACAACTGTGAGATTTTAACACATGTGCCAGCATCAGCCTGAAGGGCCAGTTTCTTTTTTAGTCGAATTTTCTCCGCTCCTGCTTTCCGTTTTTTGTTCTCCATTTTGTTAAGCTCGTCTGTCTGTTTACTGAGATTCACAAACAACTGGCGGGTGCATCAGACCTCTGGCTATTGGTCCAGCCCAGAGTGTATTATTACCAATTGGCCAATCCACCAACTTTTACGAGGCGTCGCGTGGGGCGGCGGGGACAAGTTGTCCGCAACAACTAGAGGTCAGGAAAAAAAAAAACCAGACACCGGCCCATAAAAGATGAAAGGGTCGGCCCAGCGGGCAGTTGCCCGCTATGCCCTATGGTCAGTCCAGCACTGGGATCTATAATTAAACGGATAAACTAGTATCATCTGACCATTAGACCTTTTTCCATTTGGCATCAGAATCTCCAACGTGCAGTCCGGCAAAGCTCAAACAAGCTTTAATGTGATCCTTCTTGAGAAGTGGCTTTTTCTTTGTGACCCTCCCGAAAAAGCCACATCTGTGGAGTGCTTGAGATGTCCCATGCACAGAACAACTAATCTTAAATAAACTCCTGTAAGTCCTTCAGAGTGGCCATCAGCCTCTTGGTAACATCTCTTACCAGTATCCTCCTTGCTCTCCCATCCAGTTAGGAGGGACGAGCAGATCCAGGGAGGGTCCCAGTAGTATGCTTCACTTCTTCATTACAGACTTTACTGTGATCGTTGTGATTGGGATTTTTTAAATCCATCTCATTTTTTCTCTGTCCACAATTCTGTCTCAGATCTTTTGAAAGTGGCTTTCCACCCAGTTGCAGGTTGTCAGTTGCACTACCAAGCAAGAGGATGCTCCAGGAACGACCTTTTTTATGCTTCACTAATCACACTGATTACGGCTGATCACAAGTGGAAGCCAGTAACCATGTTCTGCTGAAAATGGTTACTTCCCCTCACTGTGTTTAAAACTATTGTTTAGGAGGGGGTGATCCTTTATTTATTGCAGTGATTATGTCTTTGTTGGTTTTGTTTTTAAGAGTGGTGCACTGATTGCAGTTTTTGGCCGATCACCGCTCTTGAGAAAAAGCCGAGATCGGGGCTGACAGATCGGTCCACCCCTAGTTTTTAATAACAATTATTGAACTGTTACTCTGATATTTTTCAATTGGATGTTATAGACTGCATTGGATAAGAGAAGCTGGTAACACATAGTTTTTGTTGTGTTTCCATTTAAGGCTGCAAAACAGAAAAACAGAACTCTTTCAAAGGGGGTGATTGTTTTCTTCGCCCACATCAGCTACATGTTGTCTAAAAAAGCACCTAAAGTGATTTGGGATTTACCCCTTTATTATGTGTAAATAACTAGTAAAAAACTCCATTTACCTTTAAAACTGTCATTTTTTTCTGCACACTCTTAACAGAAAGTAACACATTTGTATACATGATGTCGTTTTGGGTCCTAGCTCAACTGTGAACACTGAAACAAGGCCCTTACATAGGCAGGTTTTTATAGGTATTTTGTGTATATTTGGTGATATTTTCACAAAAGTGGGACCTTTTCATTGTTACTTTAAATTGTTATTCAGTCATAATCTTTTCTGCAATTTTCTCTTTGCTACGATCACTCATGGTTTTGTTTGTGAAAATGGGCCGTTGCCCCTTGTTTGTTTTCAGCACAACAGTTAGCACATTGCCAGGCCCTTTTAATGTGTGTCAAACCACACAACCTCACTGTTTGTGTTTACTTTGGCCTTTAAAAGTCATGACACATACACATTAGTTTAGTTCAGTTGATTTTTTTATAAAGCACGTTAAAACACCCAGCACAGGAACAAAGTGCTGTATAGAAAGTACATTAAAACAAAAAAGAATAAACAGAAAGCAGCAAAGAGAAATGAATAAAACACAGGAGACATAAAATTAAAACAGCCCAATAATAAGAATATAAACTAGATAAAAACAGCAGTGAGACACACAAAAACAGCTAAAATAAGTCAAAATAAAAAAAAAATTAGTAACCGACATCTCACATGGTGTCAAAAGCAAGGGTAAAGAGGTTGTTTACATTAAACAAGTTTCGAGACATTGAAATCAACCTGTGTTTTTGTCAACCATGAAATCTGTTTTCAGTTTTCTTACTAAGGTCTGTTTCACCATCAGACTCAGAAATTGGTACAGTTGGAACGGTGACAGTAGTTGTTTCATTTCTTTTTAATTTATTTTTTTCTTGCAAAATTATACAGTGGGTATGTTAAAGATACTAGTATGTCAATCAGGTGCTTGTGCTAACAGCCCGTGTCCCATGCAGGTGATGATGAAAGTGGAGTTCCTATACGGGTCAGCAGGACTGGTGGGCAGCCTGGTGTCGGGTCATCTGTTCCAACTCTACAGCTCCAGTTTAGGACATGGAACCATCCTGCTGGCTTTTAGCACACTGCTGTACCTGACCTGCCTCCTGTTTTCCATTATTCTACTAAAGGTCAGTGTGAAAATACACAGATAATCCAAAGGGTTCAAATGAAGGCAACTGGACTTCTTTGTTTTTTTAAAGACTTTTTGCTTCTCATACGAGGAGTCAATTCTGACTGGAATATGGGAAAAACAAAGTTCCAACTGAAAGGGAATCACACTCCTAAACTTCCCTGCTAAAGTTTATTCTGGGGTTCTGGAGAGGAGGGTCCGTTGGATTGTCGAACCTCGGATTTAGGAGGAACAATGTGGTTTTCATCCTGGCCGTGGAACACTGGGCCAGCTCCCTTAGGGTCCTGGAAGGTGCGTGGGAGTTTGCCCAACCAATCTGTGTTTTGTGGATTTGGAGAAGGCGTTTGACCAAATCCCTCGGGAGGCCCTTTGGAGGTACTCTGGGAGTATGGGGTACCAGGTTCTTTCATACGGGCTGTTAGGTCCCTGTATGACTGGTGTCAGAGCTTGGTCCGCATTGCTGGCAATAAGTCGGGCTTGTTCTCAGTGAGAGGTGGACTCCGCCAAGGCTGCCCTTTGTCACCGATTCTGTTCATAACTTTTATAGACAGGATTTCTAGGTGCAGCCATGGTGTTGAGGGGATTTGTTTTGATGGCCTAAAGATTGCGTCTCTGCTTTTTGCAGATGATGTGGTCCTGTTGGCTCCATCAAAAATTGATCTCCAGCTTTCACTGGAGCAGTTTGCAGCCAAGTGTGAAGCAGCTGGGATGAGAATTGGCTCCTCTAATTTCAAGACCATGGTCTTAATTCGGAAAAGAGTAGAATGCCTTCTCCCAGTCAGGGATGAGGTCCTGCCTCAAGTAGAGCAGTTTAAGTATCTTTGATTCTTGTTCACGAGTGAGGGAAAGATGGAACTCGATTTACCGGTCGATCTACGTTCCAACCCTCACCTATGGTCACGAGCTTTAGGTAGTGACCAAAAGAATTAGATTGCAGATACAAGCGGCCAAAATGAGTTTTCTCCGCAAGGAGGCTGGGCCCTCTCTGAGAGAGAGGGTAAGGTTCAGTCATTCGGGTGGGGCTCGGAGTAGACCCGCTGCTCCTCCACATTGAGAGGAGCCAGTTGAGGTGGCTCGGGCATCTGGTAAGGATACCTTCTGAACGCTTTCCCAGTGTGGTTTCTGGGCACGTCCAACCAGTAGAAGGCCTAAAGGAAGACCCAGGATACACTTGAGAGACTATGTCTCACGGCTGGCCAGGGAACACCTTAGGAATTCCCTGGAGGAGCTGGCGTGGCTGGGGAAAAGGAAGTCTGGGCCTCCCTGGTTAGGCTGCTGCCCCCATGACCCGACCCCAGATAAGTGGCTGAAAATGGATGGATTGATGGATGGATATGGGAAAAGCAAGCTTATAAACTGTAGCTGCATGTTGTTGCTTAACGAGCTGACACTACTTATGAATACTCCTCTGTTCTACCCCCTGAGGAGTCAGTGTCTCTAGATCATGTTGTTTTAGAGTGATTGTTTTGATTAGATGCAGAACACATTAGGACCTGCGACATAAATTAATCCTTTGGATTACCATTTCCTGGATGACTAGAACCTTCACCAGCATACAGAGGGAGATTATAGCCAGTGAGCTAGAATGTCTTTATAATTGGTTCATTTTAAGGTTATTTTCTTTAACATCTTCATGTTTATCTGTCTATTGTTCTGTTTAGCTTGACAAACATTTCATATATTACTTGTATGTCCTCATTAAAGGGGAAACGGGTGCGCATCGAGGACCAGGAGGAGAACTACCACCTCCTCTCTCATGCCACCCGTAACACTCGCATGGACGTGTCTCCTGCTGGGAAAAACATTGTGAACTTGGTGTTGCTGTTTGCTGCAGCCTTCCTGTATGACTTTGCTGTGGGTGGAGCCATAGGAATGCTGGGTCCATTTGTGCTCAAGTCACCTCTCAGCTGGACTGCCACCCAAGTACGATTTCTGCTTCTTTTACTGTTAGTTTTTGTTTTTCTTCTCCTATCCCTTAATTGTTCTCTTCGTCCAGGTGGGTTATGGGAACGCAGCAGGCTGTCTGATCTTCCTCACCAGTTACGTCGGAGTCCTCGTGCTCCGTCGATGCGTTAGCGATGAAACCATGATCCTGATTGGGATGCTGTCGTTTGCTTCGGGCATCTATGTCATGTCCTTCGTCACAACTACTGCCATGTTCTATTTTGGTAAGAAGACATGTTCGAGTCTGATGCAAAATGCAAATAGCTGCTCCTTAAAACAGCCTCATGTCAAAAACTGCTTGTGATATTTATGCTTGTAAATATTTGGGAAGCTCGATATTGGCTTTTGTACTGGTACACCGATATTGTCTAACTCTTAACGTCCGATACCGATATATACTATGTCCTCACAGCTAGCTCATCAGTCCTCGTGGACTGTATTTCACCAAATAAAGGCTGTTCAGGAGCCTTTCTGATCTTTGCACAGAAACCCTTTAATTTGCTACTACTAGCTCACTTCCATGTGTCCATTAATTAGCATTTCATGTTTAAAAAAGTATTTTGTATATTTTCAATATTTACTAATATTTTTTAATTAAATCAGTCGTTTAAAAAGTCATTAACTATACCCATCAGGAATCCAGTAACACCACATGGCCGACGGATTCTCAAAAAGTTAATCATTTGATATCGTTAAAACTTAGTCTGTGCAAATGTTCTGCTTATTTGTCAGATTTTGGTTATCAGCACAGTTGGTGAGTAATGGAGGGAGAAGAATGAGGAACTGGGAGAAAGCAGAAGTCATGAATGCACAACGCTGCTCAGTTTTCTAAAGCTGAGGTTCAGATTGCAGAAATCTTGCTGAAAGAGCTGAACGAATGTAAACAGAACAGTGGGATTAATTGCTGGTTGTCATTTATCGTTTGATTCAAATTGTTATCAGACTCAAAAGTAACATTTCTACTTAATCCAAGTATTTCCAAATCAACAAAACTAATAAATTATGGAGACCATTTAAGGTCCACTTAAAGTCCATTTAATTTGTTGTTTTTATCATTTTTATTTGTTGGAACAAATCTGTTGCTGCAAACCTAAAGAAAACGTGAAAAACAGACTGTTACAGCTTAGCTGTAGCACCAGGAGGAAAGGGAAATGTAAAACAAATATTATAATAACCTATACTTTTTTCTTCTTGCAGCTCGCGCTCTGAACCTGTTTGCACTCATCCCAATGTCGACGATTCGATCTGTGGTCTCTCAGCAGGTTCCAGCATCCGCATGTGGTGAGTTTCCAGCTTTTCAATAACTCACTTGCATCAATAAGTTTCATTTCTTAATAGTTACTTTTTATGGCATTTAAACAAGATTTTTTTACTATAGAAATTCTGCTGACTGTGATGAACTTTGAAGAGCTTTAAAACATCAAAACGATGTTCTAGTAGTAGGGCCAGTACGAACGCAGAAATGAAACACCCTGTCCTGAGATATTTCTGGGAACTTTTGGCCTCCTGCTTGATTTATGACTTTTCATTTACAGAGGTCCTAATCAAAGTAAGTGTGTGTGTGTGTGTGTGCGTGCGTGTGTGTGAAGTTGCTTTTCATAGAACTGACACACAGTTGTTTCTCATGGGAAACCTGCAGATCCTGTAGGTCTGGTCAGACTGGTTCATTCCAGAATGATGACTAATCGTGAAGAGGGAATCCTAAGCGTTCAAAACGCGTGAAATGGCCCCTGAAACCAGTGTAGAAAGCCAATGATGAAACAAATACTTATCAGAAAATAATTAATAAAACAGAAAGACATAGAAGCTGCTCCAGCTGGGTAAATAAAGAAAAAGAATAAAATTATATTTATTGTATTTATTTATTATATTGTAGATACAATTTCCACATTCATAACATATTCAAACAATATCTCTTGAAAATGTTTGTTTCTCCATAAACTTTCTTTTTCAAAGAATTCAAAATATCATGGACTAGTTTTTTTTTTGTTCAGGTTATGTGACTGAAAACCGCGTGTGTGTGTGTGTGTGTGTGTGTGTGTGTGTGTGTGTGTGTGTGTGTGTGTGTGTGTGTGTGTGTGTGTGTGTGTGTGTGTGTGTGTGTGTGTGTGTGTGTGTGTGTGTGTGTGTGTGTGTGTGTGTGTGTGTGTGTGTGTGTGTGTGTGTGAGATTAAAGCATGTTTATTACCTACATTACCACAATTTATTCTTGACGCTCATGCTCTTAGATGTCTTATTTATTGAAAGTTAGTCCCCAGACAACAGCTCGACAAAAACTTATTTTTTTTCTTTAAAATGTAATCTCAGACCTTCCTGTCCAGTCTGAGCATGTTCTCTGAAGCCTGTTGTGTCCCTCTGGTCACACAAGAGAAGTGTGTCTCCATAATACTAGGCTGAAGGAAGAATAATACAATTTTAATCTCCATCATCCCTGTAATTATTATTTTTTTACTTTAGAAAGACACGTGAGACGGGGTTAAATCCGTTATACATGAGTTAATGGGTTGAAACATGAGGATCAGGGCACGGCAGAATACTACCCGTATTCCCACTAGACTATTACATTGGTGCTGTGTAAATCTGAGTAAACATGACATTGAGATATTTTATGAACAAAGAAATTCTATCTAAAAAATAATAAAAAAAATATTTTTTGCTACACTTGCCAGTATAACGTTTTAACCTTTTGAACGTATCAGGACTAATCTTTTTTTTTTACTTTCTTTGTTTATCTACCCAGCTGAAGCAGCTTTTAGTTTTTATGTCTTTCTGTTTTATAAATGATTTATTGCTAAATATTTGTTTCACCATTGGCTTTCCATACAGGCTTTGGCAGCATTATAAACATTTTGTTGTCCCCTTGGGCATCAAAACATGCATTCAAGATGCACTTTTTGGTGGACATAACGCACGTTTAGAACTCGCACTTTTTTAATCCCTTTGGCTTGCCATACATTCCTATATTTAGCAGCGCACCGCTTCTAGGACGCTTCTGAAATTTGCCACGTCACAGCTGGTTTGTGACACTCCATAGGCTGTAATGGATTCTATTTGAAGCGGTGACGTTCCGCACCGCTGATGGTTCCCGTGTGCAGAAGGGGTTATTTTGTCTGTGCTTCATGTTATTGCTCCTCCAGGCACCACCCTCACCCTGCTGCAGATGACTCTGAAGGCTGCTGGCCTGGCCTACATCCCTGCTTTCACTAAGCTCTACCAGAACACCCTGGACTGGCTCCCGGGCTTCGTCTTTCTGCTGTCCAGCATCTTCACAGTGCTCTCCATGATCCCCATCAGGTACAGATTCAAGGTATATTAAAATCTTCCAATGAGCACCTTGTCTCATCTTCTAACACACATTTCCTCCTCCAGTATCGTTGGCTGCAGAAGGGCTCAGAAGCAGCTCTATATCAGGATTCAAGGAGACTGAAGCAACAACACCCCAACTGACTGAGTTCACATTTGGAAGAGAGGAGGAGGAACTGAGACTCAGTGGTGGGAAAGTGAACATGTCCCTTCCTCCATCATTTAAAGAAACAGGCTCCTGCTGCTACTGTACACAACACAAACCAAGGTGTTATTAGTCCAAGAACGTTCCTAGGACAGCTTTCAAAATACTAAATGAAACCTGGAATGCAGCTAAATTCAGCAGGACGAAACGCTTAAAGTTGTTACAATTTCAGCAGAGACAGGATTGTCCCGACTATGTCAAAAAAGGACTCAAGTTATTTAGAGAAAAGCAAAGCAAGCGATTTCAACATGCTGGAGATTTACCAGTGGGTGGGTCAGATGGGAAACTCCCCCTGGTGTGTGTGTGTGCGTGTGTGTGCGTGCGTGCGTGCATGTGTGTGTTATTTAGGACTAAAGCTTGGCTGTTTCTGGACTTTCATCGTGTGACTGGAACCTTTTAACAGCTCCGGTCTGGAGGTGAGACACGTGGCTGCAGCAGAGCACAGAGATGGGGTGTCAGAACTGCTCAGACATTTAAAGTCAAAAGTTGAATTTAAGGTCCCATAGTCATCACACACTGGTGAAATTATTCTCCGCAGCTGACCCATCCCCGTGGGGAGAGGTGAGCTGCAGCTGCGCTCAGGAACTATTGTTGGTTTAATCCAACTCCTTTAAAGCGGACTGTCGAGCAGGGAGGCGTTGGGTCCCATTTTTAAAGTCTTTGGTATGACTCGACCGGGATTTGAACCTCGGTCTACCACTAGGCCACTGAGGTTGGAAAAACAATCAAATAAAACAATTTTAAACCTAACTGATGAACTGGGAGCCAGAATCAGTGAAATGTGTTCCCTCTAAAGGTCATTTTTGTTAAACTGCAAAATGGAAACTTGGATTTGACGAACGGCTGAAATAACAGAGAAATTTATGTTTGTTTTTTTTCTGCAAAAGACCAACTAGATTTAGTTAAGTAGTTTTTAAATCAGCTTCAGCTGCTGGGTTAACATCTTCGTCTTGGCAACAAACGGATCTTTTTGTTGAAATAATGCTTCCAGCTCATTTCCTGCATGATTTAGATCATGAACACAGCTGGTTTGTTTCACTTAGTGATGAACCACTGCTGTAGAAACTTGTGAAGTCCGGCGAAATTTTTCAGCAGTGAGACCAACGCACAGCAAGGAGATCAGTGGCGCCCCCTAGAAAATTGCTTAGGGCATTTAATTTTTTAAATTTAAAATATCTACAATGTCTTTGAGCTTTATCTTTCTTTCAGAATAAATTGTATTTAAAAGTTGAACACTTTTAAAAAAATACATATTTGTAAAGAAATAAAACATTTTAAATGTTCTTCAAACCAACGGTTAAAAAACTATTTTTGCTATTTAATGTTTTTGAGGTGCTTTTAATCCCAAACGCGAAGCATTTGGACCAATAAAAAAAGATGGTGTCTCAGGAAGCTCTGTGGGGATTGCAGCTTTACTTTCTGTTCATTTCTTTATGTTTCCATTCTGTTTAAAATCACTGAGGTCTGAATTTGTTTGCACTACTCTGATTTGTAAATATGACAATTGTTTGATTCATTATTTTTATTTTACATGACTGGATTCATGGAAAAGACGATGCACCTTTGATTTAAGCACATTTAATTTGCACTCAACTTCTTTTATTCGTGACTCTGACCCTTTTTGTTTGCGTTTAAGGGGCTGATACACATTTTAGGGTGTAAATGATTTAGTTTTAAAAACATCAACAAACAATTTTCTTCTGTTTTCTCACAAACTTCATTTTTGTAAAGTTTAAAAAAATAAATAAATAAAACTAATGCAAAGTCATTTACTTTCTTTATTATTGGTCCGGTATATACGAAAAACAATAGAGGCGGTCAACATAGATTGCATCAAAACATCAGTATATAAGCTTATTTATAATTACAACTGTTTATTAACATTCAAATGTACAATAAGGGTACCTCCCTTAGCGTTCACACCGAGAAGAAACAGGAGAACTAAAGATTCACACGTTCATAACGGGTCGACCTTCCATAAAGGGTCCTGTGCTAAAAACCAGATTTGATTCCATGTGAGGACGGGAGGAAAATGTGGCTTACAAACATCTGTACATGAAAAAAAATTATATAATACTCTCCCCAGCTTAAAGGCTGTGCAGACATCCCTGAATCAGCTTTACTGATGATGCCTTGTTATTTCTTAGTGTTCGAAATGCAATAAAAACTATATACATACAAATCAGATAATCCTGACACCACACAGTTTGTCGTTTCTGAGCAAAAAAAAATCCACTTTCTGTTCTTCAGACAACTGAGCTACTTGTTTAGTGCAAAACCCATCAGCAGGCACACATCGCAATGGCTAGGATTCAGGATGACAGAGCAAACTAGAGTTAAACATTATTTTTGTTTTACAGGAAAGATACTCGGCTTCATTAACGCCAAAACGTAGCTCTACAAGCAAATCAGAATCTGTGGGTATAAATGTATCATAATCCAATCAGTGCATCTGCAGAACCTCTGTTGTAGCTGCCTGAAGTTCTAATCATCTGGTTTCACTATGATGAAAATCTACCACTCAACCACTGGCAGTGAGACCAAACAGCAGATGCTTCAACATTTAAAGCTCTCAGAAGCAGAAACGTGTCTCCTAACGTTTGGTTGCACAAAAGTGAGGCCGATGTAATGTCACATCCTTAAAGTAACACATTGATTTTTAAATCAACATAAATACACAAATCTAAATAGTGCTTTTTATTCTGTATCATTTTGATATGACAAAACTCTCTCAGACCAATAAATATGAACCCTTTAACACAATTTGTGCAAAAATGAACAAAGAAAGGTGAATGTGATGCTAGATTATTGTCACAGAACTCAGCCTGGTTAGAAATCATTGGTCCGGTTTTGCTGCTTCATTCCATCAAATCCTGGTGATGATGCGAGGTAATCAGGAGGTGAACAATCTTCCTCATATGATAACAGTATACTGGATGAAGGTGCAGAAAATGCATTTTCCCCACGTAAAACAAAATCAAAATAGCAAAGAAAGAAGAAAAATGGGTATTTGGAAGTTTCCCCATTTTAGTCCTGGCCCTAATGATGAGCAAACCTATGAAAACAACTTTTAATCAAGATCTCATTTTAGGAAATGTGGTTTTTGGAGCAAACCGTTGCTCTGGACTAATGAGTTTTGTTCAAATTCGCCTTCAACCTGTTTTTTTGTAAGCTAGGTGGTTTTTTCAAGAAATGTCATGTAAGATTTAAGCAAAGCAAAACCTTTTTTAAATGTGTTTAGGTCATAAATACACAGAATTTATAAATTGTATAGTTTTTGTTTATGAATGGGGTGAAATCTCTAGAGACGAATAAAAGGGATAAAGTGTTTAGAAGTGGGGGAAACTTATTATACATTTGCCACAAGGTGGTGCTATTGCTCAGTATTCGCACCAAACCCCTTCTATACTTCCTAGGCCTCTTCTTCCTCAGAGGTCAGCTCTCTCACTCACAATGCAATTCACAATGTTTTACGTCTCTGAAAAGTTTTATTTTCTTTGTAAAAGTTGAACAATTTTTTGACTGCCATTTATCAGGAATGGCTAAAAAAAGGATTTTATGGAGAAATTCATAAAAAATGTATGAGTTGGTCTTTTTTCTTTTAGGTTGCAAAAAGAAAAAAATCAGATGAAGAAATTAGGAGGGGAACAAATGATTTCTCTTTAATTAGAGTGGCTTTAAAAAAATCTAAACTTCAAAAACTTCTACATCCTTCCCATTTGGCTCAGTGTGAAAACAGAGCAGACAAAAAGTGCCTCCCTCCAAACGGTGGTTAAATGAACACAGGCAAAAAACTGTGAACTGGAAATGTAAAGTAGAAAAAAGTTCATAGAAATTAGAAGACCTGTACAGAAGCTTTACCCGTCGTCGCAGCTCAGATCGGCGTGAGAGACTCACAGCAGCAAAGTTCGGCTGTTCAAAAGCTGCCGTCTTGTTGGTCTCCGTTCCTTGGCATGAATGTGTGTCGATAATGGGTTAAGTTGAAAGGACATGTTTCAGTTCATCTCACTGGTTTTGTCCTCAGTCTGTTTGTCCTGGAGGACAGTTAAGAGAGATTCCCACGCTGCCTGGCACTGCAGAGAGAGGAGGGGTGATTAAGTCAGCAAGTGGCTCAAGGTAATGGAAATTTTATATTTAGAAAGTTAAACTTCTAATTTGAGAGTAAACTAAAGAGTTTTATGGTTTATTGTGAGCTTAGTAAGTGAATCGTTTTTACCTGGGTTAGGGTTGTAGTTGTCTTACCTCACAAATGGATGTTTGGTACTATTTTAGGTTAAATGTTGATTCTAAAAGTTATAAGAGTGAAAAATCTGACCCTTTCAAAACAACTATTCTAATGGCAAAAGCTGAGAATAACTGTTACATCAACTCTTCAAAGCGGAAGTTGCTCCCTGCTCCAATAAATGGGAGAAATTGTAGTAAATTTTTGAGCTTACCATTTATTTCGTATAAATCAGAGTGGGGGTGGTGTGGCGGGAATTAAATAATTAGTTTTCCAATAAATATAATTAAAAATGTATGAATCACACAGGCCGTAGCCTGCAGCATCCGGAGGACCACTATCAATCGGCTCTAAAAAGGTTCTGGCCAACCATCTGGCTTCTGTAACACACGTCGACATTAGCTACGTTTACATGCGCCAAATTTCCCCAATCCGATTCAAATCTGGGTTGAACTGATCTGATCATGCCGTGAGTTAATATGCACCAAGTACTCTATCAGATAAAAAGGGTTGAGCATGCACAGAGTTGTCTTTCCTGGAAAATGTCATGAAGTGAAATGAAAAATGTAAAAACAGAAAAAACAATTCATCCTGCTTTCCTGGTTCATTTTATCAATTGTAACTTCTTTGCTCATAGAAGTTACAATTTCTTCAGTGAATAACTGCAGATTTTTGCTTTGCTGCATTTTATGGTTGGCGATAATAAAATAAGGGCTATCCTCGTCTTGGCCTCTCGATCAGCTGGTCTGCGAGTCTGACGTGACGGCTGCGGGCAGCACTACGCGGAGCGGGGGTTGGGGGTTCAGACTCATGTTTTATTACTGAGCTCTGTTAATTAATAAAAATGTGACAATCAGTTGGAATTGTTGAGAAAATTTGGTTCAAACTAAATAACGACATGTTCAAAAAGTTTGGAAGCCTGTGTCCATCATGTGTTAATAAACAAACTGCATCTCATCTGCGTTAACGTGCTTTAATGCAGATAGTCGCCCAGACTATTAAACTGAGGATGTTTTTCTACTCAACATCAGCCTCCATAAACTCAAACCAGGTCTGTTTACCAGTCTTCCTTACGAGCACGTCTCCATCCACCTGCTGCAGCAACAGCTGCTGCTTTCACAGAAACAGGAATCCGTGCATATTTCCAGTACAGACGTGAACACGTTTGTCGAATGATTTGTGCAACAATCAGATTTTTATTTTACTTCCACAAAATGCAAGTTCTGGATTAGATTTAATGAAACGGGGACGGCTTGCCATCAAATTTAAAAGCCAGTGCTTGTTAATTAGGCTGTCATTTTTTAATTCAGGTAGTCCAAATGACCGGAGAATATTTCGATTAACATGTTTATATGAAGAATATTTGATCTGATTGGGCGTTCAATCCGATTAATTGTGCCCATGTAAACGTGGCTATTGTTTGTGCTTGGATCCATCAGCGTCTACTCAGGCTGTTTGATATCTGTACAGAGATAACGATGATTTTCTACAGTGACAATTGAGTTCATTGTGATATATGGCATTGCATGTTGGGATTGGTGACCTCACTGTGAAGTCAAAGGCTAAATATTTTACTTTGATTAAGATCGCTGGGAAGATTCAATTCAAGTTTATTTATATAACGCCAAATCACGTCAAGAGTCGTCTCAAGCCACTTCACACAGTTAACATTCCAATACAGGTCAGTTCATTAAGGCAATCAGAAAAAAGTTTCCTATATAAGGAACCCAGCAAATTGCACCAAGACACTGACTAGAGTCAGTGTCTTTACAGCAATCCTCATACTAAGCAAGCATTTAGCGACAGTGGAGAGGAAAACTCCCTTTTAACAGGAAGAGACCTCCAGAGAATCTTGGTTCAGTATAAGCAACCATCCTCCACGACTCACTGGGGATCGAGAAGACAGAACAAGCATGCACGCGCCCCCCCCCCCCCCCCCCCCCCCCCCACACACACACACACACAACATATATACCAAGTAGTGCTTCTATGGTTACATTGTGATTTCTTGGTAAATATTCTATTTTACTAGATTAGATAATGAGTCGACCTGCTCCCTTAACCCCACAAGAGATGTTTGAGCAGACCTGCCTCAGACAGGCAGACAGTATTTTAATAGACTCTTCCCATGATGTACACTCCGAGTGCATTTCACTCAACTCAGGACAAAGTTATTGAGATTGCTTCTGTAAGTGCAACCAGTCATCTCCATCAAGAGCCTTTTCTAGATCCATAAAATCAATATAGATTGGTAGGGTCAACCTCCAGCATCCTAGAAATGTTAGAGACCTGGTCCACATTTTTATGTCCAAGACGAAAACCACATTGCTGCAATTCAATCTGACATTCAGCTGTCAGCCGGACAGTCCTGTCTATTGTCATAAAGTAGAACATCCTAGGGAGGCTGAGGAGTGTGATCCCCCTGTAATCAAAAAAACATTGTCTGGTCCTCCACAAGCTTCACCGCTTACGTCCATTGAGTGTTGCAGAGACATGCCAGTCAAGACAGTCCTACAATAGTCCAGGGATACCAAGGATCTTAACCACCTCAGCCACATCTATCTTAGAGATTCATCCATCCATCCTCTGGTCCGCTGGATCTCGTTCAAGTTCTCTTGGTTCTCCTTTGAAATTTGGTTTAGACAGAGGGGGTTACAGTACACCACCATTCGTCGTCACTCATCACCCCCACAACCACCTACCCCCTCAGCCTCTGGATTCAAACTGTGGATTCAACTGCAGATTTTTGCCACCCAGACAACTGCGTGGTCGACCGGACATGTTCATCTCATGCTTTTTGTCCATGTGAGCAAAGATTTGCATGTGAACAATTTTCTCCAAAACCTTTGAAAGAAATGGTACTTTTGAGATGGGATGGAAATTTTCGTAAATGGAGTGATCCAAATCTTATGAACGGAAGTGGAAAAAGGATGGGCTGCAAATTTCTCAACAAATGCTGAAAGATTTCCTGTCCATGTATCAGAAAGCCATCAGAGGAGCTAGAAATGAGTATTTCTCTAATATAACCACCACCCATCTCCCAAAAGAAACTATTTAGTGTAATCTATTATGTTCTTTCTTTAAAAGACACTGCCATACCCTCTGCTCCAACAACGACTCTCTGCACTGAGTTTATGACCTTCTTCCTGCAAAAGATCCAGGATATCAGATCAAGCATCCTGTCTGGAGGAACCAGAATGTCACCATCAATTTTCTGACTTTGTTCTTTCGTCACTAAATGACCTGGTGAAACTGATCAGGTCCATGAAGCACTCTGGCTCTCCTAAGGACTCCCTCCCCCCTAAACTAATAGTTGGGGCCCTCTCTGTGTTGGCCTCCTTAATTTTGGACATTGTAAACAGCAGTTTATCTACAGGCATATTTCCAATGGCATTCAAGAATGCGGTAGTTCAACCGCTATTGAAAAAACCTGGCTTGGATCACACTGTGCTTGCCAATTACTGCCCGATTTCCAAACTTCCATTTTTATCCAAAGTCACTGAGAAAGTGGTTCACACTCAACTCTCACCTCATCTGGATGATTACTGCCTCCTCGACCAATTCCAATCTGGTTTCAGGCCTAACCATAGCACAGAATCTGCTCACGTTCGTGTGCTAAACAACATTCTGGTCGGAACTGATGTGGGTTCCCATGTTCTGCTGTTACTCTTAGACCTATCAGCTGCCTTCGACACAATCAACCATAACATCCTACTTAGGAGGCTTGAATTGTGGGCAGGAGTGAAAGGGGCCCTACTTGACTGGTTTCGGTCCTACCTGTCAGACAGACACTTTTAGCGTCCACATTGACGACTGCTCCTCTCCATCTGTGCCGCTACCCTGGGGGGGGGTGCCTCAAGGTTCAATCTTGGTGCCACTCCTCTTCTCAATTTACTTGTTACCACTGGGAATGATTTTGGCAAAACTTGGAATGAGTTACCACCTTTTCACAGGCGACTGTCAGATTTATTTGGCTTTAAATAAACCTGATTCCACTCACCTACTCGTTGACTGCCTCTGAAGTAAAAACCAGCTCTCGGCCAACTTTCTATGCTTCAATGAAAACAAGACAGACGCTATTGTTTTTAATCCAACAAATCCCAAGCATTTACCTGACGACACTTCTCTTCCATCGCTAAACCTGAAACCCTGTGTCACTAGTCTGGGAGTAAGACTCGACTCTGACCTGTCCATGACCTCACAAATTAATGCTACTGTCAAACCCTGCTTCTTCCAACTGCGCCGTATCACCCGCTTAAAGTCCATAGTCAAGAGACCTCATCTGGAATCAATCATCCATGCTTTTTTTATCTCACGATTGGACTATGCCAACTCGGTGCTCATTGGTGTTAAGGCCTCCTCCATTGAGTGTCTTCAGCGAGTACGGAACGCCGCAGCTAGATTCCTCACAAATACCTCCAGACGTTGTCACATTACTCCCATCCTCGCCCGCTTACACTGGTTACCTGTGCAGTACCGGATACAGTTCAAAATCCTACTGTTTGTCTATAAAGCATTGAAAGACTCAACTCCCACTTACCTCGCTGAACTAATAAAACCGTATGCTTCTTCTAGATTCCTTAGATCAGCAGATCAGCTACTACTGTGCATCCCGAAGATGCACTACAAACCTTGTGGAGAGCGAGCCTTCTCTTTTGCTGCCCCCAAACTCTGGAATGCCCTCCCCCTCCAAGTACAACAGGCCCCTTCACTAGGCCGTTTTAAGTCTGCGCTAAAGACCTATTTATATCACCTTGCCTTTGGTCATTTACCTACTTTTACTATATCTCAGGACTGATTGCCTTTGGTGTTTTATTCTGTGCTTTCCCTGCTTTTATTTTCTCACATTTTTAGTACTGATGGCGCTTTTATTTATCTATTTTTAATCTTATTTTTAGATTATTTGATTTTATTTCTTCTTACAGAGCTCCTCTGTTCCCTGCTTTAAAGCACTTTGGTCAGCTGTCATGCTGTTTTTAAATGTGCTCTATAAATAAACACGGTGTGGTAAACCTGGTTTCTTCAATATTGGCTGTATAACCGCATTTTTAAAAACCATAGAAAAAACTCCAGTTCTGAGACTAGTATTAAAAATGTTCAATAGAGCTGGGCTCAGTGTAAACACTGAATCATGTATCAATCTGGGCGGGAGGCAACCCACCGGAGAGCCAGCTGGCTTCATGGAGCTGATAAACTTCACCAAAGCAGGAAGCTGAACTGGAGTAAAGTCCGAGAAACTAGGTGGACTTGGAGAATCTACATGGACAATTTGTCCTAGATGCTGGAGGCTGAGTCTGATATCACAGATCTTTTTTAAAAAAAAAGTTCTGTAAGTCAGTGCATAACTCGGCGATGGGAGTAAGGCCAAAAGACTCAGTTAAAGACAGTAAAGAGTTAATTGTGCTACACAATTTCGTCTGGTCTCCATGGTGTTGTGAGATGATGTTAGGAAAAATAGGTGTTTCGAGCAGATCTCAAAGCTCTCTGGTAGCAGAAAAGAGCGTCAACCAGGAGTTGTCGAGAGCACAACAGTCTGTCCTTTTTCCACCTCCGCTCCAGCACCCTCCACTGCTGCCTGAGACTACGAGTGTAGTTATTAACCAGGGGTCAGAGAAATACTCAGAAAAGAGACATTAAGTATCTCTGGGTCACGAATGAGGGAAAAATTAATTTGGATATCAACAGGAGTCTGCAGCCATGAGGATGCTGAACCAGTTTACTGTGGTGAAGAGGGAACTAAGACAGAAAGCAATGCTCTTGATCTGCCCTTCGTTCTGTTTCAACCCTCACCTATTGTCATGAGCTTTGGATAATACAAAAAAACAAGGTCATGAATACAGGCAGAAAAAATAGTTCCTCTGTAGAGTGGCCAGGCTTAGCAATATGGTGAAAGAGTGAGGCGAGGTGGTATGGGCCTGTGGTTAGAATGTCTCCTGAACATCTTCCAGGGAAAGGTGTTGTGGGCATGTCCTTCTAGAAGCCCCCCAAAGCCCACCCAGATGACACCTACAGATCTAAACACAGGAAGTGGAGGAAGTGGCTGAACTATCCATCAATCCATCCACTTTCTGAACGCACTTATCCACGCAGGGTCGCGGGGCCTGGTGCCTATCTCCAGCAGTCATCGGGCAAACAGGTGGGGTACACCCATATGTCGATGGGTACACCTTGGACAGGTTGCCAGTCCATCGCAGGGGAACACAGGACAAACAACCAAGCACACACTCACACCTAAGGACAATTTTAGAGAGACCAATCAACCTGACAGTCATGTTTTTGGACTGTGGGAGGAACCCAGACAGAAGCCACGCTTGCACAGGGAGAACATGCTAACGCCATGCAGAAAGGCCCCAGGCTGGGATGTGAAGCCAGGACCTCCTTGCTGCAAGGCAACAGCTCTAACTACTACACCACTGTGCAGCCCGTGGCTCTACTAGTCCCTGATAAATGGAGGAAGACTAAAACAACAACATAAATTTACAGAGACACGTTGCTAATCCAGTACCAAACTCCAAATAGTAAATAGTTTATAGTAAAACGACAAAGCGAAATGGTAGCTGAGCAGCTTCACCAAAAACCTGCCTACCTTTTCATAATAGTTGATATTTTTGTCAGCCATGCCGGTGAGAAGCTGTTTGAAGTCTTGTCTCTTGTTCCTCTGCCAGCGCTCCCAGTCTGCTTTCAGATCAGCGTTGAAACACTCCACTTTGTCCTGGCATTTTTCTACTTCTACTGGAATCTACAGCAAAAACAAAGAAGACTAAAGCTACAAGGGGACTGGACGCAAAACTAAGTGTGGTAAGATCTGAATCTCAAAGGTATGTGTGGGGGAAGAAATCTGGAGAGGCAAGAATGGATTTTTAATTTTATAGCAGCATGTCGTGAATCAGATCAGCACTTGAAGCTTCAAAAATAATAATTCAATCTATGGAATTTTGATGAAATTTAATGAAATGACGGATGCTGCTTACGGGTGTTCGGTCTTCTTGTTTGCGTAATACAGCTGCTTCGAGGCGGCCCTCATACTCGGCTTGGCTCTGGTCTCGCTTCCTCAAAACGTTCTTAAAGCAGACAAAGAACAATGTCAAAGCAGCAACTGCTTGACCTGCTAAACCAAGAGCTTGGTGAGGACAGGACATGACACAAGCATAAAAACTCGAATGGTACTTCCTCTAGCATCACTAAAAAGGGATCTGTTAATTTCAGTTCTGCATGCACTTCTAGTGATGTTTGCAAAGATTATTAATGTTTATGTTTTACCGGAAATCACCATGCAACACTACTAATATTAGACAGAAAATTTCTAAATGAAACAATAAAATATTGCTTCCTGTTTTCTATCCAATCACACAGCCTTTCCACTGGATGCATAAGCGGCACGGAACATAATTAGATCTGATTTACCGGCGAGCTCCCTTCCCAACGGAAGTGTTTCAGATGTAAAAAAGCAGCAAAGGTGTTTCATGCAGCTGGTCCCACGAGGTTACAGAATCACAGGAGAATTGCAACACCACGTGTGATTTCAGCAGTTCACGTGATAAAGAGCAAGAAAAAAGGATGATGGCATGTATCCAAAAGGAGCTATGGTCTATTTTCTGTTCTGTTTACCTCGGCTATGGAGGATTCAAAGTTAATCACATACCTTTTTCAACTAGTTGATGAGCCAATAGCAGGTTACATTTTTTTTCTAATTCATATAAAATGTTGTGCAAAAATACTATTTGAAATGCTTATTGTGGATATTTCATTTTAAAATACATAACAGAGTTTTTCTAGTAAAAAGTGACCTTTCTCAGCAAAGCTTCTAAAAAGGCTCTTTTTTTCTAAATCTGAACCTCTGAAGTAACCAAAAGGAGTTAGAAGCTAGGCGCTGCCTCAGTTCAGTGTGGAGAGTGAGTAGTTTTAGGGTAGAGAGGTTGTGTTATCCAGTCAGTGTGTGTGTTTACTAGTTTTGGATCGTGTTCATTTTGATAAACTATAGTTTGTGATGGCTGCACCAACTCCAGCCTGTCTGGACATCGAGTCCACGAGTTTCCAAATAAGAAAAACAACGCCTCTATCTCCGTTGCCTGCGGGTGTTTTGTGCAGACGGGACTTCTGAAGCCCATAGCGGTCGGTACCAGGACAGGGAGGTCCGTGCTATGCTCCAGAGACCCATGGTGGGGTTTAAAAAATTAAATGCGGATTTCTAGAGCTCAGATCACAGTCAGAACCAGGTCAGAACAGACCACCAGAAGAGACGCGCGGCTCAGCAGGCCAGCTGGTTTCTGGGTCAGAACCAGATCAGAACCGCCGCGGATCTCCAGCAAAGAATCATGTGCAGCTTTATAAAATACCAGTTCGACTGGCTTGCTGGTGTCTGAGTCAGATCCAGCTCACAAAACCCTGCATGAGCTCCAGAACCGGATGACTACGAATCTCTCTCCCCCCCTCTAAGCGCTAAACTACGTTACGTGAATGGATATCAACGAGAATGAGACAGCTGACAGACGCTCATTAGTATTAATATTAAATTAACTGACCGATACTATTTTAATTGTCTGGTACACGATAGTATTCTGTACAATATTGTGATGTTAGCACAAGAGTTTAAGCTAATATCATTAACTCACCTGCTGCTCCTCCGCTGCTTCTCCTCAAACTCTCTGCTTTGGCCGGTGGTTTCTCCCTCTGGATTGTGTCTGCTCTCTGGACCGTGCAGCAAACTCTAACTTTATGGTTTCGGTCCATCAGGAGTAGAATTAGAAACATTTAAGTTTCCTCTGGGTCAGAGCCAGCATTACAATCCATATTTTTCCTCTGGATTAAGCTAAAAGGACTTCCTCAGCTAACGCCACTTGGTTTGGCAAAAATAAATAAATAAATAAAAACATTTTTCTTACACAAATGACTAAAAGCCTAAATATTTTATGTATGTGTAAAAATGTATTTAATGAGTTTCTATTACATTTCTATAAATATTGGTTCATGGGAGTCTCTAACTTGCAATTTGCAATCGTTTCTGGATCTGTAACACTGCTTTCTTGTTTGACTTCCTGTCTGGCTCACTCTGAACTGCGGAGATTAAGTTCTTCTGGAAGAGTAGGATGTAAAAAATAGACACAAAGAGTAAGTGTTGCTATGCTTCTGGGATGCTTCCAAAACGTAACGCTTCATGGCCGGTGGAAACGCACCCATCCGCTATAAAGACAGCTAACTGCTATGCGTTTTGCAGACATTTTGCGGACGTTACGTGACACTTATGCATGCAGTGGAAAGGCCAGGTAAGCCTATTTCAATCTGAACACCTTTTTACCTTCATGGATTCAATATAGAGAACATATTCTCTAAGAACAGGCAGGAAGTCCTGGCTCGTGCTATCACTCAGGTCCTCCATGGCCCCGCAGCACGTCGTCACACAGCCAGCGACACCCTCCAAGGGGCGCTGCAGCTGCTCCTCGGAGCCAGCCCAGCTAGAGTAAACAGAACTGTACTCCCGGAGCTCCGTTAGATACTCTAATGAGACAGAAAGAAAGGAAAAGAGGAGAAATCTGAGACATGCAGCATTCTCAAATATCAAACAAGTGTGTTATTAAGACAAGATGGTTGGGAAAAGTCAGGCACACACACTTTGTGGCAGAGTTTTATCTTATCTCCTTTAGCTTGGAAACAAGGCTGCTTCTGACTCAACTCATTAACTGACCCAACAGATGGCCAACAGGAGCATTTCACACGACAGTGTAACGGCATGAAGGTTCTCTGATTTGTGCCAAAGGTCACATTTGCCCAGCTGGGTCAAGCTGGGTCAAACAGTACTTTGAATCCACAGATTAAACCCAAGGAGCCACGATCATAACACCAGTATCTGCTGTTCCGTCCCAAGAAGGACACTTCAAGCCACGATGATAATAATTAAATAATAATTAATAAACTTATGATTTTATTACTGTTTAAATAATCATTTCAACATGATCACTTGGTTCAGATATAAAGGTATTTTAATTACATGAAATGGATTATTATGCTTTGGGTATTATAATGATAATTATTATAATGATTAAAGATGTGTTCAGCAAAGAAGACTTTCACCCTGTTCAGCCAACACAGAGTTCAGATAACGATAACTGCATCACATGTTTTTTGACGCATGACCAAGCTTTCTTCCGGAGAGAGGGAGGGGTTCTGAGAGGGTTTGGTAAAGACTAACCATCACAGATTTCACGTCAGTTCTGGAACCAACACCACGGGGAAAGGAGAACGGCCGTCTCCTAACCTCCACCTGCTGTTCTGTCATGCCGACGAGAATGGCTAAAGAACAAACGAACCGTAAACCAGCTAACACAAGATTCTCCCAGAGTCATTGATTTCTGAAGTTAATTTAAATACGGAAACGTGCATCTGCCAAACGCTTCGTACAGCCATGTACCCGGCAATCACTCTGGACCAGAGCATCGGACACTCGCGTCTTTCTGCCAGCCCCGAGTGTCATCTTGGATGAACCCATCCTCCGATCTCCGGATCCACAAGAGGGTCAGCCTGATTGGGTGAGGTAGAACACGACAGATGACGTTTGATGCTGTTTTCTCTAAAAATAACTCAGTTATCCGCAAAACATCATTTTCACCAGAACGCTTCCATTCCCTCTGAAAGAAACCTTCTGAGAACTTCATTCACGCATTCCAAAACTCACCATTCTCATTTTTAGTTCCATCCAACACAGGTTTGCTTTTAATATCAAAGCTGTTGAGGATTGTCATTAAAATTGCCATCCATGAATTGTCATTTTTTATAATTAATTGTCGCTTCAAATTTTCTGTTTAAAATTGTTAGAATAAAACTTCTTCATTTTTAAACTTGCCTCATTATTGAAACGAAACACAGAAAAGGGTTGCATTTCCAGTTTATGGAATGAAAAGAATCTTACTGAATCTTCTGTTTAATAAATAAACTTTTGCTATTAATTTAAGCATCTTAAATTAATATTCACACCATTACAACAGATCTTTATTTACAGAATCACTCGTCATGCTTGAGCCAGTCGGCATGCTCACAGGTCTGTTGGTGGTGTTCCTTCCAGTAAATAAAACTCAAGACCAACCAAAACACAATGAACTCCTTTTTATGGGATAAAAGCTGACAAATAAAAATAGATGACACAACTCCCACACTTGTAAATCTAAATTTTGTAAATTTGTTTTCATTGTTAAAAGGTTTTAAAGTTTTACTCAGTCCTTCCAGGAAGCTACATTCATAACTAAACTAGCAAATCCAGCCAACTGCCACAGATATTTCTTTATTTTTATATTTTAGGGGGATAAAACCACTTGAGCTAAAGCATCTCATTTTCGAGTGGGTCCTCTGACAATAGAGCAAATAAAGTACAAGCAAGCAGAGGGTATCTGCAGGTTTAAGGGAGCCAAATTTAAGACTTTTTAAGACCTTTTTTAAGGCCACTTTGACCAAATTTAAGCTGTTTTTAAAATTAAATTTAAGCTATAATTTCCAGCTATTGCCTGGAACCGGTGCTAACCACGTCGCGAACTTGGGATTAACCATCCAGTTACCATTAAACTTGCACTTCCCCATGGCGCAAGCTCCCACTAGCTTAACCAGCTAATGTGCTCATCTAAAAATAGCCCCCTTTCACAACCAACTGAATGTGTACGGTTCCACTTACGCTAACATCGTACACAAAAAATGCTGAACACTGACTAGAAATTCACGAAAATTGTATAGAAATAAAATAATCTTGTTTATTGGGTCTTTGGTAATTTAAGACCTTTGGAAACTGTATTTAAGGATTATGTGTCATTTTTAAGAATTTTTAAGGCCTTAAATTTGGAAAAGCAAATTTAAGACTTTTTAAGGACCCGCGGATACCCTGCAAATAGACAAGTCGAAGACATAAATCATAAACATAATTTTTTTTTAAATCTACATCTGGTTTTTGTATTTGCACAGAAACGCGATGATCCCCAATCACTCACTGTTTCTTTAAGTAGAGATGCCAAAATGTTACTGTGTCCCACAACTGAAGATCATATTAGCTTATTATTATTATTATTATTATTATTACCTTTAAAATTCACACGTGTGCATTTCTTAAAACATAGCATGAGAAAAGTGGCGGATTCTGGTTCTTTTCTTGTCTAGTCCCGCCTGTTGCATTTGCTAATTGGTTCTAATTGGCCCAAAGTTTCTACGCCACACAGCTAGGATATTTTCTAACCACGTGGACGTGGACGGTCCTGTGCGGAAAAACATGGCGGACTGGCAAGAGCTCGTAGTGGCAGTTTCCTAAGTACAGACAACTTTATGATTCGGCCAAAAAGACCACCGTGATCAAAATGTTGTCAATTCTTGGAGAGAATGTAGAGCCCTATGCTGCCCCTTACAGCCTGGGAGTATGCTGGCTCACAGCAGGGAAAAGCCGGAGAAGGTATAAATTAGGGGTGGGAATTGATGTCGATTCTGTCTATCGATCCAATTCCTTATCAATTCCAGAGTAGTTAAACAGGTGGCAAAAAACTAATAGCGCACGGCTCCTGCAATATAACTCAGTTTCTTTATGATGAATAATCTGTATCGGTTGGAAAGATCTTTCCAAATGTTCTCCTTTATGCTCCCTGAGAAGGCAGAGCCATCTTCTGGTTCGGTGCAGTGTTGCTGTAGCTTTTGCTCCATCACAACTTTACCCTTTAAATATTTATGACTAAATGTTATTTTATAATTGAATTATAACTACGTCTACATCATGACATGATACTGATACCTGACTGTTCTTTGAGTATTCTCTGAGCAATGCGATCCAGGGTTCCCAGTTTTTGGCTGAACGTGTCCAAGTACTCTCCCATGGCACAGAACTCCGATGGCCGTGCCCGCAGCTTGTAGCCTCCGGTTACGTGCTTCACAGATTCTCCCACTTTAGTCAGCAGGGCTAAGCCCTGCCGCTTGTTGAGGTCCTGCACAGATCCAAGACAAAAATACCTAAATAGCATCACTTTAAAGCCACTTGATTTTAACATTTTTATTCATAATATGAATTTGTTCTCTATATTAATATCTCAGTGAGGCTACTTTCCTTTTTGCTTACTTTTAGTCATTAATTCAACTATAAGCAGATAGTTGTCCTACCTTTGCAGTCAGGAAAGCATTGAGATGTGGGTTGAAGGATAGGACGGGGTGGTCAGCAACTCGCTTTAAGAATTTATCCAGAGCTTTCATCCTCGTCTCCACAAACTCCTCTGAGAACCGATCCACCACGCCCTTCATCACAAATTTCTCAGGAAGCGGCTGGAGATGTAGAAGACGAGACGAGAATGTAAATGAGGAGCATCTCACTGATAATCAGCATTAATGTGGCGTAGAAATCTAGACAGATGGCAGCCGAAGCAAAAATTATTTTGTTCTGCAGCAGTGGCTCAGTAGGTAGAGCGGGATGTCCAGTAGTCGGAAGGTTGCAGGTTCGATCCTGTGCTACTCACGTGCACGGACAGCAGCGAGACGCGGAGAAAGTGTGAGATAATGATCAGATGCACTGATGGAAATCGTTTGTTACGTCTGTGATGCTCTCGGGGCGTAACATGTAAAATATCTACGCACAAGTCATTTACGAACATACTCATGGCCAAACAAACAAGTAAACAAAGAAACAGCCCATCACCAGTGGTAGAATAATTCATCCCAATGCCCAACCCTAGTGGCCAGATTATATATTCACATAGATAGGATGGCTTGCCAGGTTTGTATTAATGGGTTGCAAAAGAAAAACAGAAAAAAGCTCATGGGCCCTACAGGGATGAGGTGGGTTGGCTGGCTGTCTTCCAGCTTTGTCCTCAGCCAGTCAAAGTCCTGGTAGCGCCGTCGGACACAGTACTCTGGCAGGTCAAACTCTATCCGTGTTGTCTGAAATAAGACGAAAGAAATGTTTCTGTTACACATTAATCAAATACACTTTTCTCTAAGATTCAGATTTTTCTTCATTTTCTTAAAATTACCAAACAGAGAAAACTGCAAGAGTTCCTGATAAGTTTATTAAATGATAAATATTGCAGAATTTCACCAACATGATCGACTAAATGATGTTGTGTACACAAGCAAACACCATTAACAATTTGAGCTCACATTAGGCCATGACATGTGTGCAGCCCCTTGAGCCTCATCAACAGTGGACATGGCAACTGTAGCCAGTGAGCGGCTACAGCCCGCATCCCCCTCTAAATCCATGTTTCAATAAACATCAGGAAGGCTTCAAACAGCTGTTGCTGGAACAAACAGAGCTCTGTCAGGTCGAGTTGTGACTGCTAAACAGCAAGCATGTGATGGAAAATGCCACACACACACACAGAAAAAAACATTCATATCCAACACCTCATTAACCCTTAAACTGCAGGTAAAATGCTTGGTAGAGTATATTTTAATGCCAAATCTTCTGAAATTATCTCTTAGGTGAACAAAAATTACTAAGAAAAAATAAGTATTTCTTTCTCTGGTGGTGATGATAAACCATCAAATCCTAAATTTTGCCCAATGCTCAAGCCAATGAAGACTGAACGTTAACTGTAAGAAGTGCAGCTACGATTAGTCAATTCACCACGATGACATCGACAAACAAAAAAGTCCACTGTAACTGTAATAATCAACGTAGTTTATCCTATAAGCATTTATTTAATCTTGCCTGCCGCGACACCTTAAGCGGCTGTTTTCTGCCTTTCTGCTCAAGGCACAAGCGCAGTAGCGGCCATCCAGATCAGCCTTCGAATCAGAATCACCAAAGAAAGAAGACATTATGGCGAGTCGGCAACGTAGCTCAAAGGTTTAGGAGCATTACACAAAGACAAAAGAGAAGCAAGTACAGTGCAAAATCTGCAAAGTGAAACTCTCCTTTCACAGGAGCACATCAGCGATGCACGGACACCTTCAAAGGAAGCATGTTATGGCGGAGAACAAAGAGTCGCCTCTGTAAGCTAATCACCTCTCGTTAGCTGCCAACATCAACAGACATTTTTGCAATTATTGTTATAGAACCAATTATAAATAGAGTTGTATTGATCTAAAGAGTGAAATGAGAATTTTTCATATTTCTTTACAGTTTCAAGTATGTGCAGTTAATATTTCCTTTATACAAGTTGAAAAATATTGCTAAAATAAGACTAAAACTAAAACAAATGGACGGCTAAATTGTGACTAAAATTAAAAAGAATTATAGTCTAAAGACTAAAACTAAATTAAAATTTCTTGTCAAAAGTAACACCGACTGTAAGCTTTTCAAAACTTTACTACTGTATGAGTATATTTGTAAAACACCCACAAGCCATTTATAGTTTATTTATGGTACAAACTAACAGACGTTGGTCAGAAGCCTCACTCTCAGAGGTGAAGGTGGTTGGTCTATTTTTACTTTGATGTAAAAACAAATGTTCCTGCGATTATTTGGCCTTCTACCCGTGACGCCACCTCGACAAAATCGTGCTCCAACTTTACTGATTTGCGTACAGTCAGTCTGACTTTTGAGTTACCATCTGCTGATTTTGATCAACACTAACACGTTTTTCCAGGTAATCAATTCAGGTGTATAACACCCATTTTAAATATATTCAGGGTATATACAGCAATCCTTAAGTAAAATTTACTACTTTTTAATACTTTTTTACTACCTTCAGAATTTTTTTAAAACCATCACAACACTTAATTGCAAGTGTTAATCAGCGACCTATTTACACATATTTTAACATATATAACATACAAAAAGAATAGACTTAGAGACTCACTGATGTTGACAACGTATTGCACATATTTATTTTACTTAGAAAATAAGCCAGGCACTTCTGTTCAGCGATCCAGACAGTTGACCACGAGGCCTGAAATGATGCAGAACGACCACTGAATATGACATCATCATTATGTGACCGGATATGCTAAAGTAGGGCTGCTCGATTATGGCGAAAACAATAATCACGATTATTGTGACTGAAATTGAGATCTCGATTTTTTAAGACGATTTTTCAATTTATGTAGATTTTTGTTTTTGTTTTTATTCAGTCATAAAACTGCTCAGGGCACAATCAGGACAAAAATAAACAAGAAGCAAGATGATCACTAAAATAGCTCCTGATTCCCAGTATAAAAAGACCAATATACTTGTGGCAAGGTGGATAAACGAGAGCCCAGGCAGGATTCGATCCCCAGACTCCCAGGTGAGAGTCATACTCTCTAACCAGTCAGCCAAAGAGACATCCCCTTGGCCAAGTAGCCAGGACGCATGATCTATCGGGACACTGTGACAGGACACTCACACTGCCACATACTTATAGCTCATAGTTTATGACCCAAGGGCTATAGACCTTGGTTTAACTCATTTGTCTAACCAGTACAGACCCAAATACCAATATCTGGCAAATACTGACAGCAAGAATTATACAGTGGCATTTATAACAAATACATGCAAATTGATGTTCACAAAATTTTGCATTACATTTAGTCATGTCAAGGTGCTGAAGGAGACTGCACTAGCACCGTGTCCTTAGAGAGATTAGTTATTAGTTATCAGCGTGAGGAACTTATTTCTACCTTATTTATAAACTATTTATTTACAAGTCCATCAGTTAATGTAATAATTGTCCCAACCACAGCTGCACCCAGCGCTGGACTGACCATAGGGCATAGCGGGCAACTGCCCGCTGGGCCGACCCTTTCATCTTTTATGGGCCGGTGTCTGTTTTTTTTTTCCTGGCCTCTAGTTGTTGCGGACAACTTGTCCGCGCCGCCCCACGCGACGCCTCATAAAAGTTGGTGGATTGGCCAATTGGTAATAATACACTGTGGGCTGGACCAATAGCCAGAGGTCTGATGCACCCGCCAGTTGTTTGTGAATCTCAGTAAACAGACAGACGAGCTTTACAAAATGGAGAACAAAAAACGGAAAGGAGGAGCGGAGAAAATTCGACTACAAAAGAAACTGGCACATGTGTTAAAATCTCACAGTTGTTTGGTAGTGAAGGTTCAAGTAAAATCAATTTAGGAAGTGATGGAGCCTCAGCCCAGCGACAGGTTGGAGAAGAAAAGAGGGAGGAGGAGGAGAAACCCGAGCCGGTGTTGTGCCATAAATTGACTCGCTGCCAAAAAATGATTAGCCACTGCGGGATCGCGCACGGTTAGGTAATTGCATTTCTAGACAAAATTCCCCAGGATTTCGCCCTAAAACTCGGCATATCTAGCAATATGGACATTCAGAAAGCAAAGATAACCTCTTCCGGTACTTAAACAGATGTTTATCGCGGATATTAGTGTGGCAGTGTTTGTGGCACCCTGCGCGGGAGCACGAGGACGTGCTTGTGGAAAGAGGGAGGAAGATGTGGCTGTGTGAGCATCCACAATGTCCCGATTGATCATGCGCCCTGGCTACTCAGCCAAAGAGAGGTCCCTTTGGCTGACTGGTTAGAGCGTATGACTCTCACCCGGGAGTCTGGGGATCGAATCCCGCCCGGGCATTCCTTTCTGCACCTTGCCACATTAGTTTTTCCAGTTCTGAAGTTGTTTTAAGTGTTGCTATTTGTCTTAAACGTTCACAATGAGGATATATTAATCCTTTTAGCAATATTTGCGATTGAAAGATGGTTTGTGCCACAAACTTTGTGGTAAGAACTGGCTTTCTTTATGTTACAGCCTTGATACTAAAAAAATAAATAAACAATGTAAAATGGCACCCTGTAATGAATGTAAACGTTGTATAAATGGAAATAAACAATTCTCCAGCGATTTAATTTTTTCCCCTTCCTTTCTTTAGTCTACTTGACATGGAGCCACAGTTAACTAGTTTGGGGCACATTTTTACTTGAAAAAAAGTATTTAAAATGATCAAGCATTGACTTTAATGACACTGTAGGTTGCTATCTATACATTACGTTGCTCTATTTAAAAGTAACAAGATAAAAGCACTTCAGCACATAAAATTAAGATTGTCACTTGCCAAATAGACTACACCCTCCCGTTTACCTATAAGAAACGCCTCAAAATATCTTTAAATTCTTTATTGATGATTTAATTGTAGACAACTAAAATGGCATTTTACTTGCCAAAAAGTGATTGAATCGCTAAGATTTTCATGGAGGCTAAAATTGACCAAATAAGGGTTTTATGTATTATCTGTTGATGTTACTGTACTCATACTGCCTATTGTATCATCAAAAACACCCCAAAAATGGCAAAAAAAAAAAGAAAAAAAAAAAAGAAGATAAATTCCCTTGCCAAAAATTGATTACAGTGTCCTGGTCACGTGTAAAGGGTTACATTTACCTAAATATTACTTTATTTATTATCTCTTGATGTTATTAGTGCCATCACAGGATGCTGGGTGTCTTTCACATTCATAAACACTTCAAAAATGGCAACAAATGATCATTTCCCTTGCCAAAAATTGATCACAGAGTCCTGGTCACCCATAATAAATGATTAAATTGGCATAAATATTACTTCATTTATTATGATGCTGGGTGTGTTCCACAATCATATTCGAATAAACATGAAAATATTCTGTCCGAATATCTGTTTCTTGTTATAAATATAACAGCTAGAAGGATTTACAGTTAAAATAGGAGAAACACGTGACTCCCCAGGAAGGGTCGTAACACCACTTGCCTCATGCACATAAGTGAACAAATCAAAGCAGCATGGAGACACTCCGTCTCCAACCACCTCTCAGGCAGCAGCCTGCACTCCCAAGTTCTACACATCACCAGAACATAAACAACCGCAACACAATAAAAGCAGTGTTATACAAAATGGAAGGCCTGTAGTGTTTATTCTCTTACAGTAACAACTTATCAATTTTTTGGAGGAATTTATTTGAGAATTTTTTGGTTTTTATTAATTGTGCAATAGAAAAGTAATCGCTAGATTAATCATCTAAATAGTCATTAGAATAGTCGACTATTCGATAAAATAATCATCAGAATAATCATTTTAAAAATAATCAGTTACCCCCAACCCTACTTTTTAGAATACCAGGATAGGAAGGATGGTGTAGGTTTACGTTTATTAGATTGATACATAAATACTACCAATAACGTTGGTGTGTGTCAGAAACAGCGTAAGGCTTAATGTCTTTTCCAAAAAAAACAGGTGATGGGCCGGTCTCCAGTCAAAATGCCCGGGCTAAATTTTTGTCCCAGTCCAGCCCTGGCTGCACCCCCACCCCCAACCCGGTCTCACAGCTATCAGGGGCAAGCTGCACGCGCACATTTAGCCGTTTTTAGCGGCTCAGGAGTCCGCAGGTACGGTGTGTGTGTGTCACTCACTCTGGTTAATCCAACAGGGAGCCGGCTCCAAGAGCTGTTTCTTTAGCGACTGACACATCACTACATCATTCCCTTTCCTAATGTCCTGAAGAACGGTCCGGAGCGCAGGCGGAGTGTTTAGCTAACCTGCAGGAAATGTCGACGACAGTTATCCAGAAAGTAGCTAAGGGTTACCAGAGATGTTTCTGAGGTGTTCCCTAGGTACTTTTAAGATTTAAAAAGTCAAGAAGGGGGTCTGAAAAGCTGTTAGAAATAGCGTCAAAGTCGCCAAGTTGGCAACACTGTGGAGGAGCGCTTCATTTGCAACTCAGGGCAGCGTAAGGTGGGAGGAGCAAATAATCGGCTTGTTTTGTTTTTATGATCGTTCAAAACATTTCATTCGGAATATATTTCTATGTCGATGTTCAGAATACGACATCTGATAGTCTGAAAAAAATAATACCTCATTTGGAAAAAATAATATCTCTGTGACCAAATTTAACACTTTTAATGGCCTTAAATTTGACTATTTTTATTTATCACTTTTTAATACTTTTTAAAACTCCGCGGACACCCTGATATTTTAAAATGTGGTCTATGTCAAACATGTTTTTGAAGTTCTCTGTACTAAATCCCTCTCACATAAAACAATAGCAGCAGCGATATTCATGATATTTTCAGTATTTTCCAGAATGAGCTGTTTCAGTGTTCCAAAACTTTACATAAATACGCTGTTACTGGCCACGCCCACCCAATCACTGATCGGCTGCCATGAGGTGAAGACCTTGGATTCCAGGGCTGTAGGCAGCAGAGTAGGAGCGACAGACAGCTGGTGTGATCAGCTCTGAAAAGCGTTGACCAGAATTTGCAGATAATGTTTATTTTTCACAGAGATCGGCCGCGGACTCCTCTTCCGGTCGGCATACTAGGAATCAAAACTAGGAATAGAAATAAAAAACTGTTGGTCCCAGTTAAAATCGATGCTCAATGCCCAACCCTACTAACAATTCAATTCAAAAATACTTTATCACAGAGGGAAATTGATTGCTGTAGTAGCTCAGAATAATAATAACAATCAAGTTGTCAAACAAACGGCTAAAACAACAAGAATCTTCATCCAAGGCTTGATTTTTTTAATCCGAAGATCTTTATAAATGTTTCATCACTGCAACTGCAATATAAAGAAAAGGTAAGAATGCATTACTAACTAATAAATACATCTTGGCATCACACTTATGGAGAATGAGATTCAGCTGCTGGTGGAGACAAAATAAACATGGTACTTTTCCTATTATTAACTGAATTGAAGTCGTCATTTAGCACAAAATTTTTTAAATGTAAGCATGCATGATGGGAGATATGTGACATTAGAAATCTAAAATTTTTAGTTTTTCTTTTTATACGAGAGGGGGGTACAACATTAATCGGTATTGGTTTATATTGGTATCAGAAATTAAGAATTTGACGATATCGGTATGTGTGTAAAAAAGCCAATATCGAGCGTCCCTAATGTTTTTCTTGCCTAATAACACTGACATATTCCATGATGACAATGCCAGGACTCATAGTGCTCATGGGACATTATTTTAACACATGGACCAGCCCTGATGAGTCCAGATGTTAAAGGTATGGCAGAGGATGATTCTGAATTTCAGAAAAGAATCGCCCTCTCCACGTTTAAAAAATATGCACACTCTGTTAACAAGAAGCTAGTGGCCTTGCAGCACTTCTTCTAGCAGGAACCTGTAATGAATTTCTCCAACTAGCATGCCGAACTTTAGCTTACCCGTTGAGTAGAAAGACTGCAATAGAGGCATCTGTGGAGAGCCCAACCTCCGCTTTCAGTGCACTAAAAAACTCCGGTCTTAAGCCTGATTCATGCTTCTCCATCAGCTCCGCAAGGGACAGACACGCACGGATTGACGGAAGCGTTTTGCTCTCATACTTCTCCGTCTCCTGGAGAGCGTTGCAAGGAAATTCCCCGGCAGGACAACAGAGGGCGTAGCGCTGTTCTGTGGTATCCTGTCATGTATCCGGTCCAAGATAGTGTGTTTATATTGTGTTTTTTGTATATGAGAGACTTTTTAACACTGACAAATGTCTCTCATTCTCCTCCACCTCTTCATGCGCTCCCCACCTCTAAACCCACGTTTCCTGTCATTTCCGTCCACAAATAAAACGCTTGCTGCGCATCTTTTCACTCATCGGGGGAATTAAACGTTCATATTTTAGAGTTTTTTCGCAAAGTATTCTTCAAGCTTCTTCGTGTCAGCCGCATGTTATTCTCGACTCTCTTTATGTTTTTGAGGGCGCAATGGCGGCAGTGTAGACGACAGCGGTGCCCTGACCAATCACAAGCTTGCGTTCTCAGTCTCGTTCGACGGATGTTTAAAAAAGTGGACTCGACTCCGTACGTACTTGGATGCCTGCCAGGGCCCTTCGCAAGGACGGATAATGGTGTTGCGTGTCTACGCACTGACACAGACGGAGAAGCATGAATCAGCCTTTATTTCTCACTTTGGAGGCCTTTCTCTTCTTATCATAGACTTTGAAGACACCTTTTCTCTTGCAACCCTCAGCCATTTTCAAAAGAACCCAGTGAGAACGGCGAGGAAGGAAGGCGTATCGCTCAACACATAAACACAATGCGCAGGCAGTAAAAACGAACCCAGGAACGAGCACATACAATGATGGCCATGCGTGAACGCTTCACCAGAATGATGCAGACCAATGGTTCGGACGATCTACCCAGAAGAAAAAGATCCTCCGCTATACCTTTAACTCCTTTGAGAATCATTGGGATTTGCTGGACGAGCCTCTGCAAAATGGTCAGACTCTCCCATCGCCAATACAAGACCTTGATGAAAAATGAACCCAACACTGGAGGGAAGTAAATGTTGTGGTGTTGAAGAACCTTAAGTGAAAAAACCCACTGTGAATGTGAGCCGTAATCAATGAAATAGCATTGTTTGTGACCTCTTTTTTGTTGGTTTGTGCATACCATCTCAAACAATTACCAAGCAGGAAAAGGAAGATGCAGCTACACTTGCAGTTAAAGCCAACTCACCACAGATAACCTTTTAGTGTGTATAAGCAAGAATGGCCTTCTACATGGATTATTTGAGTGTCCAAGTTCTACAAAGTGTCTCTGCGTTAAGTAATTATGTTATAATTTTGTCAGATGGAAGAGAACATAATCACACAAGCTAGTTTAAGTAGAGGGAAAATGGAGAAATTATAGATCTTTAAACCTGATCAATTGAATCCAAGAGTGTTCAATGTCTGGAAAGAAAAGGAAAAATAAGAGTAAATGTTTTCTTTCTAAGTAGGACTGCTCGTAATTAGCAGACTTTAAGTCTTAAACAGCTAACTGTACTGGGGGTAAACCGGTGAGCAGCTGATTAGTAGAAAAGGAAACAAACTGTCAGGAGGAATAAAATGTGGGACACATTCACCAACATAAGAGAAGCTAAATGAAACCCCCTGAACAGAAATCAGCAGCTGACCTTGGTGGAGACTCTGTAAGTGATGTAGGTCTCCATGGTGAGGACGTGTTTCTTTGGGTCGTCAACGGTGACGAAAAGGTCGTGGGTTTCTGATGGGTCCTGAGTGTCTGCTTCCAACTCGTCATCCAGCTGCAGCCTGTCGATCAGCTGCAACGTGGAGGCGGGGTTTGACATCTCTACCGGCGTGCCGTTGGTCAAACCCGGCTCTTGCTGTCATAAAAGAAAAACAAAAAAAGAAGAAGACGGTGGTGATGCCATGGTCACATGCTGCTACGGGTGAAAGCCGCAAACAAAGAGCTAGCCACATAGCTCGATGGTGATGCTGATGAAGCTGTGTTCCACTGTCAAAGGAGCTCTTGTTAAGCTGTACCCTACATTTGTGTTTCCATCTGAAAGGCGTGGCAAAAGCAGAATTTTTTTGGGAAAAGCCTTCAGCCTGGATTACAAAATCAGACATTTCAAACTCTTCTTTTTCTGTTTTCTAAAACGACAAATGGCAGCTGCATTGTTAAAAAAGCTTTAAAAATGGTCACTTACATCTCTTTGTGGCACGGTGTCCCATGGTTTCATTTAATAGAAACAGATTTTAAAAGTTATAAAGAGAAAAGATTTTAAACTGTATCGCCATCTTAATGTGGACTGGACTCTTGTGCAACTTTCCTGTTCAGTCAGGGCAAAGAGAAGAGCTGCCTCACTCCTTCCTCAGTCTAACAGTTTCTTCACACACACACTTACTTTTTGCTGTGCACACAGAAACAGACACACACACACTAACAGGCTGCTGACATAAGTGCAACTTTAACACTACGGTGCCAACCTTCTCTGGTAATCTTAGGTCCGATAATTACATTGCATCACTGTGAATGAACAACCAGGTCAGAAAAACAGCTGAGGCGGATCTGAAAAGTAACCAATCTATTGGAATTTCATGTTTGGCTAAGACTCACTTGAATTAATTTAAAAAAACTGGATTTCAGGAAACTGGAGTTTCAGGCAAAAAGAAAATTAAAAAAAGTATGTTAGACCATTTTTCCTATTTGCACAGAAAACATAAAATGATGTTTATTTTTGTGCAGAACCAGTAGAAATAAAGACATCACCTGATCTCTGACTAAATGAAATCCCAAAGTGTTGACATGCCGTTTCAGTAGAATCAGGGCCATGGCCTCATGCCTTGTGTTTTGGGTGGAAGTAAATCCAAAAACAGCCCCATAACAAAAAGCAGACATTAGGCAACCTTATAAGAATGAAAGGATCATTGATTTTGTATTAACTAACTGCTGGAATGAAACGTGACTCTCCAGGAGGGATTTTCTTCACATCTCTTTGTGTCCTGCATTCCCTCTGGCAGAAAACAAGATGTAAACTGTATTCAACTTAAGTGGTAAAACAAACAATGAGTTTTGATTTTTCTTTTCTAGTGAGATATTTTCAAGTATATCAACAAGAGTAACGTTGTCTTATTTTGAAGTGTAATTGTGTGTTTTTACTGCTGCCTAGGTCGTATTATAGCTATATTAATATTGGTTTATGAGCCGTTTCATATGGAGACTGATTTAAACTCGGGGTAAAAGATAACATAAATTCAGTCTAATGTAAATTCTATTTAAAAATAGAAAACGAGTGTTTTCTGTGCAGGCCAGTTCGTCGTTACTCTTCTGTTTCAGACGAACCACGAATCCCCGGACAGCACTACCTCCTTTCCCCCTACCTTCTCCACCCCGACGCTGATAGTGACATCTGGCCACGGGGACAGCTGCTCCTCGGCGGCGGACAGCGGGTGGAGCATCTCAGTGATGAGCTTCTGCCCCGAGCTGGCCAGGCCTCTCGGAGCACCAACACTCATCCCTGCGGAAGGCGGGACAACGCGGCCGCTAGTCGAGCGTGGCCGTCCGGTCTTTCAGCGCCTGGAAGGTTTTCCTGAGACGGAGGGACTATTTGACTCTCCTGAAGATTTCCTTCTGCTGAGACGCTACAGAAGCTAGTTGAGCCCAACAGTCAGCTGACCCAGACTGCGCAGCTCCGGATATTAATCTACAAGACCCCGGATGTAAACAAATGTTTTATTTTTATTTTTTTACTTTATTTCAATCTTCGTTTTCACATACATTCAGTTTACAATGTAACCTACATTCAACGTACTGAAGAATAAAGCAAATACAAATGACCTCACTTGAGGAAAATAAAAAATTACATTTAGAACTTGCAACAGTTACCACATGACACTATACCATAAAATAAATTATGATACAAAATAATAATGAAATAAAAATATCAACAACAAAAAATATATATAAAATAAAATGTTCAGAGGTTGATATTTCAGCATTATTTTTCAAACATGTTTGATTCATTGGACTGTAATTTAAAGAACAAGAAACTCAGACATTGTTTCGTACAACTCAGTTATAGATTGGTTATTTTCTGATAATACTTTTAGAGATGTTATAAATTGTTTTCTTTCATTTTTAAAATGGTTAATGTTAGGCTTGCTGATTTTCCATTTAGTTTTATGTTTATGGTATTTTCCCATGATGAAAATAATGTTCACCATTTTGGATATCTTTGGGCAGAGCATCCATGTAGATCAACACTTTAGATTTGTTAAGCCATACATCATTTCTCTCAATATTTAATAATCGATAAACATCCTCCCAAAAACCAATTGTTACTGAACACGAGAAGAAAAGATGCTCAATCGTCTCACATTCTGTCATACAAAAGACACACTGATTCACTTCAAAATTAAATCTTTTTCTTAATGTTTCAGCAGCAGGATAGATATTATGTATTATTTTGAATTGAATTTCTTTCAACTTGGGTGCAATTGGCCATTTAAGATAGCTGTAATATGGCTTTATTAATGTAGTTTTCTTTCCTGTGATTTTTATTTTCGTTGATTTGTCAATATCATAGAATAACTTTTTTTGACATACTTCCAAGTACTTTATTACATTTTTGTTCACCTAATTTAAATTAGCCAATTTTCAACTCAGGACGTTCAATCACCACATGTGAATTAAGCAAGGTATTTTAAATCATGAATTTTAAGGGAAATGGAATAGCTCTACTGATTTGATTAAACTCTCTAACAGAGCATTTAAAATTAAAATTTTCAACAAAACATTCAAATTGTAACAAATTGCCATTTTCATCCATCAAATCTGTCACATATAAAATCTTTTTGTCATACCATTCTTCTTTGAATATAGTCTTCCTATTAATTACAATGGCTCTATTATTCCACAAGGTGGGGCTATGCGGTGTAAAGTAGCTGAATATCATTTTCCAGTAGAGCATTTGTTTATGGAAGTCAGATAGTTTGATTGGTAATTTAGATATTTCAAAGTCACATGTTAACAGGAATTCTAATCCTCCAACCTTTTGGAAAATATATTTTGGTATGTGGAACCATACCATATAGAATGTGGTTGTATTAAAAAAGCTTTTATCCAGTTTAACTTAAGTACACCAATCATGGCTTCAAAATCAGCAGCCTTTAGTCCACCATGTTCATAGTCTTTTACCATCACAGACTTTTTCAGGTAGTGTGTCTTGTTCTTCCATGTAAAATTAAAAATGATCGAGTTCACTTTTTTTATCAACATAAAGAGACTGACAAGGATAGATTAAGTTTGATAAGCCCTCTGCTTTTGTTAATAAGATTCTGCCAATGATAGAAAGATCTCTAACGAGCCAGTGGTTGAGAGATCTTGGATGTAAACAAATCGATAGGGATCATCTATTGATGTGATGAGTGACATGGTCAGAAAAAAACGACCATTTGACTAATTTCCCATATTTTTAATAGAAAAATACAAACATGTATGTCAGAATTCTCCATAAAATGTTTTGTATATTTTTTGAGTAGCTCTCACCTTAATATTTAAATGTACTTTGGCCAGTCACGTTTTATTTGTGCAACCATTATTATGCCTCTCAATTTGTTTTTCTCCAACGTTATTTTCTTAAAATAATTAGATTTAATTGGCTTTAAAAGTTTTAATTATTTTTCTAAAATGTTAAGAGTTCCACTGATTTGCTTTGATTAGATGATTTTTTCATCCCAAATCTATTTTTTTCTGGGATACAACAAAAATATATAGGCTATTTAAACACATATTCATAATTATGAGAATAAATATAAAGCCCCCCTTCATGACATTTACCTTTTGTTTGTATGTATCACAACAACATTTAGCTACAGTCTTTGATTTCTATGTGTATAAGATAATCGAATAACCAGATTTTTTTATGTTCTTATTACAACGACTAATACTACTTTGATGATTATGATGACTATATTATTGTCGTTGCTGTTGTTCAACAAATTGTTTTGCATCTTCAAAGCATTTGATGACAGTTACTTCTAGTGGACATATCTGGGAACGCAATTATTCTATTCTGTTCTATTATATTATATTCTAATATAGACTATTACATATTATGAAGCTTATATTATTATTATTTTTTGCGACAAAAACAAATTTAGACTCTCTAAAGACATTTGCTTTGGAGTGCTTTGTGCAACGTGTGAATCTATCTTTCTATGACGCGTTTTAAGTAATAACTTGTGTATTATTGTCGCCTGACCGCACTCTTTTCACAACATTCAGGGGTGAATCATAGCATCTAAAAACGTAAATGTTTCCTAAATTAAAGACGAAACAGGTCAACTAAGAACGTTATAGGTGTTGCTAGCTATAATTCTATTTCCAGCATCGAAACATTTTTGGGACCGAATCTAAATAAACTAAAATAGATTACTCATTAATGATAACGTGAATCATCACGCACTTGATGCACATCCCAAAGTTTCGTAACGCTACTTATTTTTTCAGGCTGTGGTATTTCCACTCAGCTGAATAGTTGGCCCAGCTGGCTCCACCCTCCGTTACTCGGTCAGCTACGTGTTGAGAGTCTAACCAGCATCCCAGAGAGGGAACATCGTCAGCCTGTCTCTCTTCAGAGGAATCAATGAAGCCACCGCGCAGGATCGTCAGCTCACAACTCTTCACTACAGTTTAGAAAAGACTTGACTTCCCTTCTTTTGACACTTTTCTCGACTCGGACTTCTTCCGTGTGGAAACAAATGATATCTGAACCCGTCGAACTGGGGATCAGAGAGAGAGAGGAGGTGGGTGTCGGGCTGCTTGTTTCTTTGCTTGCTTCGCGCATTAATTGTGGATACAAGTTATGGACTAGCTGCAGCAGTTTTTTTCTCTGAGCGTTAAGTAAACCATCCCAGAAAGTTCTTCAGGAAACTTTGCATAAACAGTCGCAAAGACGCGCAAAGCCCTGTTAGTACGGATTGGACAATGGCATTAAAAGCCAAAGTGTTATATGACTTCCACGCTGAAAACCCAGGAGAAATCTCCATAGCAGAGAGTGAGCTGGTGAGTGTGTTCACTGAGGAGGAGCTGGATGGATGGCTGGAGGGGGAGAACAGCAGGGGAGAGGTTGGCCTCTTTCCTGCCTCATATGTTGACATCATCAGAGACCACATCAGCGCCAGCAACAACGGCTTCTCCTCACCTAAAACCATCACCCAGCCCCCTGCCCGTACCTCATCCTCTGACTCCCAGTCTCAGAGAGGATTTAAGGTCGGCAGTGGTGGGGGAAGCAGCTTCAACACCAGCCAGGGCAGTGATGATGACTGGGATGATGACTGGGATGACAGTTCTCCTGCAGCATATGAGCCTCAGGGTTTTGGCAGCACCCCTCCCATGTATCCGGTCGCCACCTCCTTGCCGACCCGCAGGAGTAGCCAACAACAGCAGCAGGCCAAGGGCTCGGCCACGGTGGGGAGAAACCTCAACCGGTTCTCCACCTTTGTCAAATCTGGAGGTGAGGCTTTCCTGCTTGGGGAAGCATCAGCTTTTGTGAAAGACGGGGACAAGATTGTCGTGGTGATGGGGAACCATGGACCACAGTGGCAGGAAGACCCCTACCCATTCACATGCACCATCGACGACCCCACTAAACAGACCAAGTTCAAAGGCATGAAGAGCTACATGTCCTATGGCCTTACCCCAACTCATACCAACATTCAAGTAAACCGCAGGTACAGGTTTTCCTCCTTTCCTCTCTATGCCCTTCTCATTTCTCCATATCCCTCCTCAAACCCGTCTCCTTTTTACCCACCTATAGGTACAAACATTTCGACTGGCTCTACGCTCGTCTTGTGGAGCGTTTCCCCGTCATCTCAGTGCCCCACCTGCCAGAGAAGCAGGCCACAGGCCGCTTCGAGGAGGACTTCATCTCCAAGAGGAGGAAGGGTTTGATTTGGTGGATGAACCACATGACCAGCCACCCAGTGCTGGCCCACTGTGATGTCTTCCAGCATTTCCTGACATGTGGGGCCGACGAGAAGGCCTGGAAAATGGGCAAGAGGAGGGCAGAAAGGGATGACCTGGTTGGAGCAAACTTCTTCCTCACAATCAGGTAAGAAGTCCTAACAATAAAATAATGGCATTCACTTTCTTGAACGAACTTGCACGTCCTTGCAATTCATAATATTTTCAGTTCCACGGCTTTCATCGTTAGTTGTTCAAGGTAATTCTATTTTTCACACAGCAAAACAGACTTTTTATTTTATTTTATTTTACTTTAAATGGATATTTGTCATTTTTGTAGGAATTATTTTCATTATTTTTGTTTATATGTTCTGAAACTGAGGGAGTTTGCTTTGGGCGAGACAAGAACAGAGAGATCTGTGCTTACATGTTTACGTCACAAAGATGACACGTCTGAAGACACGGTATACCAAATATCTAACATGCTAACATTGGCCAGCAGCCATTGGATTCACATTTTACTCATTTAAACCCTTTTTAGATACTATTAAAGGGCTTGATTGGTTTATGGGCAGTCTTTGGTCTTTCAGACATTGATTGCATTCATTTATTTGTCTTTTATGGTTTTGTGTAACATGGGACCAGCTCAAGTATAACACCAAAGTCCTCCCAGACTCAAATGTGGCATCTGTGCGCTTCTATGAATTGGCTGCAGTGAATGGAAAATGTTGCACTTCTACTTCTCATTAAGCAGTTTTATAGGCCTGGAGGTGTAGTAGCTATAGACATGTGGAAAGTTATCAACTCAGAAATTTAATAGAGGATTGTCTCCTTTTAACAGATGAAAAATACAGTTTTCTTGTAAAATCATGTTTTTTGGTCATGAAAGTTTGTCAGGATCGCTCTCCATATTGCAAAATTTAGGGATGCTGCTGCCAGATCACATGACAAGACATCAGAACCGATCACATCATTTTTAAAAGATTGGCTTTAAAGAGACAATGTTTAGTTTTTACCATAAATTTATGGAATTATCCATAAAAATTTTGTTGAAAATGAATGAAATGATGCCCAGTTGTTGAAAAATATTGGCGGCTTTGTAAAATATAGCAATTAAAATCTAAAATACATGGGAGCAGGTCTAAGTCTCTAATTCTAAACGTATTTTCGCTTTTAACAAAGAGAGATTTAATGTTATGCCCGACTGTGTCTAACAAAAGTATTTTAATTTTATCTATGCATTTACGTCTATACTGACTGAGCACTGTGCCTAATTGGCGTTAGACAGGGCATTTTTATTTACTGTTAGTATGAATTGGCCTATCAGCAGCAAAGTTCAATAAAATATGCATTTTCCATTGAAGTACCCATTTCCTTGTGTTTATTATCCTTTTTCACATAATTAAAGCAATCTCATGCTAAATTTAAGAAAAATTTAATAATTATCCGATTAGTCGACTAATCGTTTCAATAGTCGGTGACTCATCAACTATTTAAATAGTCGTTAGTTGCAGCCCTAGTTTACAGAACTTTTGCCATCCTTAAATATTGTTTTACACATTTCTCTCCACTTGTTGCCAGTGATGCAAGGGAGTCTGATGTGCTTGTTATTTAGCTGAAGATTGCACTCCCCAGGGCTTTTTGACCCTAATAGGCATCCATTGGTTATCAGCAGAAATTAAATGTTATTATTACCATTTCCAATACAATGCTAATGAAATACATTATATTTTACTGGATATATTTATGTGTTATTTTGACTAAGATGAGTGTTATTAATACAAACCTAAAATGTAACTGAAATGTAGGTCAAATATTTAAACTATTTTAACTATAAATATCAGATGGGGAAAAAGGGAATTAAACACCAATCTAATGCATATTATTGAGCCTTTTATAATAAGAGTCTGTTATTTCAGCCTGATAATTTTGTTGTTTTATTTCATTTTTTAGCAGCAAACTAGTTTTGTTTCATTTGAAACATTGTCAAATGGAAATGGAATATTCAATTAATCAACAGAGGCTTAGATTAGAACACTTAAACAAAAAATATTTGGCCTTTAAAAAAGTGAGGCGGTTGAATGCACAGAGTATGCATGTGCTGGCGCATGGTCAGGATGGTACCACCTCTGCCTCAATTTGAGCCAGGAAAAACCCTGGGTAAGGTCTTACTCCAACACAAAAATACTGCTTGCTTACAACGATTTAGGCATCTACTGCCTCCTATCGCCAGGAAAAATACAGACTGTCACTTTAACTATAAAAAATAACGAACAAGACCGTATGAATTCATCCTGAGATAGAGATTTTCAAACAGAACAACAATGGCATAGTTTTAATCTCAACAAGTTCCTCTACATCAGTATTCTGTCATGTTCTGAGGGACTTTTTTGACCCAAGACATGCAGAATCAAGAGGACAAAGTCAAGGTAAGGGAATAAACAAATATTAGAAACAATGGTAAACTCAGGGTGCACCACAGACAGTGGCGAGTAAGCTGAAGTTCGGGTCAGAGGCTGCAAGACAGGAGACAGGGTTAGGGAGCAGTTTGCGGACAGGGGAGGAAGAGGTGGTGGGGTCTTACTGTGGCGAGGAGCCGGGAGACTCGGGAGAGTTGAAGGCAGAGGGAGGGAGTCCAAGATGGTAGAGGTGAGGAGTGAGGTCGGTCAGGGAGAAGACGGAGACGTGGCTGAGCGGTGGTCCTGGGGGAGTCTGGTGTGGAGGTGTTGATGAGGCTGGTTTTCCGTAGTAGAGGAGATGGCAGGCCAGAACACAAAACACAGCAGGAAAAAGCGGTCTATAGCAATATTCAAAAACAAGTTCAAAGGTTCTAAGCTGGTGAGATCTACCCAAGGCGAGTAATCATCTGGCCTCGTGCTGGTGTCTCCATCTTCCTTTTAAACCCTGGTCATGATGGGTTGATGATCTCCAGCTGGCCCGCTCCCAGGAACCACCCCTCTGCATACAGGACTCTGAGACATCAATCAGTGGGCTCACTCACATCAGGCCACGACATATTATTTGTTTCTTGGCAGAAAACAACCCTTGTTGCATCTTTACCAAGAATATTGAGCAAAGAGTCTGACTACTTATAGGACCATATGATATTTCAGTTAGTCTGTTTTAATAACTCTGCATAAATCTCTAAAATTCTGTGTTTTTCTGTCAATATGGGGTGCTGTGTGTACATTAACAAGGAAAAAAATTGATTTTAGCAAATGGCTGCAATATAACAAAGAGTGAAAAATTGACAGAGGTCTGAATACTTTCCGTACCCACTGTATTTTCTTAATATTAACACAATTTTATCATTGTAGTTCCTAAAAAGCAATGTTTTTGGCAGACAAACTAATGAAATGATATACAGAAAAGAAGTAATACCGAAATTATAATAAAAAATAAAATAAAATAAAATAAGACTTAGATGTGTTTTCCTTTTTATTATAATGCTTTACTGAAGTATCGGATCAGGACTCGGTATCTGCAGATACTCAAAATCAAACGATTTGGATCGGGAGCAAAAAGATGTTATTTGTACGTCCCTAAAAAGATTTGTTGGAGAAATCAAAACTACCAATATGTATGCAAAGCTTAAAATTCAGCACATCTCAAAGACATATAATTAAAATTATAATCTGCAACATTCCTTCATCAGGAGGTGAATTAATTTTGCGTACTTGTCATTTTATGTTAAATTCCACAATTTAATGATGTGCCATGTTAAAAATTACACATACACGTTACCAGCCATGTTCAAACTAGACTGCAGTCTACATTCCACAGAAGCAACGTGAGGGTAATTCACACGTAGCAGCCAACTTTTTCAGTTGCCTTCTGATCGTTGGTAAGCAGTGCATGCCTTAAAGTGACTGTAGTTTAATTTTTGATGAGTATGGTAGTCTGATCCCTGAAATAGATGCCATGAGACTCTAGCTTGGAGTTCCCAGTTTGTGGCATTATTGTTGTTGATGCCATCAATGTGATTACCCCAATGAGGCTTGTTGCAGAATAAACAGTGCAAAAATCTGAAAACACTAAATGCTTACCAAGAATCTGACAAGTGTCCCTACACAGCATCATCATCATCACCAGACTTCAGTTTAAGACTCGCAGCTTTATGTTCAAAGTTTCATTCTTTTATCACCACTTGAAACTTTTTAAATGTTTTCAGTTAGTAAGAATCCTTACTAAGAAAAATCACATCAAAACTTCTACCTTGCGTAGGAAACGTTGCACAAAAGTGCTCTGGGAGTTAAAATACAAAAGGAAGAAATTTTGCTCCAATGGCAAAGTTAGTAAACAAATAAGCTTAAAACAGTTTTTGTCATGCCTCTTAACAATGTTCTAACATAGTATAGCTATAAATATACTGTGGAGCTAAAAATAAATAAATGCATAATTTTCTCACATTTGTCTAAAAACCTTCGACAAGACCATGTTTTGTACCGAAAGTAACTATTGGACCATCCGGTTGTCTGTCACGCTGAACCGCTGCACTTCTGCACTTCCCTGGGTCCTCCATTCATTGCATACTTATGTATTTAACAACAGAGCATCACTGATGTGAGAGGTTCTCTAAATAATATCAGGGAAGGAGAAACAGCTGGCTGCTACCACTCCAACTACCAGAGTCCCAAAAAGAAAAACCCCATTTGAAGTCACGAACAACAAAAGACGTTTGGACCTAGAAAACTGCGGCTGGTGTTTAGCACAATCTCGTTTCCTCCGGCATTGCATGATTCGGTTCCGTCAGAAGCATCTCAGGAAAGATACCCCGGGGTAGGGGTGAGCGTTACATGCCCGTGTTTGCATTCAAAACCTAACTCGTTTGCATTTTCATGACTTTAACTAAGCAAGTGCAAGAACCACTCATCACTGGACTGCAGCAGTTGGCAATAAATTTGCAAACGTTATTTGCAATGGAGGTTCCAAATTGTCTTGACATGCTCTCGTAGGGGTTCCCAATTTCCTTGCATGAGTTGCAGACCTTGGAATAGGTTACAAACTTGTATTATATTGATGTTTCATTTGTTACACAACTGTTGCACCACCATTGAATGATAGTCCTAATTATAAAGATTCTGAATTTAGTTGTACAAATGTATCTAGACATTGCTGAAAAATTCCTGTAACATCCCTAACATCATACTGTAAACTCAAAATCTGTTAGGAGCTCATGAGACATTCATGCAGCATTCATCCCAGATGTGTAAGTGCTATCCCTCCCGCAAATTTGAGTATCCATCTAGCTGCCAAAAATCACAGCCCAGTGAGATACCTGATTTTGTTAGCAATAAGACTGAGTTGGTTTCACTGCATAGTCAATCTAGATGTTCTAAATGTATTACCTTTTTCTCCCTCAGCACACCAACTGTTCCTCTGGACCTTCAGGAAGTTGAGAACAACATTGAAGGATTTAAAGCCTTTGCGAAGAAAATGGATGAAAACATTGTTTCCATGAACACAACCATTACCGAATTTTCCCGCAAACAGATGACGGGGTTCAAAAAAGAGTACCAGAAGGTTGGGCAGTCCTTCAGACTCCTTGGACAGGCGTTTGAACTGGATCAGCAGGCCTTCTCAGCAAGTCTGAACAAGGCTCTTGCCTATACAGGTGAGGCCTACGAGGCCATTGGAGAGTATTTTGCAGAGCAGCCTCGTCAGGACCTGGAACCTATTTCTGACCTGCTGGACCTCTACAGGGGACATTTGGCCAATTATCCTGACATCATTCATGTACAGAAAGGTATGTGCTCATGTGAGAGCCTATTACTATTTTTAACGAATGAAGCATACATTTAGCAACTATTCAATTCAATTCAAGTTTATTTATATAGCACCAAATCACGACAAGAGTCGTCTCAAGGCACTTCACATTATAAACATTCCAATTCAGGTCAATTCATTAAGCCTATCAGAAATAATTTTTCCTCTATAAGGAACCCAGCAAATTGCATCAAGTCACTGACTAGTGTCAGTGACTTTATAGCAATCCTCATACTAAGCAAGCATAAAGTGACAGTGGAGAGGAAAACTCCCTTTTAACAGGAAGAAACCTCCAGAGAATCCTGGCTCAGTATAAGCAGCCATCCTCCACGACTCACTAGGGATCGAGAAGACAGAGCAGGCACGCACGCACGCACGCACACACACACACACACAGACAGACAAAGACAAAGTAATGTGTCTATAGTTATATTGTGATTTCTTAGTAAATATTCTATTTGGTGAAAGATAAACTTTATTGTATTTATCCTAGTGGATCTATAATTAAATGTATAAACTAGTAATGGCATATCCAACGTCAAAGAAAGCAAAAAGTTATTATCAGGAGAAGGAGAATGTTTAAGTGGTTAGCAGCAGTGTGCTAGTCGATGGCCCCCTCCATGAGGCCACCACAGCTCAGCAGAACATCATTGTAGCTTCTTCTGGGGAGAAAATCACTTAGAGAGAAAATAAAGTTAACAGCTGAAATAGCAGGAAATAATACAGTTAAAGAGCAGATTGTAGAATAAAGTAGTAGAGTGTGAAAAGTGGTCAGTGTATCCTCCAGTAGTCTAAGCCTATAGCAGCATAACTACAGAGATAACTCTGGATAACCTAGCCTTTTTAGATGTAGGCATATTGGAGGCAGGGCAAGGGAGAGTCGTCTTTACCGACTGTACACTCCACCTCCCTCTACTCCCCCACTTGTCCAGATTTATGCTAACATCATATTTTAACCATAGGCCCTATCAAATAAAAATGTTTTAAGCCTAGTCTTAAAAGTAGACAAGGTTTCTGCCTCATGGACTAAAGCTGGGAGCTGGTTCCACAGGAGAGGAGCCTGATAACTAAAAGATCTGCCTCCCATCCTAATTTTAGATATTCTGGGAACAACCAGTAGACCAGCAGTCTGAGAGCGAAGTGCTCGGTTAGGAACGTATGGAACAATCAGATCACTGATGTATGATGGAGCTTGATTATTAAGAGCTTTATATGTGAGAAGAAGGATCATAAAATCTATTCTGAATTTAACAGGTAGCCAATGTAGGGAAGCTAAGACAGGAGAGATATGACCTCTCTTTTTAATTCTCATCAGAACTCTTGCTGCAGCATTTTGGACAAGCTGAAGACTTTTAACTACATTCTGTGGACTTCCTGAGAGTAATGAATTACAGTAATCCAGTCTTGATGTAATAAATGCATGAACTAGTTTTTCAGCATCACTCCTGGAAAGGATGCTTCTAATCTTAGCAATATTCCGAAGGTGGAAAAAGGAAATCCTGCAAACCTGTTTAACCTGGGAATTGAAAGACATGTCACCAAGGTTCCTTACTTTGTTCTCAGAGATTAATGTAATGCCATTCAGGTCAGGTGATTGGCTAAGCAATTTCCTTTTCTGGATTTCTGGTCCAAAGATGAGAACTTCCGTTTTGTCTTGATTTAAAAGCAAAATGTTTAGAGTCATCCAAATTTTTATGTCCTCGAGACAAGCCTGTAATCTACCCAACCGAATAGGTTCATCAGGGTTAATGGATGAATATAACTGAGTATCGTCAGTATAACAGTGGAAGTTTATCCCATGCTGTCTAATGATTTTACCAATTAGAAGCATATATATAGTAAAAAGAATTGGTCCAAGCACTGAACCCTGTGGTACTCCACAAGTAACCCTGGAGTATGAAGACGATTTGTCATGTACATTTACAAAATGAAATCTGTCAGATAGGTAGGATTTAAACCAGCCTAACGCTGTTCCTTTGATCCCTACAACATGTTCAAGTCTTTCTACAAGAGAATTGTGATCAACTGTGTCAAAGGCAGCACTGAGATCTAACAAGACTAGAACAGACACAAGATTCTTATCTGAGGCCATGAGAATATCATTTGTAACTCTCACTAATGCAGTTTCAGTGCTGTGATACTCTCTAAAACCAGACTGAAATTCCTCAAACAGAGCATTAGTGTTTAAATGCTCACATACTTGGATGGCCACTATTTTCTCCAGGACTTTGGATAAAAATAGAAGGTTAGATATTGGTCTATAATTCATTGGGTCATCTGGATCCAGAGAAGGCTTCTTAAGTGAAGGTTTGATTACAGCATCCTTAAAATCCTGTGGTACATATCCATTTACTAAGGATAGATTGGTTACTGCCCCCACTCTAGATATAACCAAAGGAAATGCTTCTTTAAATAATTTGGTTGGGATTGGATCCAAAATGCAAGTTGAAGGTTTAGATGAAGCTAATATTTTTGTTAACTCTGAAAGCTCAACTGGACCAAAACGGTTCAAGCACCGATGAGGTTCTACAGTCACCTCTGATGCTGACTCACTTACTGAGGAAGAAGAAATCACATTAGGGAGGATGCTAAAGATTTTGTTTCTAATAGAATTAATTTTACTTGTAAAAAATCCCATGAAGTCATTGCTGCTGAGGGCTAAGGGAATAGATGGCTCAGAGCTATGATTCTGTGTAAGTTTAGCAACTGTACTGAAAAGAAATTTAGGATTATGCTTATTCTCCTCAATTAATGCTGAGAAATAAGCAGTTCTGGTTTGTCGAAGCTTATTTTTATGAAGCACAAGACTATTTTTCCAGGATAGGTTGGCCTCCCTATGGTGCGTAGAGCGCCATGTTCTCTCCAATTTCCTAGAGTTTTGTTTTAAGGCTCGTAAATGAGAATTAAACCAGGGAGCCAACTTCCTGTCTGTAATTACCTTATTTTTTTAAAGGGGCAACATCATCCAATGCCACACGTAAAGAGGAATTAACATGATGAACTAAGGCATCAATTTGTGAGGGGCTAGAACTGAAAATATTGCCCTCTGCTACACGCCTCTGAGATGCTGAGGACAGTAAAGATGGAACAGTTGATTTAAAAGATGCAACTGCGTTGTCAGATAGAGACCGACTATAGTGAAATTTACTTTCATGTCTCGAGAACTCAGTTATAAAAAACTCAAAGGTTATCAGAAAGTGGTCCGAGAGGACTGGATTATGTGGAAAGATCGTTATTTCCTCACACTCTATGCCATAAGTCAGCACAAGGTCCAATGTATGATGGCAGGAGTGGGTGGAACTATGTATTCTTTTATAAAACCAATTGAGTCTAAGATCTTACTAAAGGCTACATTGAGGCTATCATTTTCAATGTCCACATGAATATTAAAATCCCCCACTACAATGACCTTATCAGTATGTAGCACCAAATCAGACAAAAATCAGAGATCTGATCCAAAAACTCAGAGTAAGGGCCTGGTGGACGATATAAAACTACAAACAAGAGTGGTTTTACAGTTTTGCAATCTGGATTAGGAAAACTAAGAATAAGATGTTCGAACAAACTGTAGCTATTAATTGGTAAGGGACTGATTAATAAGTCCGAATGAAAAATGGATGCTACTCCTCCTCCTCGCCCTGTACTTCGAGCAATATGATGATATAAATAATTTGAAGGAGTCAACTCGTTTAAGCTAACATAGTCCTCTTGCTGCAGCCAGGATTCTGTGAGAGAGAGCAAAGAAATCTGATTATCACAATTCAAGTCATTAACTAACAAAGTCTTAGAAAAAATTGATCTAATGTTCAACAACCCACATTTAATTTTTCTAGTTTTCTGCTCAATTGAATTTGTTCTAATATTCATGAGATTTCCATGATTTGCTTTATTAAGCCTGATATTTAAACTGTGTGATTTTGGCCGTGGGAAGGACACTGTCTCTATGGGGTAGTGGGTGGGTAACAGTACAGAAGCTGCAGAGGGGTGGGTTAAACTACGACTCTGCTTCCTGGTCTGGACCCTGGGTTGTCATGGAGGACTAATAAAACTGGCCATGTTCCTAGAAAGAAGAGCTGCTCTATCCAAAGAGGGATGGATGCCGTCTCTCCGCATCAGACCAGGTTTTCCCCAAAAAGTTTTCCAATTATCAATGTAGCCCACATTGTTTTCAGGACACCACCTAGACAACCAGCGGTTGAAGGACAGCATGCGGCTAAACATGTCGTCACTGGTCCGATCAGGCAGGGGGGGCAAAGAAAATTACGGAGTCCGACATTGTTTTGGCAAACTTGCACACCGAAGCAACATTAATTTTAGTGACCTCCGATTGGCGTAACCGGGTGTCATTACCGCCAGCGTGAATAACAATCTTACTGTATTTACACTGATCCTTAGCCAGCAGTTACAGATAAGATTTAATGTCGCCCACTCTGGCCCCAGGTAGACATTTAACTATGGTTGCTGGAGCCTCTAATGCCACGTTTCTGACTATGGAGCTGCCAATTATCAGAGTCGGCTTGTCAGTGGGTGCGTCACTGAGCGGGAAAAATCTATTAGAAACGTGGACGGGTTGGTGGTGGCCCACGGGCTGGGTTCTATGCTTCCTGCGTACCATCACCCAGCCGGCCTGACGTCCCGGCTGCTCGGGTTCTGCTGGAGGATCGCCACAGGGTTGTTCTGAGCTAGTTAGCCCCGCGCTAGCTAAGTAGCTACGGCTGTTTTCAACAGCGCAGAGCCGGGACTCCAATTCTGACACCCTTGCCTCCAAAGCTACAAAAATGCTACATTTATTACACGCACCATTATCGCTAAAGAAGGCAGAGGAGTAACTAAACATCTGACACAGAGAGCAAGAGATAGGAGATGGAGAAGCAGAGACAGAAGTAGCCATAGCCATGCTGAGGCTAAGCTAACTGGTCGAGCAAACTGTTCAACACCAAATAAACTGCGTGCAAACTCAAATGGTTCCCTAAGAGCTAGGTGGAACAACAGAAAATGTGTGTTTTAGCGTGCTTATGTGCTACAATAACTCAGAGATATCCTAGTACAGAGAAATTAAATCAGTTTTAGCGAGCCCCAAACACCAAACAGCTACACGTAGTGCAACACTGAAAACAGGAAACGCCTTACCGCCAGGTGCAGCCAATCAGCAAACTATGAGTTGAAAGTTTCATCTAAACCTTTAGTTCAAGCTAAGCTGTGTAAGTTCATGGAACATTGTGGTGAGCAATGAAAAAAGTATGCACAGAAGATAGAAACAGATGAGCAACAAGTACATGCTTGCAAGAAGAGTCAGCTCATTTTACCAGAGACCTCGAGCTTCAGTTTACTTGCTGCAGACTTTATTGTCATTTAACACAACAAATACATTTCTTTATTTCTCTTTTGAATCAAAACCTGTTGAAATGTGTCTAATTTCCATCCAGTCTTTAGTTCTTCTCTTTATGAATCACTTTGTTAGAAAAACACATACAAAGAAAGAATTGGGCAACATCTGTTTCCATTTACCCCACTACATTGTAAATGTAGGTTGAAAACTGAAACCCATGGGGTCATTGTGAGGAGGGTACTGAGCCTGACATGAAAACTCAGGGGAGAACACACACACACACACACACACACACACACACATTTACAAAGCATTTCCAGAAGAATTAGCTTGTTAGTTCTTTGCAGATTGGGGGAGGGAGTTGCTACTGGCATGCAATAGCCGTGCATTTGCCAAACTGAGAGGCACCACTTCTATAGTCCTCTGTAGCTCCTCTAGCTCTGTTCTTTTGATACAATCACCACTCCAAACTACGGAAACAGCCTCATTTGAAATGTCACCTCCTTTCTCAGTGACGAAAGTGAAAATTAATAATTTCTGTAATTATTTCTGATGAGCAGCTATCATTAGCATGTTTTAATGGAGTATGATATTCTAGAAGTGTGTTTTAGTTTTGTTGAGATGAAATCTAAAGGATCAAAGTGTCCTAGCAGCCTGAAAAAGACATGGAACCTTTTAGTCAGAGCTTCACAAAGTTATATCAAGTATCTTTAATAACAAACAAAAAAAGGGTGGATATACCATTTGATACCAGCACATACAAGACAGTTTTTTCTATAGCATTCAATAATATTGATAAAATATACCCAAGAAATAAATCCAACATAAGAAATAGATTCAACATGTAAACCATGTAAACTGTTGGTGACTCATTGAAAACACCAGCTCAGAGGCTTATGGTGCATTCGATTTACTTAGGAAGTCAGAACTGGGAAGTCTTGAGTTCCAAGTTTCGAGGACAAATCAAATGCACCATGTGTGGTATGTGTCCGCACTGAGACTGGGAGATCGTGGGGTTCAAATCCACGGTTGGGTCATACCAAAGACATTAAAATGGGACCCAATGCCTCCCTGCTTGATACTCAGTATTAAGTGGCTTGATTGGGGATTAAACCACCAAATAGTCCCCGAGTGTGGCCATGTCTGCAGCTCACTGCTCCTCCAGGGGATGTCAAATGCAGAGAAAAATGTTACCAGTGTGTGACTACTAATTGGACTAAAAACCTAAAATCAAGAAAATGTGAAAATCCTCTCTTGGGATTTTACTAAAGGGAGACTAGGCAGTCGTGGCTTTCTTTTACCCCCCATGTCCTTTCAGTACAACCTAGGGCAAAACTTATCTCCTCTCTGTGTGTTTGTTGTTTTAACACCTAAATCTGAAAGATGAAATGTACCTCAGCCTTCATTAGTGTCCACAGGAGTGGTTCATCACTAAATTATACAAATCAGCCGTGTTCATGATCTAAAACATGCAGGGAACATGCTGGAACCAGACTGCTGTGCCAAGTATATCAGCTCAATTTTTTTAAGTCCAACAGACCAGACAGGTCACTCTAAAGTTGCAAATTTCTGGCCACAGAGGGCAGTGATATTTCACTTACACCAAAAAATGGTCATTTTAGCACAAAGTTGCAAAGCATCCCTTTAATATGCACAACTCATTTACAATATGCTTTATATATGTCTGGGTCGTGTGTAACATATTGCATTTTGCCAACAAACTGGGAGATTTGTGGGAATGCCAAGCCAAGTTTCTTGTTGCTGATTTGTTTGCATTTTAAATTGGTTAGATTCACAATTTGGTTGCCCACCCCTCCCGAAGTTTCTTTCACATCTTTCAAAATTTCAGACTCATGAGAACTGAATTGAGAAAAAAAAAATAAGAAAGGGATGAGACGGTTTCCTGAAACGCCTCTGTGACTAATTGAAGACATTGTTGAAATATGTTTAAAATTCTATCACCGTCAGTGGAAGGTACTCTGTCAATCTTGCTTGGAATGTGATCACATTTACAAACATTTGATGATTTCTTTAAAAGGTCCTTGCAAACTTCTGTTGTAGTTGAAGCCTGGTGAGATACTGACTGTACTCATCACAGAAAGACAGATCAAATGGTCAAAACCATGATGTAGTTGGTAGCAAAATGTATCTATGTTTTAGACAGTTTCAGTTACTTTACAAATACTTAATTGAAAACTAACTATCAGTTAGAATAAACCCTGGGTTACAGGGTCTTCCATGCTGCTGTCATCGGAAACCGCTTTTGAAAGTGTTAGCTGAGTAACACCCATGACTTCATTGCCCTGATGGATAGTCTAGTCTGCTGTCTCGTTTGTGAAGTAATCCCTTTTGACAAAGACTGCTGGCTTAGCGTTACTTTCTATAACAACTAATTTGGTGAGAAAGTTGAAAAAACAATGACTTGATTGCAATACACATTCTGAATAGCATTGGTATGCATGTACTTTGCATTTTTTAAATCAACCTCGGAAGGTCTGGACTTTATAAATACCCTAGATAACCTTGTTTTGTAAAAGTTACATTATCACCAGTCTTAGATTGGTCTGTGATGTGTAAGGTCTGAAACATCTGATTTGAATGAGCTGAGATTCCTGGTCTTGTCCTGTGTTGCCCCTGGCCTGCAGGAATGTAGACTTTGGATCAGGTTTCCTTCCTCCTCTTTTTCTTCCCTTTTCTTTCCTCCATCCATCGGGTGTATGTTTCCCACCAGAACAGCAGTGTACGAAAGCTCAAACTACAGCAGTGTAATCGCCTTGGTAGTGACGAGGGCAACGTCTGTTTTGTTTGTGGGTGTATTAGTGAGGGCACAGAGTTTGTTTAACTTTTAGAATAAGATAGAAAATGGAAAAGAAAGAGTTGGTTTGAGAGTTCAGGACCAGCTTTCTCATCATTTCCTTCACATGGTGCCATGTCAGTGATCCACTCCAACTTCCCCTTCGCCCCCTTTTTATTAGGCAGGCCTGTTTAAGCTTTACCACTTCCTCCCTAAAAGTTGAGTCACTTTAAACATTGAGACATGTCTGGGTGTAAAGTCATCTCTTTTTGTGTTAGTAATCATCATAGTAAATACTAAGATCCTTTTGGTGAATATTCACGCAAGTTGCAAGCTAGGCTTCTCGGGTACTTATATGGGACATAATTACATATCTTTTAAACAAGTTATATTAGTTCTATGGTCAACAGGTGATATGTGGTCCTATGCTCATTTATATTATTGTGACAGTAAGGGACAACTCATGGAAACATATGATTCCTGAAACCAAAATCAGACACAAACAGATGATTTTTATTTGCATTTTGAGTATTTGTAGAGGCAGTGGAGACCCAGATGGTTACACAAAGGGGTGCAAAAAGTGAAATTTGTATAATATGTAACCACTCAGCCTTCCTGACAAATGATCATTTAAATTACCTGCTGAACCACAAATTTGCAAAAGTGACACAGAGTCGTGACCATGCTATAGTGACCTACTATTATGCTTTTGATTACTAACATCTCGTTGGGCTGTGACTCTAATTATGAACAACAATCATGAGCAAGTTTCCAAAATGTCTCAGAATGACTGCAGGGACTTTATTAGGGCGTTCACATCTGGGTTGGCACGGCCCAGCCCTGGTACATTAGTTGTGTTTACATCTGGTAATATGTGTGTTTTCTGTGCTCAGCTGACGGAGGTCAGCTTTGTGCGAAGCCGACCCAACACACCCACTATTGATTGATTGGCCAGCTGAAGTTCACGCCTACCTATAGGAGGATCTTTGTTGACATCTTTTTTCATCTTTGTGCGTTCGCGTGAGTGGCTGATGGCAAAAACAAACAGTGTGGGCTATCAACACGCGACATACTCTTTTAAGAGTTTGCATGCAAAATCCCCGATATTTAAACACTTGAATGTCTAAAGAGAGGAGGAGGTTTAGAGAGAAGCTTAAAATATGCATTGAAAACAAAATGAAAATTATTAGTTTCATCAAGTGGTTTGATTATTTGTAGAGGCAGTGGAGGCAAATACAAATATTCTGATGCTTAACTTAACCAAAAAAAGTACGTAGTTATCTGTGAACCCTCTGTAGCCGAGACTAAAACAATACATTTTTATACTGAACCCTTTGAGCTTTCATCAAAACACTAAACCACAAGTTTAAAACCTTTAAAACTGGGTTACTAACCATTACAATTTTTTTGTTTGTTTTTTTAACTTTCATATTTTTCTTTTACACTTTCTGTTTTAGCTTTTAATATATTTGCTTATTTGCTTTTGTTCTTGTTTTTTTTTTCATTTTTAAACTATTTTCCCAATTCTTTTAAAGGAAGACTTAAAGCATACAAACATGACCAAATTACAATAATAAATAATCTTTTAAATTTAAATATAAATGTTGAAATATTTGTATTTTACTTTTTTTTCTTTACAAAGTTAAAATCTTGATTTTTATTTGTACCATTTTGTTCGCAGGCGCACTGACCAAGGTTAAAGATTGTCCGAAGCAGGAAGGCGAGCTGAACGAACGCTGCAACATCATATCTTGTGCCACACTGGCAGAAATCCAGCACTTTCACCGCACGCGTGTGCGAGACTTCCGCTCTCAGATGCAACATCACCTTTGCCAGCAGATCAGCTTCTTCCAGAAGATCACAGCTAAGCTAGAGGAGGCTCTGCACAAGTACGACGATGACCAGTGTGTGAAAGCATCAGGACCATAACAGAAAGTCTGGCATGAGCTTTAGTTACATCCATTGTGTAGCATCTTGTTGGCTTATGTATGTGATAGATCTTCCATCTGACACAAGTACTTGAAAAAAAAAACATACAAATCATGACAGTTTGTTGGATTATCTGAACAACTGTGACGAGTTTACCAGTTGCAGGCATTTTAGCGCTCTGTGCACAGCTCAGTGGCACTGTGGAAGGTATTAACCCAGCTCCCAGCATGCTGCAGCTTGAATCATGAGTTCTGGGTCATGTCACTTCCTCTACCACTCCAACCCATTCATGTTTGTTTAACTCAACAAAAACAAGGACTCCAAGTTCCACGAACAACTTTAAATCAGTGCTTCAATAAAGAGAAAGACTACACAAACTTTTTAAACCATAGTCTCACTATATGCTTATTGTTACTTGAATGACCTACTCAGTATTGTGTGTTTGCACAGTTTGCAGATGTTTGTAACTGTGAAAAGTGGCTAAGGGGACATCATCTGCTCATCACATGTGGTTGAATAAAAATTTAATTTGACATTTCTGACCTCTTTCTTACCTTTCACAAATGCTAATATTTTTCTATGATCTGGCATAATATTTAGATTAAATGCAGCTTTTTCATTTATAGGAGTTTTAAAAAGCCCAATCTACCCTACAGTCAGAGGTCAAGATCAGGGTACAGGGATGTTGCATTTAAACGGGAGTCAATTTAAAAAGGTTAGAATTATATTTTAAAATGTGTTTGTTGAAATTGATGCAAGTTTATTGGTTGTGATCTCACCAAAAAAACAACTAGTTAAAACAAAGGCCACGAACTACATACTTGTAAAAAAATAACAATAATTTAAAAAAGATCTCAGCTACAGTTTTACAGTAGTTGTTGCTAAAAAGTGTTACATAAAAATAATAAAAGTGTTACATGGAGACGTTCTGACAAATGTGATCATTTCAGGTTTATTTCCATGCATTACAAGGTTTACAGCACCCTTAGTTGTTGTATTTAACAGAGTCCTTAAATGAATGTACCTGCGCTGAAAGACATTTATTGACTCACGTTCAATAAATAAAGAAGAAAATAACTATCTGCCATGTCTCTGGAATGTTTTTCCCCATAAAAGAATATGATTCAGCTTTGCATGATCTTTCTTGTCTGTCCACTATTCTTTGCTTATTATTATGAGGCCATATTAGGACATTCTTTATATCAGCAACCATTTTGTATCTTTAGATTCTCAGAAATCCATAAAAGCATCATTTGAACAAAATCAGTACAATGTGTGTTTTTTAAATCAAAAGACTTCGTAAGTAAAGCATCCTGTGAGGTGCCCCCCCCCCCCCCCCCCCTCCCGAGAAGACAGCATCATTTGTGTTTCAGCTACTTGACACCATCGTCCACAAGCTGCAGATCGGTTTACTTTACCCACAAGCCCTTTCATTATTTAGTGCTGCCTTTTGATCTCTGTCAATTACTCTTCATCTTGCTCTTCTTTGATTCAGTTTGAATTTTCTAGTTTATAATTTCAGTGTCTTGATTCATTTGCTTCTTTACATATTTTGTTTCGTGATGCATCACTCAGTAAAGTACATGTTAGTGCATGTTGCTCCGAACTTTAGTGATAAACCAAACTAGTAAACAGCTTTATTAAATATAAGAAAGAAAGAAAACTGTTTATATAGCGCCTCTCAAGATAAAAAATCACGATATGTTTGAAAAAAAAAAGGTTCACATAATTTCCTTAGTAATATGATTATTTTACAATACCTTTAAGTATTTTATATCTGAACCAAATGAATATAAATACCAAAAATTTTTGTGTTTTTCTGTCTTTTTTTTGTGTGAACATTAAAAGGTTAAAGCAAATTGATCATAAATAGTAATTCTTTTTGAAGGTAACTATAAATTTTCCTTCAATACTAGATGCTTTTCCTCAGCAGATATCTGAAAACGTATTAGAATGTTTTACAGTGTGGCATTAGAAAGAAAAACTGAAGAAACAAGGTTAGCGTAGCATGGAAAAGAAGGAGTTCCATGATGGTTTTGTTGCTTCTTTATGGCTAATCGTTTCCTGGAATCCTCTTGTTAGTAAGTATTATTTTGTATTTGTTAAACTTTGTCATCTTTGGCAGTGGTTTCCACAGTGATTTCTTTTATTTTCTTGTTGCTGCAGCTTATTTTGATATTAGGCTTTTGCAGTATACAGCTAGTAAAAATGTTTGGAGGATATGATGCAATAGATACAAAGTTGGTTCTTTGCTAGTTTGTAATGTGTAAACTCAATCCTGGCTCATTCTTTGAGTGTTGGTGCTGTTGTTTGAATGATTCACATCAGATTTTAAGATGTGACTGTGTGGTTTTTACCATGACTTTTTGGAAATATTCATCAAAATGTTGTTGAAAATGTATGAAATGATGCCCAGTTGTTGAAAAACCATAAAGATCAGGTTTAAAATACATGGAAGTCTCTTGACAACGCCATATTAGATGCCATGTTTCCTTCTATGGGAGCCCATGAGGAAAAAATACATTCACTGATTTGTAACAAACGATTACAAAACTTTCGTCATTCTTAAATGTTATTGTTTCACACATTTTCTTCTTCATTGGTTGCCAGTGATGAAAGGGAGTCTGATGTGCTTGTTATTTTGCTAAAGTTTGCACTTCCCAGGGCTTTAGATATCTACTGCCCCATATCACCAGGAAAGTACACACTATCACTTTAAAGAGAATATCAAATGTTTGTGTAGTACCAGCTCAGTGGCCTAGTGGTATGTTTTTCTGCCCTGAGACTGGGAAATCCACGGTCGGGTCATACCAAAGACTTTAAAAAGGTCCCAGTGCCTCCCTGCTTGATACTCAGCATTAAAGGGTTGGATTGGGGGCTTAAACTACCAAATGGTTCCTGAGTGTGGCCGTGTCTGAAGCTCACTGCTCCCACACGGGGCGGGTCAAATGCGGAGAACAAATTTCACCAGTGTGAAAACTAATGGGACTTTAACTTTACTCCAAAAAGCCGGAAGAAATATAGATTGAAACCATTTTAGACAATTACGCCTTCTGTTCATACACGCATGTTATGTCCGTCATTTCCAAGCATTTTGCGTTCACATCCAATCCTTCTTTAGCCTTGGTGACTGATTTGTGCTTACATGAGTGAGCTCAAAACAAAAAGATTATTTAAGAAACATATTTTATTAAAAATAAATGTCATACATCAACAGTGTGTTGTTGGTAAAGGGTTGAGAAATAGAGTTTAGATCTTCAAAGAAGGGAAACACTTTTTATTAATCTAACAGTAAATTTGAAGCCTACTAAACTATCTGCAGAAATGTTTTCACAATTCCCTGCATTAGGTGGTGACAAAGTTAGACATCAGGGTCAGAGGAGTTCAAAATAGGAATCTGTATGGTGTATTTACATGAAAGCTGACAATGCAAGTATTTTGAGCTAGCAGTGACAGGTTCAAATTGCTGTTACTCAGCTAACCCTAACTGCAGTGTATGCTAAAAATTATGATCCATTTTACTGCCTTGCTATCTATCTATTACAGAGGTAACAGTTCAACAAGCAAAACCCAACCAGCCCTTTCCCTCTCCAGTTAATCTTGATGCAGGGACCCCAAGGGGTTTCCAGAACACAGTGTTAAAAAAGTTCCAGCAAATTCTGCGTCTAACTTGGTATCTCATTCTACCTTCAAAGTAACGTGAGCAGGTAGAGTCTTTAGTCAGATCACTGCATCATCTCAGCTGACTGTTTTCAATGATGTGCAGCAGCACCACATCAATTGAAAGAGTTCCTCACTTTGTTTCTAAGTCTGAGTCCTGCCATCACGTAGGAAGCCGATTTCAGCTAGTTGTATCAAGGATCTTGTTCTTTCACTCACAATCCAAATCTCGTGACCATAGGTGAAGACCTTCGGCTCGTTCTTCACTAGAATAGAATGGTGCAACACATTCACCACTAGGGATGAAGCCCTGATCCTCCAGTCTCCTAAATTTGCAACAGTGACTCACTCCAAACATTTTTTGACCAAAACTCATGCGTTAAAAAACAGATCTATACAGTATGTTTCACTTTCTTCTCCATCAATAAATTAAAGTAACAACGTGCTACTAATTCACTCAGGAAGTAAATCACTTCTAGTCCCTACTAGTTCCATTGTTCATTGATCTTGCAGAAACATTTGCAGTTTTCAGTTATTTCCTTGTACCAAGTTTACCTTTAGCCAGTAACAAGAAATCTATTAGATCAATTTTGTAAAATCTTCATAGTTTCTTCTTTTTCTCAATAAGATGTGCTAAGTCAACACATTCTCAGACAGAATGTGTTGGCTAAATTGACTATATGTGGTCCCTAGAAAGCAGGTTAGGACTTTTACAGAGAGCACACCTCTAAGGCACAGTTTGTGCATGACTTCTTCCCTTTAAACCCAGTACTGGTTGCTTTTCAGAGATGGAATGGAGGATCGAGATCTCCAAGCAGTACTGTATTCAGCTGCAGAAATTGGAGGTGAATTGCAAGCAGTTATATTGTCTCTTTCACTATTGTTACGACTTCTAAAACTTCTATCACTGCTTGATACAACAGATTCAAAAGGTCCCCAGAAGGTTGTCCCAGGTGCCAGACTCCTCCTCGGACTCATGGGTACTCTAGGGGAGGTTGGGCAGCTTGCAGAGCAGAGTGGGGTGACCATCACATTGGGCATTGCCAAGCTCCTTTCTGGGCGACCCAGGTATGGACTGTCCTCAGCGGGCAACTGCGCTGCAGCCAGTTCGTGCATCAGCCGCAGTCGGGCCTGTTTTTCTTTGCGGTGGCGGAAAACCAGAATCAGAACTACAAGGATTATGATAAGAAGCAAACAAGCCAGAAGTGGTAAGATAATGAGGAGGGGGTCAGAGGCAGGGCGAGGCAGAATCTGCACATGAACTAGATCAGTATTTGGATGGTTGATTGGACCATGTGTCTCTGGGACAGGAGGAGTATGAAGCTCTGGGGTTTGACTGCTCCCCTCTCCTGCTCCCTCTGTACTAACCCCTGATCTTGATGACCCCTGATGACTCCCACTGCGTGTTCGGTTCCCCCAGCGATTATGAGGCTTTGCCTTACGTTGTGTCTTATTTTGGTTATTATGTGACAAAATATCAGGATGTAAACCTTCACCAACCGCAATGTGTGTCACAGACTCTCTTTGTCTACTTCCTGTTGTAGTCCGGTTGTGTGTTCGGAAATGGGTTGTTGTGGTTTCATGGCTCGAACTGTCACCTTTATCGAACCCTCTTGCACCCTGACGCATTTGGCGGTGGGGAAAGATGGTGAAGTGAAGCTCACCCTTTGCTGGCTGTACATTTCCAGCCTTCAACAAGAAGGTAAAAGAATCATTGAGGGGCTGGGCGGGTGCATTGCCTTGCACTGTGGTGATTCTGGATCCATTGCTTTGAACTTGGCTGACAGCATCACTGAGAGTCTCCTCTATGGCCACTCGACCTTGCACAACATCCCTGAACGTAAATGACCTCAGGACGTCTGATGCTCTGTTGGGATCATAGGTGATCTGTACCCGGGAACACACAAACACAGCATAAAACAATGTCAGCATTAACACACTTATAAATTTGCTTTGAATACACAATTTAAGTCTAATTGTTGTAGTGATTCCTTAAAAGGACAAGGATACCAACAATTAGCTTTACCTTGACAAGTTTTCCATGTTTTGGTGGAGAGAGAACCTCAAAAACCGGGTTTGCTCGGCTGATTCTTGCTAACTCAGAGGCATCAATCATGGCTTTCCCCAGTTTCACTGCAATGCCACTTGGAACTCTAACGGGCTCTCTTAAGTAGATCAGAGGTCTCACTGTCACATTCACAGTCTGCGCAGGCACATGTCCATAGTCTACACCAGGTGATGATGCCGACACTGAAATCTGGAAATTATCCTCTGATGCACTAAGATCAGTCATGTGGTAAACAACACGTCCAAACTGAAGGTCCTCTTGGCAGAAAGTGACCACCTCCTGGTCGTTAATAGCAATGCGTCCATGGCGGGGGTGTGCGGTGACCGTGTACAAGATATTACCTTGCCTTTGACCATTGGTTTGAGCTGCCAGTTGGTTGGTTGTCAGGACCACTGCTGTGCGTCCTTGAACCAATGACAGTCCAGTGTTATTTACCATAGATACTGATGGTTTGACAACCTCCAAACTGAATAGTTTGTAAAGTGGACGGTGATGACCATCGGTAACGTTGAAGTAGAAAACTCCTGTCGAGGGCTCACCCTGAAAAAGAAGACATGGCCAGAATTTCAATTTTAAATTGGCTTGAAGCTAAAACTTGTAATAACATTCCCAAAAGGACTAATATTGAGCTAAAACAGTGTTATACAAAGAACCAAGACATTTAAGTCTGTTTCACCTGCTGTGTAAAATGCAGTCGGCCATGGTTTACATCATATTGGGTGAAAGAGGTGACTGACTCTGGTCTTTCTCCCAACGTTAGGTAGCCATTGTTGGGTTTACTGATCACAAGGTAGTGCAGCTCTTCTGGTGGTGTATCATGGTCCTCAACCTGGATATTAAGGGTGTTAATATTGTTATACCAGTCTTCAGGAGCAGTGTTCATCAACAGAACACCACCAAAGGAAGAGTTATGGTTGGGGTAAATTCATAAATAAGTATCATAACCAGTTTCTCACTACAAAATAAAAATGGATGCTGAATGATGTTAGCATGATGGACTGGATCACCTGAAGGTTGTCAGGCCCAAGAACTACCCTCTCTCCAACCACAACTTTCATACTGGGCGCTCTGCTTCTGATCAAAGGAGGATGGTCGTTGACAGGCGTTACAGTGATGTTGAACATCTCTGTCACGGTCACACTGTCTTTAATAGGGTGGTGGTGCGAAATGGTGCCCAGTGATGGAAAGGATGATGAATCAGAATAGAGAGAAGAAAAGGAAGTGGCAGATGAAGAATCAGAGGGAAAGGTAGAAATGGATGGTGAATGAGAAGTAGAAGAGTGGTGGAAAGGAGCCACCCAGGCTCGAAAGGTGAAGCTGTCACTCGTCGTCTCAGAGTCATCGTGGAAATACTTGATGCCAAACTTGTTCAAGGTGGCTTGAGAGAAATCTGGATGGTTCCTGTGAAAATAACCCAAAACACTCTTACTGCCGTATCTTGATACTTTTACAGTCTTTACCCCTCTACTGAGATTTCTGCCTTTGACCAGCTCAGGAGTCTAGTAGTATGAGTGTCCGCCATGAGACTGGGAGGTCATGAGTTCAAATCCACAGTCAGGTCATACCAAAGACCTTACAATGGGATCCAATACCTCCCTGTTTGACACTCAGCATTTAAGGGAACAAATAATCTAAACCAACATTTTATTGTTGTTTGTGAATAAAGACAGCTTGGGTGATAAAAAAGTAGCATGCCAAAAAGTCAAAGCCATGTGTGACCTACTTTTTATATAAATTAGAACATTTTAAAATGCCAGAGAAAAACTTCTTTTCTGGGAAACATCTCATAAAGACATCACAATGTGGAGCCCTTCTTCCTCCAATAGGGAGCCTAAGTCTCCATCTTTTCCGGTCGGATCATGGGTCCCCGGAAGAACGAAAAAATGAATGCAAGCTAAAAGAGACTAAAAGAGCTATTTTCTAATCCACTTTGCCTTACACCCTGGATCGCACATATGTTGTACTGCAATTTAATTGAAAAGTAAAGATTTATCGGCTTGTAAAAGTTCGTAATTAGCATGACTACAAACCAGACGTCACCACATAATCTCCTCTCCCCTAGCTTAGCTGCTACTTACCAAATGGCCAGATTTATGGTGGTTCTTTCCTCCTGAAGGAAGGATTTGAAGTTTGCTGAACTTACAGTCATTTTTTCTCAGTTTTTTCCATGTCTGGTTCGATGACGTCACTTTCGTGAAGCACTTTGTAGTCCTGGACGTATTTTCACACAAAACCTACAATAGCGTTTCCCCCTGTTCGAAAACAAGTGACTTCTTGGTATCAAAAAGCTTCTTTAAAATTCACGGACAGCACATGTGAAATCTGTGGCACATAACAAGTGAAATTAGAAAATAGCATTTTTAGCCCTATTGACTTGCATTCATTTTTTCATTCTTCCGGGGTCTGGAAGTAGATGGGCGTGACTTAGGCTCTCCATCTGCAGTCTCCATGTCTGAGGTCTTCTGGTTTAAACAAACCAAACAGCAAGAAGATCATTAGTATATTCATGTCCTGGCGGTGTGGGAGGGGTAAAAAGCTCTGTTCACAGCAAGGCTGATTTAGGGGGTTTAGAATGGCCTGTATCAGGGCTCCTGGGACAGATGAAAGCCAAAAGGAAATTTCTTATGCTTCTCACAGATTCAAATCAGTGTTTTAGATTAAACTGCATTATTTGTCCCCTTTAAAGAGTTTAATTGGAAGGTTAAACACCAAATATTTCCCGAGCGCAGCTGTGTTTTCAGCTCACTGCTCACCCAAGGGATGGGTCAAATGCGGAGAACAAATTTCCCACACCAGTGTGACAACTAGTGGGACTTTAACTTTGAAATTGTTCTACATAAGAAACCAGTTTCTCCAATAGAACACAATAACAGCCATGCACCTGGTGAGGTTGTGTCCCCTTATGGACAGAACCCCATGTAGGGGCAATGAAATAACTCGATACATGATGTGGAGGTCTTTTCTCTTGGACTCTGGAACGCTTGCCAGTAGATTTGAGGCATCGAGTTTGGACTGGTCAATTGTCACACTTCCTCCCTCTGCCACCACCGCACCTGATGGAAAAAGACAGAGTACTTCGAGATTCATGTTCTCCAGATGTAAAACGCTTGTACTTCTAAAGGAAAGCTGGAGCTGGTACCTGCATTGTTTACAAGTCTGGTCATGTGCTGGGGGTTGTCATGATGCTCATTAGCTTGGTAGGAGATCAAAATAGAGAAGGTGTGTGGAGGAAGAAAAGCAGGCGGAGAAGATACGGTGAAAGAAAACGTGTCTGCAGCTGACCAGCTGACTGCTTGAGGCTTGTTTTGATCATATAGAATGACTTTTTCATTCACCTATAGGAACAAGGCAGTAAAAGCAAAATGTTGTTTTTTCAAATATTAATTTGCCTACTTGACCTACAACCTCACAAAATGCACGAAAACACAAAATCATACCATGCTCTGTGTAAATGTGGAAATGTTTCTGACAGAGCTATCAGGCATTCGTCGGATAAGCCGGCCGAGTTTAGGGGGAGAAGTCACAGCAAACACCACAGACTGGTTTCTTCTGATTTCACTGATGTTGTTGGTTACAACCTGAAGATCCTGCTGTGAGATGGGAGTCACTGAGCCTTCAAGAGGAACAGATGACACAACGAGAAAGAAGAAAGTGAAACAGAAAAGCTATTTTAAACAAACATAATAATCTAGGGCCATCCATCCATCCATTTTCATCTGCTTGTCCAGAGTCGGGTCGCGGGGGCAATTGCCTAAGGCGAGAGGCCCAGACTTCCCTCTCCCCAACCACTTGGGCCAGCTCCTCTGGGGGAATCCCAAGGCGTTCTCTGGCCAGGTGAGAGACATAGTCCCTCCACCGTGTCCTGGGTCTACCTTTAGGTCTCCTCCCGTTTGGACGAGCCCGGCAAACCTCACCAGGGAGGCGTCCACGAGGCATCCTGACCAGATGCCCGAGCCACCTCAACTGGCTCCTCTCGATGTGGACGAGCAGCGGGTCTACTCCGAGCCCCACCCGAATGACCGAGCTTCTCACCCTATCTCTAAGGGAGAGCCCAGCCACTCTTCGGAGAAAACTCAGTTTGGCCGCTTGTATCCGCGATCTCGTTCTTTCGGTCACTACCCAAAGCTCATGACCATAGATGAAGGTAAGAACGTAGATCGACTGGTAAATCGAGAGCTTCACCTTCTGACTCAGCTCTCTCTTCACCACGACAGACCGGTACAACGCCCGCATCACTGCAGATGCAGCACCAATCCGCCTATCGATCTCACGCTCCAGTTTTCCCTCACTCGTGAACAAGACCCCGAGATAGTTAAACTCCTCCACTTAGGGCAGGATCTCATCCCTGACCCGCCGAATCAAGACCATGGTCTCAGATTTAGAGGAGCTGATTCTCATCCCAGCTGCTTCACACTCGGCTGCGAACTGCTCCAGCGAAAGCTGAAGATCATGCTCTGATGAAGCCAACAGGACCACATCATCTGCAAAAGGCAGAGACCTGATCCTCAGGCCACCAAAACGGATGCCCTCCACACCTTGGCTGCACCTAGAAATCCTGTCCATAAAGGTTATGAACAGAATCGTTGACAAAGGGCAGCCTTGGCGGAGTCCAACTCTCACTGGGAACGAGCCCGACTTACTGCCGGCAATGCGGACCCAAGCTCTGACACCGGTCATACAGGGACCTATCAGCCTGTATCAGAGGGCCTGGTACCCCATACTCCCGGAGTACCCCCCACAGGGCTCCCCAAGGGACGCGGTCTAACACCTTCTCCAAATCCACAAAACACATGTAGACTGGTTGGGCAAATTCCCACGCACCCTCCAGGATCCCCCTAAGGGTATAGAGCTGGCCCAGTGTTCCACGGCCAGGATGAAAACCACATTGCTCCTCCTGAATCTGAGGTTCAACAATCCGACGGAGCCTCCTCTCCAGAACCCCTGATTAGACCTTACCAGGAAGGCTCAGGAGTGTGATCCCCCTGTAGTTGGAACACACTCTACTGTCCCCCTTTTTAAATAAGGGAACCACCACCGCGGTCTGCCAGTCCAGTGGGACTCCCCCCATGCCCACGCGATATTGCAGAGCCGTGTCAGCCAACACAGCCCCACAACATCCAGAGCCTTAAGGAACTCCGGGCGGATCTCATCCACCCTCAGAGCCTTGCCACAGAGGATCTTTTTTAACCACCTCAGTGACCTCAGCACCAGAGATTTGAGAGGCCAACCCAAAGTCCCCAGACTCTGCTTCCTCACTGGAAGATGTGTCGGTGGGATTGAGGAGGTCTTCGAAGTATTCTGCCCACCGATCCACAATGTCCTGAGTAGAGGTCAGCAGCACACCGTCCCCACTATAGATAGTGCTGGTAAAGCACTTGAAGCTCCTTCTGACAGGAGACTCTGCCAGACATTCCCAGCAGACCCTTGCTATACGTTTGGGTCTGCCTGGTCTGACCGGCATCCTCCCCCACCATCTGAGCCAACTCACCACCAGGTAGTGGTCAGTTGACAGCTCTGCCCCTCTCTTCACCCGAGTGTCCAAGACATGTGGCCACAGGGCAGATGAAACAACAACAAAGTTGATCATCGAGCTGCGGCCTAAGGTATCCTGGTGCCAAGAGCACATATGGACACCTTTATGTCTGAACATGGTGTTCATTATGGACAATCCATGACTGGCACAAAAGTCCAAAAACAAAACACCACTCAAATTCAGATCAGGGGGGCCGTTCCTCCCAACCACACCTCTCCAGGTCTCACTGTCATTGCCCACGTGAGCGTTAAAGTCCCCCAGCAGAACGAGGGAGCCACCAGAAGGAGCGCTTTCCAGCACCCCCTCCAAGGTCTCCAAAAAGGGTGGGTATTCTGAGCTGTAGTTTTGGTGCATAACCACAGACCACAGTCATAACCCGTCCTCCCACACGTAGGTGGAGGGGGGCTACACTCTCATTCACTGGGGTAAACCCCAATGTGCAGGCACCAAGATGGGGGGCAACTAGTATGCCCACCCCTGCTCGGCGCCTCTTAGTGGGAGCAACTCCAGAGTGATAGAAAGTCCAACCCCTCTCAAGGAAACTGGTTCCAGAGCCATGCGCTGAGGTGAGTCCGACTATATCTAGTTGGAACCTCTCAACCTCACGCACCAACTCAGGCTCCTTCCCCAGAGAGTTGACATTCCATGTGCCAAGAACCAGCTTCTGTAGCCGAGGATCAGACCGCCAAGGTCCCCGCCCTCGGCTACCACTCATCACACACTGCACCCGACCCCTTTGGCCCCTCCCACGAGTGGTGAGCCCATGGGAAAGGGGACCCACGTTTCCTCTTTGGGCTGTGCCCGGCCGGGCTCCATGGGTGAAAGCCCGGCAACCAGGAGCTCGCCAACATGCCCCACCTCCAGGCCTGGCTCCAGAGGGGGGCCCCGGTGACCCACGTCCGGGCGAGGGAACACGGTTTCCATTTATATAATTCATCATAAGATGTCTAGGGCCGTTCTCCAAAACTTGAACTTCAATGAGGTGTTTTATTGCCACATGAGATGACAGAAAGGACATGTGCCATGTGTTTATTTTCTGTCTGTCAAATCTCCAAGGCTGTTCCTGAAACTAAAAATAAGGAAAATTGCAATAAAATTTCCACTTCAGATATGTTGGTGCAGATACTCATTCATGCACACAACACATCCTGATTATTTTCCCCATTTTCCGTCCTCTTTTTTTATTAAATGAAATGTTCTGCTTTTCACCAGAGCAGTTTTCTGAATTCCAATTAACCTTCTTTTGCCCAAAAAATTTAAGCACTTTTGGGTGTTTTCAAGGGAAGTTTGTACAAGGAAAATCTAATAACATTTACTACACATTTGTGAGTACTTAAATACGTGCTCAAAAGAAGAACCTTATAATTAGATAAAACCTCATAAAATGAGAAAGGAAACACAAATAAATAAGTTCAGTTGTCTTTTCACCAAATATATTATCATTTACCGCATCAAATGTGTTCAATATTGCTCAGAGGAAACGTTTAGAACAAGTTATGTGTTGGTTTTCTACCCAAATCATTAGGGCCACCTAGTGGTATTGTCAAGTAATTCATTTTTCCACACCCAAGTTTAGATTTCGATTCAGTTACACTAACTATATCTTTTTTCTGAGTGTAAAGGATCTAGTGGGTATCCAGTATGTATGCTTTTTGCTGTGGTGTAAAAAGGCTGAGTAACCTGGGTAGACCTCCATGGGGCGGTTTCTTTGCAAGGTGAGGACCAGAGCATGAGCAGTTGTGCTAAATATCTGTCGAGGAGCAACGTTAACTCCATCATTCACCTGGAAGTGAAAACCACCTGACAGTGCACCTGTGGAGAAAAGAGGGCACATTGAATAAGCTCATCTGTTACAATAAAGGTCCTCTTGAAGCTGTAATGAGTGCTCACCGTTATGCACAAACACCAGTTTTCTGCTCTGTATGTGGTTTTGGGTGAAGTTCAGGATATGTCTGGAGGGAGCACTTTTCAGAGCCAGGTGTCCATTAGTGGGCGGTGTGACGATGAACTCCAGTCCCTCAGGTGGGGTGTCAGAGTCTTCAGCACTAAGTTCATTTAGGGTTATCTCTGTTACAGAACCAACCCAAACCTTAAGAAGCAGAAACAAAGAACAATAATACTGACAACTTTATTAAAGGTGTTGGACACGTGCTTAATCAATACATTTGCAGTGGTCTCAGAAATAATTGCCTTGTACGTCGTACTCGGGGAAGAAAAGCTCAGATGCACTTGTTTCAGGATCTAGCAGAATGCCACATCAGAGGAGAACTTAACGCGGCAGGATTTGGACTCTTGTTTCCTGATATTTGGACATCTGACCTCAGATTGGATAACAGAAATGTGACTCTACCACTAACATGCAACATGGATGTTTTATCTCCACAAATAACAAACGCTAGGGAGTTCTGCTGTGTGGTGGAGTTGCTAATGCTAAAGGTTAGCTTCTATAGCCAAGACGTTCTCTGCTGTTTCCTGGACACTAAACCAACAACAGCTTTCCCCGTCGTGAGTCAAGATGGGTGAGTCTATGAGTGTGACAGTGTGACGTAGACCTCTATTTTCTAGAAGCTAATGCAGGAGAAAGGTGTAGGAGACTATTTTCATGTTCAGCCTGCATGAAAAGCTCAGAGTGACTGATCACAATCAGAAATATTAAGTTAAAAATGCTTTTTCATTGAACCACATATTTAAGATTATTGAGGAAAATAGTTAAAGTCATCTTGGCCATAGTTTTTCAAATTCCTCCAAGTTTTTATTTTTTATTTTTTTCAAGAATTCTTATGTTAAGCTAATCACAAGCTGACTTGTTCTTCATGTTCAGCCCAAAAATGTATTATGTTTTGAGTTTGAAAAAAACTTTGTTTCTGAAAACATTGTTATAATGTTGTGTTGTATTAATAGAGATTTAGACAGTATTTAAAAGCCTGTACGTTTAGCTCCTGTTTGAGTTGATTTTATAGGGTTAGGGTCCAGCTATAGCTGAACATAACCTGCCTCTCTAATTTACCTTCAGGCCTCGGTTGGTGGCGACAACAGGGATCTCATCGTTGACCGGAGTTATGCTGATGTGAACAGTGCACGGCAGGCTGTGCTTCATTATTTCTGTTTGGTTGGCTACAATGGTGAAGTTGTCCCTCAGTGTTTCACTACCATCATGGATGTATGAGATGTACTCATGCTCTACCTAGAAGCATAAAACATGTTTTAAGTGTAACAGATTTTAATATATATGTATTTTTTAATGTCATGTTTAAGTGAATTTATGGTTAAACCCCCTTCTAAATCAGGAAGTCAAATGAAAGTGTATCATTTGAACCTGCTATGTAAACATAGACAGATGTATGGGATTTTATGGCCTCAGTCATACCTCAGTGTGAGTAAAAGCATTGATAGGCATCCCTGGAATCCGGCTGTGCTCCAGGTGTCCAAACTTTGGTGGAACCATGACCTGATACAGGAAGTTCATCCCTGAGAAGTGGTGACTGGCTACATCGATGACCCTGGATGTGAGAGGCAGAGATGACCCCTCATCAAGGGTCAAGTTAGACACCTGCAGAAAAAAAGATCAGTGGGAAGCACAGACCAGTTTAAACTGAGCTTTAACACGCTTTTATTTTACTTTTAGTACCTGCAGAGGAAGCAGGACTGGTATGATGTCAATCAGCAGCCTGATAGGTCCAACTATTGTCAGCCCGTTGGTTGCCTCCAACAGAACAGAGTCATTAGTGCTCTCTGTAGCCTGATGGTGATAAATGATTGACCCCTGGTTGAGGTCCTCCTGGGAGAACAAAGTTGTGGGTTGCTCCTTGATACCAAGGACAAAGGAATGGGTCAGAAATCCTTTAAATTACTGTTTCTTCAGGAATCATTTAGTTAACTACTGCAGTGCAATAACTTTTCTGGATGCATTTTATGTGATTTTTCAAAAAGAAGAGACCAAACGTAATGATAGAAGAAATTTAATAAAGGTTTTTGATTTTAGGGAGAAAAATATTCCAGTTCTAAGACATAAATGATTTGTATGATCTTACAAATGACACCATTTCTAGGGGAAAGCTTTGAAGCTTAAAACAATTGCAAATAAATGTTTAAAATTCAATTTAGATTTAAAAATTTATAGGAGCAATTATATATATATATATATATATATATATATATATATATATATATATATATATATATATATATATATATATATATATGTTCTTCTCAAAAATTAGCATATTGTGGTAAAGTTCATTATTGTCTGTAATGTACTGATAAACATTAGACTTTCATTTATATTAGATTCATTACACACAACTGAACTGAAGAGACTCTCACTCATTCTCCACTTCCGGTCGGTAACAAGATGGCGTCTGTGCTTGGCTTAGCCGCAGTCACCGGCCACTTTTTCAAACTTTTCTCCACTAACCTCCTCTTTTCCACCTTGCTCCTGTCTGCGATCCTCTTCAGTAGTGTCCCTGCTACCATCTCCTATGATCGCCAGACTCTTTTGTCCTTCCGTTCGTTCACAATCACCCAAGATGCACCGAGGACGTACCTCCCTATTTGTTTATCTGAGTGGCGCACTGGCCCGGAGACAAATGACAATTCCAACCAGAGTGCCTCCAGCGATGTTTATCCGGTCGCGGGAAAACGTCGGAGGAAAATAGGTAAACGAGCAGGAATCCAGGTGAGATGAAGACTTCTCTTAAAGCGTGGTTTATCCAGTAAACATCGGCGTGTTCTTCTAGCTTCTTGTCCTTTGTTTGGTGACTTGAGCGCCACTTCCACATTCCCGCCAGGCCGCGTTGCGGCGCGGTTTCTCCGTCCAAGTTTTTTAAGGTCGGTTTATCCTCATTCCTCAGTGGTTTCTCCTTCTGTTCCCTCCATAAGTGTTTTTTATAAACACCGTGGCTCTAACCCTGCTAATTTACATCCACTAACTCCAGCTGTTTCTGTCGTTTCTGATTCCTCCACCTCACTCAGCATGGCTCTATTAAATACCCGCTCACAGCTGCTCTTGATGAACATAACATCTATGATTGCTTACAGTCAGGTTTTCGTAGGGCTCATTCTACTGAAACAGCTCTTCTTAGGGTCTCTAATGACCTTCTGACTCACAGTGATGCAGGAGACTGTTATGTTCTGGTCCTGCTGGACCTGACTGCAGCCTTTGACACAGTTGACCATCACCTGCTACTGGAGAGGCTGAGAGAATGGGTAGGCCTATCAGGATCTGCTCTGGAGTGGTTCTCCTCTTATCTTTCTGAGCGCTCCTTTTCTGTGGCCATCTCCAAGTTTAGGTCCTCCACCACCTCCCTTACCAATGGTGTCCCACAAGGTTCTGTGCTGGGGCCTCTGCTATTCCTCCTCTATCTCATTCCTCTTCAGCACATCCTGAGCTCCTTCAAAGGAATCTCCTACCATCTTTATGCAGATGACATCCAACTGTACATCTCCTTTAAGTCCCATGAGATGTCTAAGCTGCAGCTGTTGCACACCTGCTTAGACTCTGTCAAAACCTGGATGGCTGGGAGCTTTCTACAGCTGAATGAAGATAAGACTGAGATCCTCATCTGTGCCCCAGACAAGCTGGTTCCCAAAGTCAGAGACTCTCTTGGTCAGCTTGCTTCTCACACCAAACCTTCCATCAGGAATCTTGGACCTTTGACCCAGCTCTCACCCTGGATCCTCATGTCAGTTCTCTTGTTTGCTCTTCCTTCTTCCATCTCAGGAACATTGCTAAGCTGAGTCCCATTCTGTTCCGATCTGAACTTGAGACAGTTATCCACTCCTTCATCTCCTCACGCTTAGACTACTGCAACTCTCTTTTCACGTGTCTGAGCAGAACCTCCCTGACCCGTCTACAGGTGGTTCAGAGCGCCTGTGCTCGGCTTCTGACCAAGTCCTCCAAACACACCCACATCACCCCGCTTCTCCTCCAGCTTCATTGGCTGCCAGTCAACTTCAGGGTTCATTTCAAGATCCTGGTTCTGGTCTATAGGGCCTTACATGGACAAGCACCATCATACATTGGTGGTCTTCTTAGTCCCTACACCCCCAGCAGGTCCCTGAGGTCCAGTGATCAAAGCCTACTGGTTGTGCAGCGCACCAGGATAAAGACCAAAGGTGACAGATCATTTTCTGCTGTGAACCCAGACTCTGGAACTCCCTTAAAAAGCAGCTGAAGACTCACTTGTTCAAAGTGGCTTTTGTATGACCTTCTTCACCACTCTCTCTTTATTCTGCTCTCCCCACCTATTCCACCTTCCTCAGGATCCACTGATTTCCCTCTTTCCTAGTCACTCTCTCTTTCTTAACATTTTTTAATCACAATTGTCTATTTTTGCTCATTTTAAATATATTTTTAACTATTTTCTAAATTATTTTTTATATTTTTACATTTTTTGTTTTTGTGAAGCGCCTCGTGATTTTTATCTTGAGAGACGCTATAGAAATGATATTTTCTTCTTCTTCTGAAGTAGTTCAAGCCTTTGATTGTTTCTAATATTGATGATTTTTGCATACAGCTCATGAAAACCCAAAATTCCTATCTAAAAAAATGTGCATATCATGAAAAGGTTCTCTAAACGAGCTATTAACCCAATCATCTGAATCAACTAATTAACTCTAAACACCTGCAAAAGATTGCTGAGGCTTTTAAAAACTCCCAGCCTGGTTCATTACTCAAAACCGCAATTATGGGTAAGACTGCCAACCTGACTGCTGTCCAGAAGGCCATCATTGACACCCTCAAGCAAGAGGGTAAGACACAGAAAGAAATTTCTGAATGGATAGGCTGTTCCCAGAGTGCTGTATCAAGGCACCTCAGTGGGAAGTATGTGGAAAGGAAAAAGTGTGGCAGAAAACGCTGCACAACGAGAAGAGGTGACCGGACCCTGAGGGAGATTGAGGAGAACGACCGATTCCAGACCTTGGGGGACCTGCGGAAGCAGTGAACTGAGTCTGGAGCAGAAACATCCAGAGCCACCGTGTACAGGCGTGTGCAGGAAATGAGCTACAGGTGCCGCATTCCCCAGGTCAAGCCACTTTTGAACCAGAAACAGCGGCAGAAGCGCCTGACCTGGGCTACAGAGAAGCAGCACTGGACTGTTGCTCAGTGGTCCAAAGTACTTTTGTCGGATGAAAGCAAATTTTGCATGTCATTCGTAAATCCAGGTGCCAGAGTCTGGAAGAAGACTGGGCAGAGGGAAATGCCAAAATGCCTGAAGTCCAGTGTCAAGTACCCACAGTCAGTGATGGTCTGGGGTGCCATGTCAGCTGCTGGTGTTGGTCCACTGTGTTTTATCAAGGGCAGGGTCAATGCAGCTAGCTATCAGGAGATTTTAGAGCACTTCATGCTTCCATCTGATGAAAAGCTTTATGGAGATGAATATTTCATTTTTCAGCACGACCTGGCACCTGCTCACAGTGCCAACACCACTGGTAAATGGTTTACTGACCATGGTATTACTGTGCTCAATTGGCCTGCCAACTCTCCCGACCTGAACCCCATAGAGAATCTGTGGGATATTATGAAGAGAAAGTTGAGAGACGCAAGACCCAACACTCGGGATGAGCTTAAGGCCACTATCGAAGCATCCTGGGCCTCCATAGCACCTCAGCAGTGCCACAGGCTGATTGCCTCGATGCCACACCGCATTGAAGAAGTAATTTCTGCAAAAGGATTCCCAACCAGGTATTGAGTGCATAACTGAACATAATAATTTGATTCTTGACTTTTTTGTATTAAGAACACTTTTCTTTAATTGGTCGGATGCAATATGCACATTTTTTGAGATGGGAATTTTGGGTTTTCATGAGCTGGATGCCAAAATCATCAATATTAGAAACAATAAAAGGCTTGAACTACTTCAGTTGTGCGTAATTAATCTAATACGTATATATGAAGGTCTATGTTTATCAGTACATTACAGATAATAATGAACTTCATCACAATATGCAAATTTTTTGAGAAGGACCTATATATATATATATATATATATATATATATATATATATATATATATATATAATATTTTTAAATAAAAGCCAATACATAGTTTAGTTTTAAACTAAAATTTTAAATGAATACTATCATTTCATTTTTCAGGCTTAGCGGGTCAAACATGAGAGAACTTGGGTCTATAGGTTTATACCTTATGGAGATGCTGCTTTTCTCTTTTTTCATTCAGATGTTTTTTGTAGGGGTATAATCTGTAAATGCTACCCATTGTTGGGGGGCTTTGGACAGTAAAAACTATCTCTGAAGGATCACTGTCCTCATGGACAACCTGAAGAAGAGAAAAAAACATTAAACATGGAATCATTCCTCCTAGACATAACATAGTCAGATATTATTGTTTTTTAAATTTAAATCATTTTCAAATTAGGTCGAGTAAAATAATCTGACCTTTAAGTGACAGACAGAATCCTTTGTTGGCCTACCTGTAGATGTTCTCTACTGATGGAGGTATTCCGTCCCTCTGCCACCACTAAGGGCTGGTTGACTTTGACTGTTGGAGGTCTTTGATGACTCTCCAGGTATATTTTTATGGAAACTCCAATATCCAGATGCACTTCCCTCCTCCCTCTTTCCGTCTTCCTTTCTGTAGTCCTTTCCCTCGCTCTCGCCGTCACGTTGAAAATGTCCAACAACTGGTTGCCTCCACTGTGGTGATACGCCACGCGACCTTCCACCAGGTCTCTCTGAGTGAAAACTGAAATTGCATCCGTTCCTATTATTGCCTCCTTCAGGCCGTCGTTAAAGCAGAGAACACCGTGTTTGGGTGGGATGAAGACCTCAAACGTCACCTCCTGGGGGTCTCGGATGTCAAGGTTGCTGGTGACACTGAGATTAGCAGAAGTAAGGATTGTAATCCCACTTTGTTGGACTATTAAACCGGTGTTGTTCTCAACCTGCAGGTATGGATCCTGTGCCACCACCTGCACCCAAAAGGTACAAAACTGAGTCAGAAGCAGGATCTTTATTTTACCACGAAAATCTTCATAAACACAACAAAGTTTTTTTGAAGTTACAAATAAATAACACAGCATTACACCTGAAAACAACAATGAACAAAATAACCACTTGAAATGTTTTCTCTCATCTTTGCTGTTCAAAATTTGGCTATAAGGCTTTAATTTATTAAATAAAAGTGAAGTTTTAAAGACAATGTATTTTTTTTCATCCACTTTCACTAAATTGAAACCATTCAGTAATATGACAATATCGGCACTCACTTCTTCTCCAGCCTTCAGAGAGTACAGACGCTTTTTTCTCAGCTCCCTTATCTGCTTCCCCAAGGCTCTTGTCCTGTCAGCCTACAGAGCACTTCTCTGAATTTCGCCTGAAACCACTACTCATTTTTAGAAATATGGACTTAATTAGCTGGTCATTCAACACGATTGATAAAATTTTTTCTACGATGAGAACGGAGAAGGGGGCTCCCACCTGTCCCGAGGGGACATACGCAGCGGGATATGCACTCGATTCTTGGGAGGTCTGGCGAATCGTGTACCTCTCTCAGTTGTCCAACGAGGACGTGGAAGATTTGTGGATGTTTGGCCTGATGATCACTGGATTTCTTCTGATTGGAGTGGGAGGATATCTGGTTTTCTAGAAATTTGGGAAGACGGGAGTGATTGGAGTGCGACCCGTGCCCATGGAATGTGCCGCTCGTGCGGTGACCTCACAGACTGGGACGTTACTCGAGGTGAACAGTAAGCTGGATAATGTCCTCGCGGCATTGCCTGTGTTAGTACGCAAGATGGATGTCATCTCGGAGAGGGTCGCCAGACGATGTGGGGATGTTTAGAACACGTAAAATTGGCTTTACTGGTGGACATAAATGACCACTTATAGACTCCAAGGCAGAGAGGAAAATTATCTCTGCCTGCCCCAAACAAAATCATGTTTATCCTTATCTGACGCCAAGGCAGCCTCTCAAGGCTGCTTCAACACACCCCCATGAAAGGAGGAATGCTGACAGATGCTGTGTCCCGACCTTCCCCCCCCTGCATTCAGATTGTGACCTGCGGGAAACTCAATGTGCTCTCTGTTCCTTATCTCTCCCTCCCACCTGTTGGTCTGCAGCTGGTTGATGCGCTGTACCGGCAGCTCCCATTGGAGGCTTCAGGATCCCGCCCAACCCCGCCTCCCCATCGGACTCTGATGTTTTGTATCTGTGCTGTCTGTGCTTCTATGTTGAGGAGTTTTTTCGTATAATAGAGTTACTCCCCGCTGGGTCTAACTCTGCTATGCCTTTTTTTACCTACCCCCAACTATCCTCATGTAACTCCCTTTTCATCTATCTATTAAGGTAGCGCGACTCATGTTGCGAATGACCGCAGTCACCAATTCTTGTCATGTGTCTTACCCATGTATGTCTGATCTCTGAATTGTGTGCACTGAAACTCAATCTCGTTTCTCTGTATGTCCTGCACATGTGGTAGAAATGACAATAAAATGACTTTGACTATAATGAGTTAAATAAAATACAAGTGATGAAAAATGGATTCACCTCTAGAAGTGCTGAGACATAATGTTTCCCATCTGTTACAAAAAGTACAAAGCGTCCGAAGCTCACTCCACTGTGGATAAACAACACCTTATTCTGGGAGAAGAGAAAAAAAGAACAGATGATAAATGACCACAACTTATCAAACTGTTAAAAAAAATTCTACATATTGACAACTTTTTTATTTTTCAAAATGCTTAAAGAAAAACTATTCAGAGACCAAGGGGCAGGACATTATATTCAAAATATGGGTGGGCAATGGCCATCTGAAGATGATATTGTGACTTTTTTACTGCCAGAACAGGAAAAAGCATGAGAGCTTTTTCCTCACTCAAAACAACTCATAAGGCATTCGTTCAGGCTAGAGACTACAGCAAATATATTGAAAAAAATGAGTGAAGGAGTCCTTCAGAAGTTCAAGTACAACTAAGGAGGTACTCTTTGTTTAGATTCCCAGAATGTACTCTCCACAGAAATGGGCCAAAGTAGAGCCACAGGGAGCAACCCACATAAATAAATATACATTATTCATATAAAATAGTTTGGTAAATAAACTAAAGTCCCATAATAGTCACATTATTTCCATTGAAAGAATGAAGTAATGAGAACTTAGTGGTTGAGGTTAGATCAGACTGGGATTGTGGTTATTGTGAAGCCTAGAACAGAATCCTGATACAAATTTAGAAACCTGTGGAAACTCAGTATACTTTTGTGCTGTTTTTAATTAATTAAATCTTTATTTTGCATCTGTTTGCTTTATTTTATTTGGTATAAGGCACTTTGCAATTTTGTGTAGAAATGCAAAAAAAAAAAAAGTCACCTTTTATTTCATAGTACTACATCTTTCTGTGCCACAAAATGTCTTTAAAGATGACTGCTAAATTCTGACCTGCTCCAGATCCCGCTGTGTGAACTCGAACAGCCTGTGACTGGGATCACTGGCCGACACCAGCTCACCCATTGGAATCCCCCTCCGTGTGTAGACAAGCCAGCTGTCCTCAAAATCTGAGTCGTCATCTCGATAACGAAGATCGCTCACTGTCACCAACCTCTGGCTGTCTCGGGCTACGTGGAAAACTCTGTCAACAACTCTAACAGGTTTCTGGTCATTCACGAGCTGCACGGAAATATTAAATGTTTGTTCCTCTGTTGTTCCTTCCTCCTTTTTGTTTGTGTGCTTGTGTGATTTCAAAACAATAATTTGAAATCTGAAGAAGTCCTGCTTGGTCTCGCTGTCATCGTGGACATACATGATCCGCTCTTTGGTGATATCCTGATTTGTGAAAGTCAGGATGTTGTCATTGATGGAAGTGGAGTTGGACAGGTTGATCTTCCTTAGCTGCCCGTGTTTTGGGCTTACCGTAATGTTGTAATGGACCTCTCGGTTACTTGCCGCGTGAGTGAACAAATTATCTTTAGTTATTACTTTGCTTGCTCCTTCCAGGATCGAAAGGCCTTTATTTACAAATGTGATGGTGGTTGACTCGGCCTTAATGTTGATTCTGAAGTCATAAGGTGTTGATTCGGCATGTGCAGAAAACACTTGAAAGCTGAAGGAGTCCCTTGTGTCATCGTGCAGCCTGTTAAAGAGATCATACTTCACCAAACCATCTGTGACGTTCTTCTGACTGAAGGTTGAGTTTCTTAGAAGAATTTGGTGGTTGAGGAACAGCTGACCTTTCTTTGGTACCGTCAGAAGCCTGAAGAAGAGCTCATTTTCATTCAGTTTAACACCCTTAGAAATTATATGAAGGTCTTCAGGAGTCAGAACAGCAGTCTCAGTCCCGCTGACCTCCATCTTGCTCCGCGTTACCTTCAAGTGAATCCAATGTATCACTATGGCAAATGCAATCTCTTCTGTGGCCTGTGAATTAATGATGATCTTACATTTGAACTGATCTGTGACATTGTTCTGAGCTTGGACACCACGGTAGGTGCTGATGTATCGGATCTTCTCTTTTCCTAGAACCTTCTGTGAGAAAAAAGTGGTGGATTTCCAATCACCGCTTGAGTGCAACCTCTGGATCTCTCCATACGTTGGCAGCTCCGTGAGGTCATACCAGATATCAACAGTGTTATCAGCCACGTTGACCTGTACCGCCAGGTGACTGGTGTTCATGATGGCAGCTTTGCCTTGGTTCACCTCTAGTCCAGTGTTGTTCACCAGTTTGTACTCAAGTTTCACAGCCAGTATCCTTAAAACCACTGTGTTGCTGACCTGCAGAAACGAGAGGAACAGAAGAAAATATGGCATGGGTGAAGATTAATAAAAAATGACACAAAATAATATACAATGTCAGGTTTGCAAGGATAAAAGACGAGTAAACGAATGCTTTAATGAATTTAAAATGGTAAATTAGTCCTAAAGAGATATTTTGTGCGTTGTGCAAAAGCCAGTGCTCTACCTACCCTTTGCCCATCGCTGACTCTTAGTACCAGCCTGGAGGCAGAAGTTCCGGTGTGCACAAAGGTGATTTTACCTTCCTCTAGATCTTTTAGAGAGAATAAGTTGATGGCCCTGAAAAAAAGAGACATTTTCATGCTATTGGCCATCATGCACTTATTCACTCCTCGTCCTGCCTTATATGTTTTCTTTACCTCATACAGTGGAATGTGATGTGCTGCATTCATTTTCAGTAGATTTACTTAAAGATGAAGTCTTCAAGATGGCCATATGAAAATTATCCCAGAAGAACAACAACCCTGTCAACTGTTGCACCAGCCATAAAACCAACCTGCCAGGGTAATCCTGGTGCTCCAGATGCCCAGCTTCGGTGTTGAGGTTCCCCATGGATCTGAAAACCAGGTCTTCAGGGCTGCTATCGGGGTCTAGCACTTCCAGTATTTCTGTGGTCAGCTGGGATCATGAACAGATTCATTTAGATTTTCATGTTTATCACTCATATTTTTATCAGCCGGGCATTTAGCTGCACCTACCAGTCGTTTGGACCTCTCCAACAGAGTAAAAAGGTTTCCCTGGGGCAATCTGAGGACAGGAGCATCATTAACAGGACTGATGCTGATATCTAACCGGTGCAGATGGCTGTCCTTCAGAAACATCGGAATCTCCTTATTTTTGGAGAAGGCTGTAAATGTGAAGGAGTCATTCTGGTCCTCTGAGCCATTGTGAACATACATAACTCGACCCTGCCACAGATCCAGCATACTGAATGTTCGCTCTTTCTCCTCAGCACCTTTAATAATTATTCGCTCCTGCATTCCATCAACTGGATCAGCTTGATCTGGACCAAGGTTCAATCGGAGCTGGCCACCAGCAGGTGGCTCCTCAATGTGGAACAACAACTGTGATGGATGGATGCCAAGTTTGTGGAAATCCAGATTTATCTGGCAATAGGTTCAAATGGAAATACACTTCAAACAGTGTAAAAGAAACTCAAGTAAACGTGTGAGAAAAAGAAAAGGTTTTACCTTCATGTGTTTGGGTTGTAGCAGCACCTGGCCTCCTTCAGCTACCTCCAGCTTCCTCAGCACCAAAACATTCAGGCTGTTCTTGTCCGTTGTTGTAGCATCAAACTCAGGACGATCGGTTGGACCGGAGGTCACGACTGTCTTTGAGACTTGATCTGCATCACAGCCTACTGTAATGTCTTTAGTGACTATGGCATGAGGTAAGCCTGTTTTTTGGGTGTTTACTCTGATATTTTGAATGCAGCCTTTAAAAGAGCCTCCTTCTAATGAAGCAGAAGACAATCCTGTAAGTCTTGCTTTCTCCAGAGTATTCTCATCTAGTCCTCCTAAGAAAAGAGGCCCTTGGAGCTGGATGACCTGAAGCTCCTGGTTCAGACTGACCTTCACCAACTCCTTTCCTATTCTAAACTGAACACTATGAGGCAAGAAGTGCAGTTGAATGGGGTACCAGGAGTGGTTGCTGTAAATGTGAGTCAAGGAACGCAGCTCAACCTTACTCCCTTCTCCATTCCCGACCAAAGCCACTAGATGACCATCTCTCACCTCAACCGCTACAAACCCTCCCTCCCTTCCAGAGTTATACAAGACCATCCCGTTTCCTACTTTAGGGGAAGGGTGTAATTCACATTCAAATGTTCCTTCTTGAAGGATGTCCCATTTTGCAAGAGAGATGAAGGCTTTAGAGCTGGAAAAATGCACAGCATCTTCTTCTGTGGCTGAAAACTGTTGACTACAACCAAGAGCTACCTCGTGGACAAGCTTGTACCCAGAGTGGGCCTTAAGATTGGTCAGAAGGTTGTGTTCGTTGAAGACAACTTCATCCATACAACCCCTAAACCCAGCTGAGATACTAAGAAGGTATAGATGGCTCAGTTTGGCTGTCCCACCAACAAGGAGCCCATCCTCTACACTGAGCTCCAGATCTGGACCTGGCATTTGGAGTTTAGTGCGAGAGGTTCGGTCCACTATCATGTTGATAGAATGTTGTGTGTGGTTCAGATCCACTGTGTGCCATTCAAGGTCATTGAGATGGATGCCCTTCTCTGAGTGTAACAAACGTTCCCCTGAACCCAAGTTGACACGTACCTGAGGTTGAAGGAGAAAAGAATGAGGTAAAAGCACATTAGATTTTATCTTGTAAATTTCTCCCTCTGTTTTCTACGACAAACCAAAACCTTAAAGAACAAGAAAATCAACACAGATGTGGTTTGGTTTTCCAACCTCAGTCATGAAGGAACTTGTTATAAAAGGAAGCATGTGCCAGGGGCTTTAATTTTTTTTCCTTTAGTCAAGAAATCTGACACCACTTTGCATACTTTGCATGCTTTCCTCCTGACTTTTCTAGATTGTAAAAATCAAAAATGCAGCAAAAAATTTAGCTGCAGTGTCCTAAGGCATATAAGTATTTTTCTGTTAAATGAACACGCAAAGCCTTTAAAAAGACTTCACTGCTCTGTAGTTTTACCTGCAGATGTCCAGATATCAGCTCCAAAAGCAAAAAGTCTCTGCGTCCTGCTGCCAAAAACAGCAGCCCTGATTGGCTTGAAGTTCGGAACTGTACATGAATTAAAGTCTGAATGGACTTCTCAGCTGTCTGCAGGTGAATGTAGCTGTTGCCATAGAAGGAAACTGCAAAAGGAAAAGTGACACAAATGTAAAAAGAAAATTAGGCTGACAAACTTTGCGTTGCAAACTGAAGTTTCTCCCTTTTTGTTTTTATTTTTATCTGTTCAAACAACACATTCTCACTCCCAGCGTGTCGAAAACAACCGTTTGGTCAGCCACCCTCCGTTGCCTCGGTCCAAACCCAACTGATTTCCTGTGGGAAACAAACACTTGGTCACTGTAAGGATAACGTTTTAGCTAGCAAGATGGAGGGGAAGGTTATAAATAACAAGAGGATAAGGTTCGAGTGCGGTAAAATGAGCTTGTTTGGTGCCCCGCTGCGGACATCCCATCATGTCAGTTTTACGCTGCATTGGGATCTGCAGTCGCCAAACCCCCTTTTCGTACCTAAGTGACGTAAAAAGGCACTTTTGGCATCTGGGGTGTGACTCAGAGGATGGCTGACCAAGCGTTTGTTTTTGACGCGCTGGGAGTGAGAATGTGTTCGTTCAAATTATAGCAGTCTTAAAGGTGTGTGGGAGTGGTTGACTGAACTTTTTTTTTTTATTAATATTTATGATTATAATCGATCACACTGAGTTTTTCATGCAGGATGACTATGAAAACAGTCTGCTGTGTTATCTTCTGAGAGAAAATAAACGTGGTTTCTAGGATTTGAAAATTCTCACACTGTGATGTCACACTGTAAATTTGCATCCATGGCCTCACCCGTCTTGGCTCTCGCCCGCCCACAGGAAAGCTTTTTGAAGAGTTTTTGCAGCAAGGAGAGATAGCCAAGAGTCTTGATAGTGACTTTGCAACATGGCTGAACACATTCTGTTAGCCAATCAAAAGTGAGGTGTGTGCATATCATTATAAATAATGAGCAACCCTGCTGTTTTCAGCCCAGCACTGCACCAGCAGACTTCTGCATCTCAGAACAGGAGCATCATAGCCTTTTTTAATTATTCATAAGGCATTGATTTATACTAGAGAATAAATAATAAATGAGTAAACCACACCTTTAAACACATTTAGATCCATGTGTTGATCTACCATTTGGACTGAGGCACAGAGTTGATCACTCACTCTTCTATTAATCTCCTGTGACTGATCGTTCGATGTGTTGTCAGTTCTGCACTTTGTAGCTTTTATCTAAATTCAATTAATGCCAGCTAATGGGTTTTGGAGCAGCTCCTAATGAAAAGCTAAGAGGTTAATTGGACGTCACTGACCCAGATGACGCAAACTGGCTTTTTATCTGATCATAATGTCATGAGCTGGATGGTGTGAAAGTTGAACAGAAAATAAATATCCATTATATATGAAAAAGTGTTTTAGTCAGTGTAATCTATTGCAAAATTTGCCATATAATTGTGTTTTTTTTCTACAGCATACTGAGCTAACAATCTGAAAAAGCTAAAAACTCAAAACTACCATCAGCTTTTGCAAGTTATAGCATGCTGGTTTTTGTTTAAATCACGTGAAAATGAAATCTGAGACTTAAAGTTGACCTTAAGTGACTGAAAAAGACTGGTCAGGTGCCAATTTGTTTTAGATGGAAGGGGAAAATAAATCTGTTTTAGAGACATGTGTGTACAGCATATTTTCATGCTGGGACCCTGGTTTCCATTAATAAAAGAGTAAAATCATTTCTTGATTTCCATTGATTTGACCTACATAACAGCAGCGATGGAGCACTCAGTGGGAAAGATAGTCTATTGTGGAAACAAAATGCCTGTGTGTGTGTGTGTGTGTGTGTGTGTGCGTGCGTGCATGCGTGTGTGTGTGTGTGTGTGTGTGCGTGCGTGCGTGCGTGTGTCTCATTAATAACCCTCCAAAACTCTTCAAAATAAAAGTCAATGGTCATCCAAAGCAGCAGCAAGCACAGCTGAATAATCATATAGCTTTGTCCATAACTTTAATACTGAACACAAACACAAACCCATCACCGTTTTTCTCCTGTTTTGCTGTAAGATTTTTTAATTGGCAGTTTGGGGGATGAAGCAAAGCCAAAAATGACGCCATCAGTTAAATTACAAAAATGCTTTGCTCACGTGAGCAGTTCTGAAAAGCAGAAGTTTAAGTTTCTTATTTCTTTGCTCCCATTTTGTACATCTGACACAGCAGTCTCTATATAAATGTGTAGTTTGAACCTTACATAATGACAATTATGACTGTCTGGTTGGCAAAACTGCTTTCTGAAAGGTATAAAAGTGTTAACAAAGCTGCTTTGTGTGTGTGTTTCAAGAAGAAGCACTCAGTCAGCAGGCTGGCCCAGTGTGTTGCTCTTCACAAAGCCTATAAACCCATGTTCAATTTAAGCCATTACTCATGTGCGTCCTAATCTGCCATTATGATACCTGTGGATTATTGATAATCTTCCTACAGATACATTTGCGTCAAGATATGTTTATGTTTATTCATTTAGCAGACGCTTTTATCCAAAGCGACTTACAATTTATAACCTATAGGGCATGTTGTGATCTGAGGGGGAAACCAGAGTACCCGGAGGAAACCCACGCATGCATGGGGAGAACACGCAACTCCACGTAGAAAGGCCGCAGCCGAGCTGAGTTTCGAACCTGCAACTTTCATGTTGCGAGGCAACAGTGCTAACCACTGCACCACCATGCAGCCCTGTGGTCTTGAGATGTGTAGAGCTATCTGAGCAAATATTATCTATCTATCTATCTATCTATCTATCTATCTATCTATCTATCTATCTATACACACACACAAACACACACACACGCACGCACGCACACACACGCACGCACGCACGCACACACACACACACACACACACACACACACACAGATTTTATATAAGTGGGATTAGATTACCGGTGGGGATGTCAGACAAACACTCCACTGTCTGACATCCCCAAGTGAGCGAAGGCTTCCATTCAAATTATAATCCATAATAATGCCATATGTTACCAACTGCTGGACATTTTGCAGCACCGGCACCTACCTAGGTTGTATCTAGATCTCATTTTAGAATTAAAAAACTTGTGCATAAAATGTTACTAAATGCAACAGGTTTTTCACACCATGAGTCACTAAAGTTGTAAATTAAAAAAATAAATAAATGCAGGAATGAAAAGAAGTTTCTGCAGCACCTCACCTCCATAGATGTGTCCAGCAGAAATCAGCAAAAAGGGTATGAGCAGATCAGTCAAAAAGCTTCCCATCGTTAGTTAGGCTCTTGTTACCCAATCAGCTGAAAGCAACATCTGGCTTCATGTCCCTGCTGTCCGTTCAGCTTAAAGCCCCAGCTCTGCATGTCACTCCCGTCAATGGCAACTTCCAGACAGCCCGGGTTTATCTAGATTACAGCCCAAACATCTACCTGAGTCTGGTCTGGGAGCAGAGCCAAAGTGGAACTCCACCCTCAGCTCCTCCCATCTAATGCAGGAGGCTGGCCTGTGTGAATGCAGTACCGAACAGGGACACAGGGGGGCGGTGCTGATGCACTTATAGAGCTGGAGTGATGGAGCAGACAGCGGCTTTCTTGTTTTCATGGAGGCTGGAACTGAATCTGTGGAGCTGTTTAACCAGGTGTCCTTTCACTTCTGTCCCCTGTCCCACAAATGTATGCTGAAAGCCAACATTTTACAACATGTTGGACTGTTTGCCTTAATTCTAACCAGTAGAAAGTACTTGTTATTGTTCGATGTCCAACAGTGGCACAGCAAACAGCAAAGCAGTGAAAGTGACCCGTTTACAGAATCACATAAGGCATGATAAGAAAAGCAAAACTGAAGTAGAACCAAATGACGCCCGTAATTTTTTCACTTTTAGTTTTCTGTTAATGTAAGAAGAAAAAACTACAAAAGGAAGACTTTGTCTATACTTCCTCTCAGGGCTGTTAGCTACGGTAGTTAGCACTTTGGCTTCACTGAAAAACATTTTTTTCTCTTGCCTTTCCATGCAACCAAGGTGTTATAGTGCCATTGAGGCAGGAATAAATTAGGGATTAAAGAGGATACATTCAAACATGTTTAAATAGTATTTATGGAATAAACTCAAAATGTCAAGCAGTAAAAGAAAAAGAACCCTTTCAAATTATTCCTGGAAATAGTTTGATGTTTTTCTAAACCTGTTGATATTTTTCCCAACATTTCGTCCCCAATCGGGACACGTCCTCCTTTTTTCCCTTTCACCTGTCACTAATACGCAGTAATACGGGGCTCCTTCAAGAATATATGAATAAACTGAATTGAATAATGACCATTAACATTAGCACTTACCACATTATTCTTTCTTGCAAGAAAGAAGCAATAAGCAAATAAAAAATACCTCCTCCACTTTATCCAGATTTTCTCTCAGAGCAGAACCTCCCTGAACTGTCTGCAGGTGGTTCGGATTGCCTGTGCTCGGCTTCTGACCAAGTCCTCCAAACTACTGGTTGTGCAGCACCAGGCTAAAGGCCAAAGGTGACAGATCATTTGCTGCTGTGGCCCCCAGACTCTGGACCTCTCTCCCCCTGAGCCAGAGATCAGTGGACTCAGTGGTCTCCCTTAAAAGCAGCTGAAGACTCCCCTCAATTGTTCAGGCTGCTCTGGTGTGGCCTTCATCACCTCCCTCTCCTTACTCGGCTCTTTCTACCAGTTCCATGTTTCCTGGTGTAACGTGCCAAAAGGGTCAGTTTTCACCTATGCATTGATCAACATAATTACCTTTTATCTACAGAAATAAATCCACTTTCTACTTGGCCTTCCAGAACCAGAAGGTTCTGTTCAGCACGTGTTGACATTCCATGAAGACAAAAAATTCTAATAGACGCGAAGCCAAGCAAACATCAACCTTAGACGCAAATAAGCATTCCAGCTTTTGGCCTTTACCTCAAGGGATCTCAGACTGAACGGGTCCTATCGGAACCATCTACGGGTTCCTGATATCAGAGGTTCACTCCACCGGCAGTGACCAGCACGACGCCCCCGGATCGGACGAGAACCTCCACACCAAGGGTGCGTAGACTTGGCACGACAGATTGCGTCTGATGCTGTTTTTAATAAACAACTCTCTAGAAGCAAACAACAAATTATTTTACACCCACGTTTCACAAATTATCTCAGATACAAAGAACGGTTGCTACAACCTCTAGCTTCCATCCCATCACCTCACATCCACCACATCACATCCCATCATTCATACCTTGTCATGTATAAATTATTAGTTTAGTAAAAAGAATTAAATTCATTTTATAAACTATATACTGACTTTGAATTAATATGAAGTGTGTTTATGGTCCCTAAAGAAGCAAAGAACCCTAGAATCTGATTAAACAGTCAAAGATCAATCAGATTGATATTTCACTTTTATATGGAATCGTCACATCTTATTGGTCATAATTAATAAGTTTTAATTGCTACACCGGGATCCACCGGCTTCCCTCTATCCTATTTATTTTCTCTTTCCCTTTCCTTGCATTTTTAAATCACAATTTTTTTCTAATTTTAATCATATTTTTACTTTTTTATTCTTTATTTAAATGTTTTGTTCTTGTGAAGCACCTCGTGACTTTTTATCTTGAGAGGTGCTTTATAAAAGATCATTTTCTTTCTTTTTTTTCTTTCTAAATAAATGGTATGTAAACAGTTCTTTGACTGCTTTTTAGGGCAAGAATGATAAATATTGTTGGCAGATTTTTTTTCTTGCACGTCCATCTCAATGAAAAAATGTGTTCTGCTTCTTATACAAATAAGAAATATGATGAACAAACCTCTGCGGGGATCTAAGATGCTTCCTCTCACCTCTAATGTAAACAGGGTCATAGTTGTGCCACATGGCCCAGCTAACTGAGGAGAAGCAGGCAGCCCCATTTTGAATGAATAGAAATCTCTGAATCAGTTTTTCATTCAGCATCAGTTCACTCGGGAGGAGAGCTGCATTTAAAGGGTTAAGTTCCCAGGATGCTGAAAAGAAGGGGGTCACACCCAAAATGGGTCACAGTACAGCTGGTAACGGGTCCTCTCAGGTTCAGAGGGGTGGTGTGCTTTATTGAGACTGGATCCCACGCTGAGGATTACAGGCCTGTCTCTTGGCCTGGAAAAATCTCAAAATCTCAACCTACAAACACATCAAAAATGACATTTACACGCCATTTTTTCTCTATGTCTCTACACTTTGACCCCAAGGTAACGGGTAGTTTATATGATGACATGTAGGTGGAACTTATTGTCCTTGTAGAAAAAAATCTATTTCATAGCAAAGTGCAAGCAATTTATGTAGGATCGTGGGGGGAGGGAGGGGGGGGGGGGGGGGGGGGGGGCTGGTACCTATCTCCAGCGGTCAATGGGCAATCAGGCGGGGTACACCCTGGACAGAGAGCCAATCCATCGCAGGACAACACAGAGACACACAGAACAAACAATCATGCACACACACACTCACACCTAAGGACAATTTAGACAGACCAATCAACCTAACAGTCATGTTTCTGGACTGTGGGAGGAAGCCGGAGTACCCGGAGAGAACACACGCACGCACAGGGAGAACATGCAAACTCCATGCAGAAAGATCCCAGGCTGGGAAGCGAACCCAGGACCTTCTTGCTGCAAGGCAACAGCTCTAACCACTGCACCACTGTGCAGCGCTCTCTCTCTCTCTCTCTCTCTCTCTCTCTCTCTCTCTCTCTCTCTCTCTCTCTCTCTCTCTCTCTCTCTCTCTCTCTCTCTCTCTCTCTAATATATATAGTATATATCAGTATAGTATATATATATATATATATATATATATATATATATACACACACACACACACACACACACACACACACACACACACACACACACACACACACACAGGTATTGATTGCACCATTTAATTTAGCTTATTTTTTTAATAGAAGAGGGTATTGTGTTACAAAACACATGCTTTTAATTTTCACTTTGACATGTCTGGTTTAAATAATGAGGCACGCTGGAGGATTTGTTGCTTTGTAAACTGTGGGACTAAATGATAATGCTGTGGTGAAACCAAAACAGAAAAGAAAGACAATGAAAACTGACAGGATGAGACCAAAAGCAGTTGAGTACCCTGGATGAAAATGCTCTCGGCACAAATGTTTACCCAGAGCTGATGGACTGTTACAGCTAAGGAGTGAGGCAGGCGGTTTGGCATACAGACACGTTAGAAAACAGTTTGTTGACCCTCTGAAAGCACCACTCACAGCCGTGAGACTGGTTCAACACAAGGTAGAAGACAGGAACCACCTGGCTGAGGATCAGGCAATCAGCATGAAGCAGGAAGAGATAGGGGACGGGGACTGATTTAACTCCAGCAGCAGCTAAAACAACAAAAAACAAACCAAGCTTGTGGAAGGACCAGCCTAGAAGGTTCCAGCTTCTTATTCCATTTTTCTGAGTGAACATGAAAATGAGTCAAACCACAATTCCCTTTTGGAAAATAACAGATGCCTGTCTCCCTTTCGCTACCTCTCCCCACGCAGTTCATCCTTCCGTCTTCACCTTTGTGATCTAAACGCATATTTGTTCAAGCCCACACACGAGCTTCTTCCAGCTTCCATCAGGACATTGATGAGTTTGTCCATTGATTCTTGAGCTGCTAAGCAAATTATAAAAAGAAAGAAAAGCCCCAGTCACAACATCCACCTGTGCAGAGGAGAGACATGAGTCACTGTGTTTTCATGCTGGAGTTGAAAGGAAGAAGTTAATGGCAGGAAGCTCAGAACACTTTGTGCACATTGGCACAAACCTTAGTCTGAGCTTTTTGTCTATTTTATGTATGAACACAATAACTGAGTGGCACAGTCATTTCCTATTTATGAGTTGGTTGCATAAGAACACTGGGAGGAAAAGGGCTGAGGAAGGTGGACATCTAAACAGGGACTGATCACACATGTTTGTCTTTAACAAAGCTGCTTGGTTTGTAAAATATATCCCACCCCATGTCTTTGTGTCTCCTGTCCAAAGGCAGTCGCATCAGGGATCTTTTCAGATATCTGATATTTCTTTGCAAAAACATGAAATGTGACGCTGAGACCAGCTGTCACCATGGCTTGGGGACACCTTGGAGTCTTGATGTGTGTGTGTGTGTGTGTGTGTGTGTGTGTGTGTGTGTGTGTGTGTGTGTGTGTGTGTGTGTGTGTGTGTGTGTGTATATGGTGGGTGTGTGTCTAAATTCACAAGTGATGGTAGGGTGAGTCAGTCTCTTTCATAGCTAAATTATTTACAGTAGGTCATTTGGTGAAAATTGAAGAAAAATAATAATAATAATAATAATAAGAAGAAGAAGAATCCAGGATCCAGCTATCAAAATGCTTCTGCTACTAAAGATTAGGATTTTAGATAAAGGATCTGACTCAACACTGACCTGTCCTCGAGAGACCTGAGTT